TGTAAACGATAAGTAAAGAATTCTTTATAATATTTTTGTTTACACTTCTGACCTCTAATTTGTAAGTCGAGAAATAATTAAATGGCACTTTGATTTATTTATGGCTTCTTAACTCAATAATTCCTGAAATTCATCTCCTCAATAAAAAATCTCACCCCTCAAGAAATTCATAAGCATAAAAAAGAGCAACTCATAAGCAACCAAAAATTGTCAATTTCGAGGTAGAAGAGAAGGGACAACATCTATTGGGGTTCCTCCAATGAGATCAAAATCTCTTACGACAAACAATAAAAACTAAAACAGAACAAAAAGTCGAACCAAATGGTTTCTCGGTCTTATTACAGACTGACAAGAAAGTCTTATGATTTCTCTCCTCCTTTGGCTTTTTAAGTAATTGAATGTGATCAAAGTAAGTCTATCCACGCACACCTCGGTTAAGACTTACCATACGGCTCGTGCCATCCATCTGCATTCCTCTGTTCCCTGTTCCACCTCTTCCTCCATACCCACCTGTCCCTCGGTTCTGACCAGACCACTCTCTTGTCTGACCACCATGCCCATATGATCTGTTACCACCGTAACCAGATCTAGCACCGCCATTGTAACCTTGTCTGCCTTGCGAGTAAGCCATATTATTGTCTTGCCATTTTCCACCACCAGCTCCTCCTGCATAGTCCTGATTGTTGTCTCTTCTCCTTGAGCTCAGATCCAGACCGCCACCGCCTGTCTTAGCCTCCATTGCTCTTTCGTTGCTCTCTGCAAGAACAGCAAGTTTCTCTGTTAACTGGAAAGCCAAGGTTTGCAACCTGTTGTGCTGAACATCGTGGAAGACAATGCAACGTGTCGGTTGGTCCCAGTTTGCATGAAGTTCTTCACTGATCATCATCTTGCTCACGATGCTGTGTACTTGGTTCTCAGAGATATCAAACATCTTGGCAAGATGATCCAGACTTAGGGACTCGTAAGAGGCCGAGTATGTGAAGAGGTAAGTCCTCAAAGCCTCCTCTTTGATCCTATCCTTCACCATACCAAGGACGGTCTCCCGATTCTTAAGCAGTTTCCAAACATCAAGAGAGTTCAAAACCTCAAAAGCCTTTTGGAAGTCTCCTTTGGTGAGGGCTCGGGTTGCTGCCATGACATGATCACGGACGTTCTCAGGAGGAGCAGTGAATGCTTGCCTCTCGCTGACCTCGAGCAGGCGTCGGAAATTCTTGCTAATCACTTTGCGTCTGGCATCATGAGAATTGGCTGCCATGTTAGGGACCTCTAGTAGCATGGCACAGATGAGATGAACAGCTTCGAGAAGCTCAAGGTTTATGTGCATGTGATATGGCATCTGTCGTCTCCTCTCCAATCTTTCCTGGTGGGACCAAAAGGATGTAAACAGTTAGCTCCATTTTAAATCTAATTAGAAACACCAATGAACATCGAGTTTTACAGTTCTAAATGTCACTTTGAACAGATAAATTCAGCTGAGAGAATAACATAGGAAATCATTGAACCATTTTGATATGAATGAACATAAAATATGGCAAAACACGATTATTGATATCAACATTTAGTTAAGCTAAAATTCAGATCAAAAACCACAATGGATGGGAGAATCTCACCACCAAACCAATTATAACACCTATATCTAGTTGATTTTCGACTTAATACTAATTACTTGACATGTATCATCTTAAACGATCCATACTTAACAGAGCAGAAACAATGATGCCAAACCAAGATGCTCTTGGACCAACTAAATTTACATCATAAATAAACGCTTCCCCTTTATTCATACTAATCTTAACATTTTGTAATTTATATGTTCAACATAATGAGTCCTAAGTTCTATAATGTTTTCCACTATTCGGGGAAGAAATCCAAATCCTTTATCATGGAACCTACGTCACCACCCAAAAGACAAAAGAGTTTTGTCTGTTCAGACAAACCCATAAAAAATGGCAGATATACAGGGAATTAAACTATTCCTCAAATAGGGAACTAAAATCTCAACTGAACAAACGAATTGAAGTTTACCACACAACAATAAGGAAAACTACATTTGATATTGAACTTCCTTCCTCACTACAAGGAACTACAAGAAACTAAAAACAGCCTTAGGCTACATCCAAGGTCTTAAGAGGAAACCAAGTTCGATGAACCTGAGATGCAACAGACAAATAATAAATAATACAAAAAACAAAAAGATTTACCTGTTCGGGAGTCTTCTCGTGGTATCTACTTTGTGAGACACCTTGAGCAAGCAACTCCCGCACCCTTTGACCAGAATACAGCTCAGAGAGGCAGCTGTGAGCCTCAGTAATCATTCCAACCCGGAACGCGCAGAGACCAAGCTGTGCCATGGATCTGTTAAAGAGGATCTGGGTTGAGATGTCCATGTGCTGAACATTGTCCTGCAGGTGACTCATTAGCAACAAATCCCTAGCAGTCGCAAAGTTGTCCACTAAAGCATGGTGATAAATATCACATAACATCGCACGAGCTTTAGTCCGTTCATCTCCATATTTGTAAATAAGGGAGACTAGAACATCCATCATAGCTCGACTACTCTCTGGGAAGGTAGGCTTACGAGGAACAACCTCTGGAACAACAATGAACGAAGAAGGAGGTCCAGTTTCCTCTTTGGGCTCCTCACTATCTTCTTCTTCTTCTACCACCAGCTCAGCCAGTTTCCTCATGGCATCATAAACTTGCTGAGGCTTGTAGTAAACTAGTTCAACTCGTCTTAAGGCCACCTTTGCCGCAGCTTTATAGTCACCAGACCGCTCAAAGTAGTCCTGGATGTTCTGAGCAAGAGCTAAGAACATCGGCTCATCTCTCAATCTCTCCACATACTCACGTGTATGAGGATCTATGCTCTGCAAACTCTTGAAAAATTCAGTGTCTATCCTCTCCACGAATGCAACAAGATTTCCCCAGACCCGAATTTTTCCATCATAATCTTCTGGTTTTGAAGTTTCATTCTCATCAGGCTCAACCGTGTCATCGACAACGATGTTATCATATTTGACAAGAATGTCCAGTATTGTAAGCATGTTATTCACACACTTCTTCCAGACATTGATAGGCATGTGTCCGCTGAGACCAGGGTTCACATCAAACTGTGCAGAAATAACGCTGAACAAGATTTCAAGTTTCTGTGCTGGAGTTTTGGCAATCCTCGTCAGGTGTGTAAGCTGATCAACCAGTTCAGAGCGGGCAGTTCCCTTCTTGCCACGGGCAGCAACAATTTCTTTGAATTTTTGGTTGACCCATTCCCATGTGATTTCTTTAGGATCTTTATTATACAACTTCTCCATAAGCTTATCTTTCTTGCTTAGCATCTTCTCCCAAGATGGATCACCTTTGTTGCTATCTTCCTCCTCTTCAGACTCAGCCTCCACATTCACATCTTCCTCGAAATCATCCTCCTCTTCTTCATCGCCATCATCATCCGTATCTCCATCCTCAGATTCCTTCACTTCCTCGGTTTCCGGAGACTCCCTATATTTGTTGATTTCGTCTTCATACAGCTTATTGTTCTTCTTCAATCTCTGTCTCATTGAATTCAAGGCCTTGGAGTTACTAGGGCTCATCTTTTTCTTTGCTTCCTTGTTGGCCAGAGTTTGATTTAAGAAATCCTCCAACATCACAAGGGTTTTGATGTACAAGATTGGAGCCTTCACAGCCTCTGTGATTCTCATAACCTTTTCCAGCTGCTTGTTGATCTTATCAAAGTTCTCTTGTAGACTAACCCAATCATTGATCTTTATGGCATTCTTCATCTGCTCGGCGGTGTTAACCATCTCTTCAAAACGCTTGTCTTTGGCTGGCTGAACAACACGTTTACGGAGATCCTCATCGTCACTATCACTGGCACCTGGAAGATAACGTGCGGCACCACCAGCATTGGTATCTTGAACCTCTTCCAACTCTTCCTCGATGTCACTCTCATATTCACTGTCACTTCCGGTCTGGTGAACAAGGTGCAATGAGAAAGTGATGTAAGTAAAACCAATGGGTCAAGGCAATAGACCATACTAAATAGGTAACTGAAAAGTATAGAAGATTCGAGCGAAACCTGAGCAAAGAACTTAGACATCTTTCTTAGCGGGAGAGGTAAACGTTAGGCAATGGAAGCAAGGAGAACCTGCATTTCACGAAAGACACTGCAAAATAAGCTAGCTGAAAAGATAAAGTAACTCGAGGCAACCACAATATCAGTGGAACAAGAGCCAACACGAGAAACATGAATCAAATTAATAAGAGCCATGAAACTGAAATTGACAATGGAGGCCACAAACAGAGGTGAATTCACAACTTCCGATGATTTACAATTCATATCTATCTGCTTAATGTTTTCTATTTTCTCAAAATTACAATCACAGCAATAACAGATTCAACAAAAGTGAGCAACAGCTATTTGCAAGAAAAAATCGATTCGTAACTCCTCAAAACCACTCACGCCGCACCAATCAATTGGGCAAAATCAGATTATCACCAAAATCAAATCAGATTTAACAGTGGGCTTCAAACGAATGGAGAGGAAGAACTCACCTGGAGAAGAGAGATTACCAAGCTTGAGAGCAGCTCCAAATCTAAGAGTTGATGTAAAGAATAAACGACACGATGAGAAGAACACGATTTAGGGTTAGTTTTTTATGTGGTTTCCCAAAAAACTCAAGGGCTTTTTAGTAATATTCACATTTTCTATCGGATCCAAAACGCATCGCTTAATTAACTAGCGACTCAAAATTTGGATCGCTGGTCGCAGCGTTTGGTTTGGTTTTACACGACATCAGCTAAATAAACTATTTTTGGTCGTTGCCACTGGTCGCTACCGCCAAAGACAGACTGACCAACGAACAGCATCAGTATAGAGTGGATTGTTTTGATTGATTTAGATTAATGAAGATCAAAGATCATTAGGGACATCGACAATATATGATTCAGTGAATTACAACATAACCACACGACAAAAATATGAAATAATAATGTAAAGGTGACTAGAAGAAGAAGGAAGGCACTTAAGAAGATCATTGTTCATTAGTTCTGCACCTTGCGTAACAAAAAATGAAAAAATATTCAAGCCGGTCACTTCATCAATGAGCATTTGCTTCATATACATTTTAGACCTAAAGCCCCTCAAGCTCTTGAGCCAAAGGACTTCTCCCCAGACTTGTTCCTCGTGATCTAACCGGGGCAAAAGGAGATGGGTTAGAAGAAGAGCTTGAAGCTCTTGGAGATAGCTGAGCATGTTCAAGAACCCTAAATTGAAGCTCTGAAGGGTAATCTCTCATACAACTGATTCTAGGGCCTGCACCAGTACTCCATCTCGAATGTAGCCGCTCAGCTAACTGGTATGATTTAATTCCCTTGTGTGAATCTATCCGTTTCATTATCTTTTCCTTCGGGACAGGCTTCTCGTATTCTTCAATGTCTTCATCGAATAGATTCGATTTTGGATATGTGAACTCTTCCTCAGCTATGAATGTCTCTTCTGCTGTCTCATACCCTTGTTCTGATGGCGTTTCAGGTTCTTCTTGATCATCCTGATCGTCCTCAGTCATGTGGTTGTCAATCTTCGGTCTTGAAAGTTTTGAATGGAACCTTGTTAATATTTGTAGCTCTGGATGACTGTTCGGTTCAGCGTTTGGACTTTCACCGGTCTCAGCGTCCACAAAGTCACATGGTTCTTCTTCGGTCTCTTTGATTCTTGAAGGCATTCTCTTGACCTTAGCAAGAGCTTCTCCATCTTCTTCATCTGGACTCTTCTACAGAAAACGAAAAAGAAAGTCTCTGTAATTGCGTGAATCATGCAGCCTAGCCAAAAATATGAAATGTTGTTAACTTAAAACTCAGAATGGAATGGATTTACCTTTACATTGGTGAGGTCTACCTTGTTCTCCCTAAGAAACGACATGAACGCCTGAAAATTCTCTTCTGTTGGAAGATAATGTCCACTGTGAGGCCAAACTGCCTAAAAAGATCATCCGAAGAACTCAAACTTAAAAGAGTTTTAACCAAGTCTTACTTCTCTTCTATTCCGTAAGAATAAACAAGGAACAGTCCAATGGAAATTCCTTTATTCTCTCACCTTAAGAACACCATCATCGACCACAATTCTTCCAGCAGATAATGTGGCTCCCCCGGCCAGGAAACTCGAATGCTGAAAGTTCCCCTTTTTCTTCATTCCAACATACAATATTTTAGACACGCTTAGGACAAAGATCCATTTTGCATCCGGAGGACCTTCTTTTGTGTCGAGAACTATCCCACTTTGCTTATATATTAGTTTCCCATTCTCAATTACCACTTCATATGCCTCTCTTTCAGTCTGTTCGTGTGAAAGAATAAAACTTTACCAAAAAGATATCTAACAAGTATGTCAACAACATCGCAAGAGTATTTGTTTTCCCGAAAAAGATAATTGCTCTACCAAAGTTGGCTGAGGAGAATATCTGAATTTCATCAGAATAGGTCTACCAAGCACAGTAAGTAGAGAGTAAAACTCACCGGACCAAGATACTTGATGCTTTGCTGGTAAAGTTTTGATCTTGGACATCTTTCGTGGTTTAATTCTTTTCCTTGTCCAATGTCAAGCCTACATGTCCAAAGTTGGATGTTAGCTCGTAAATCGTGTGAACTCCTGATACAGTCAAACTTTTGATTGTGATAGCAAATTTACCAATAAAAAAAGGGTTGTTTACTGTCACAGTGGAGCCAAGCATGATAATAAAATTGCAGATTGTGGCCATAGCGATGTCGAGGATCGATCTGTTAAAGCTAGAAAATTAAGATCACATGGCTTTACTTGAAACTTACAGCCACAGAAAAGAACAAAGTGTACTATAGTATTCTTACTGCCTCAAGCCAGTGCTGCAAAGCCAACTTCCTAGCTTTCTCGTCTTTTGACAAGCCTTTACCCACCTAGGCGATAAAATTGTCAAATCATTAATTAAAGATTGGATCAAGGGAAGAAAATGCGTGCATCAAACCGACATGTTTGATAAACTTAATGTTGTCACCTTAGCAGCTCTTGTTCTTGCTCTAGACCAGCGTGAAACTGCTGTCTCTGCTTCTCAAATTTCAAAAAACGAAATAGAAACTTCATTTAAGTTCAGCAAAGTCAAGTGCCTTCCACCTGCAAATTCCATTTAGTCACTAAAAATATAATTGTGTTCTCTTTACAAATACAATGCCAACAATTATATATAGCTCTACGAACCATCTTTGCTCAACGACTACAGCACAATCAGCTAGCCTTCTTCTGGTTCGAAAGCTTCTATAAACCTTCTGCAACTTCAACGCAGCTTGGTATCTTCCGTCACCTAATAAAGCTAAAAACTCGTTTCCAATATCGTTGTCGAGAAACGGTTTCCATCTTCGCGTTTTATATCTGTCATGTTCTTTCATAAAAGTTAAAGGTTTTCCAGAAAAATTGTTCTCCACATCCCCTGGAGAAATTCTAGATCGTTGTGTCCCTTTGACGCTAAGGGATCTGTTGTATAGCGTCTTTATAGTTTCAGGTGATTCAGTGATGGTTGAATCCGATTCATTGTCATTAAAGCTGATCGATCGAAGAATGGTCTTCATTTCTGCAGAACCAAGAAAAATGTATCTCAGAACTAATGCATTGAATTTTCAGTCTAGATCGCCAAATCTTCCAAAAACAAATCGAATTCGTGACGAATACCAACCCATTTTCACTCGAAGCCAGATTCAAGCATTTCCTTGCTACGTCCCTGAAAATGTCAGATATTCAAATAACCACCATCACCTCTGAGACATTACATCGAACACAAAAAGATCACCAATCAAACACACATAACGCACTCCACTTTTCCAAAATGGTCACCATCATGTTTCTAAAGTTTCATGCTTTGCCTTTTCTAACCACCGAAAAAAGAAAAAAAAAAACAGAAATTTATACTTGAATCTTATAAACATTGACCCAAAAGCACGAGATTCCTAAGTTCTGTATTTCAGGAGAAAGAAACCAATAAAGGGTCAAAGAATCAAACCTCGAGTCAAACAGAACACATGAGACGAAATGAGACAGAGAAGAGGTACTTTAATGGAGGAACATAACAGAGCCAAAAAAGAATCCTGAAAAAAAAAGAGGAGAAAGCGTACGAAAACTCTTGAATGGGGTTGGTGTCTAGGATTAGATGGGAACGTGAGAGAGAACGACAATGGCGGCCGTTTTTTGATTAAGAGATTCTCATGAAATCTCAATCTATCGACGTGAATGTGTTCCATTGGCGGGGAGAAAATAGAATCCTCTGTTTTTTTCTTCAAACTACTAAACATAGAGGAGCTCTCACGATCGCAATGTAATTTTATTTGCTGGCTTCCCATTTCTCCTAAATTTGGCTAGTCAAACCCAAAACGACAGCATTTTGATTTCCGTCCAGTTATATTGACGTCGTTTATCACGGAGGTATTTTTGTAGTGTCCCTTTAAACAAATTAAACCAAAACCCTAACCCCTAAAAAATCATTTTGGGTCGTGTCCGTTAACTCCTCTCCTTGCCGAGGAATCTGACTTTATCCCAAACTCCGAATCCCAAACTCAATGGAAGGAGAAGATGAGCTCCGGAAACTAAACGGCGAAGTTCCAGCTCCACGAGACAGAGATGTTGAAGATGACGATCCGCTAGTGTTGAGCTCTCAAGCATTGGCGGCGCTCCATGAATTTCTAGCCGACCAGAACAAGACAGTCTCGAGCACGCCGCCGGCGTCTTCAGTCGCCGGAGAAGAGGATTCCGATAAAGTTGAGCTGGTTACGGAAGATTGGAGACTCAGCCAGTTCTGGTACGAACCTGAAACCGCAGATACTGTAGCTGAGGAAGTGGTCACTCTCTCCAGTAGACTCTCAGGCTGTCGAGTTGCTTGCATCGCTTGCCCTACTCTCTACGTTTATCTCAAGGTACTACTATAGATCAATTTAAGAAATACCCTGCATTTGTATCGAATCCGTTTTGCTAAATATGGATACTTTTGTTGTTGCTGTTGCTGATTTGATGTGTGATTGGATCAGAAACGGGATCCGAGTCTCCAGGTGCAATTGTTGGAGTACGATATGAGATTCGAGAGATATGGAAGTGAATTTACGTTTTATGATTACAACGAACCAGAAGATCTGCCACTGCAGCTGAAACATTCCTTCCATATCATCGTTGCAGATCCTCCCTACTTGGTAACCTTTCTTCAAGTTCTTAACTTTTCTGTTTCCCATTTTTAAAGTTCTCAACTTGTAACATTCAATAAGCTTATGTTTGATGGGCATTTCTTAGACAGTGTCATTTATCGAGTCTCAACCTCTTTTATCGTAGAGTATTTCTAAAAGATTATAGAAAGTCATAACTTAGAACAACGTGAAGAAAAAAGAGTATGCTTTTTTTGCTAAACAGATTGTTTGAACGTTTAAAGATCTACTCTTACAATGGAGTATTATCAGTTGATTATGGTCATGGCTTAATTCTCGGTTCGTAAAGAGGGATGCTTTGTGGCTCTCTGCCCTGTTAACGTTATCATCCAATACATTTCCGGGATAAAGTGCTTGTAAGCACATCAGTAATCTATGATGGTTTGGGGTTGCTATTGTTTGCCACTCTTCGAAACATAAATGTCTTTGAGTACCTTCTAGTCAGCAGCTTAGTGATCTTGATCTGTTTATGCTTGGCAGAGTAGAGAATGTTTGGAAAGAGTTAGCCAAACAATTTCGTTCCTCGCAAGTCCAGTGGATCCTTTGTTGCTTCTACTCACAGGTACATCAATCAATAACTTCTGTTTTCTCCATTTCATAGGATTTTATGTTTATTTAACTGAGAGATGTTACACCTCTTGCAGGAGAGGTGCAGAGAGATCGGGCGGCTGAGCTATTGGGTGTTCGCCCTTGTGTGTTTAAGCCTCATCACTCTAGCAAACTCGGAAACGAGTTTCGACTATTTATAAGTTACGATCCAGGCACCAGATTAGGGGGCTTGGAAGAAGACAGCTAGTTGTGTGTCACTTGTCCATCTTTTCATCTACCATCTATGTTGATTTGCTTGTAAGTTGTCTTACACTGTTCTTTGGTTAACCAGTGCTGGTTCTTTTATCCTTCTGATCACAAGAAACAGAGCAATTTTTTTTGTCTGTAAGAGACGTAATCTTCCTTTCCTGTCTTGTTCTTGTTATGTTAAGAGAGCAACTCGTTATCGGTTCAATATACACATGATGCTTAAAGAAAAGAATTTAACACAAAAGTAGCAGCTCCAACGAAGACAACAGAAACCGGTTAATAACATTACGAATTTTTAAAACTGGAAAACATACAAAATAAAATAAAAACCGGTTTGATTCGGTTTGCCAGCCTCTACCGGAACCAAAGTTATAAACCGGGCGAAGAAGTTAAGATCTCGAGAAGAGTCTTACGGTGGAGAGAGAAACGAGACAAGTAAGGTTCTTCCATAGTCGTCGAAATTCAAATACACAATCAGCAGAGAAGAGAAGGGGGCTAATTCTCGCGACTTTGGAAATGAGGCCGAACATTGTTACCGAGGTGAGATCCGTTAAATTTTCCCATCTGCTCAACTATTTTCCTTGATCTCAACCAGAAATTCCTGAAGTTTTCGCTTGGTTGATTGCCGAGAATCTGCTAGTGAAAGAGCTATGGCCGATTGCTAAAGTCTCTAAAAGTGGCTGTTTCTTTCGGAAGAATGAACTAGTCTTTAGTTGGATTCGGCATAGCTTTGTGGCAAATTCTTTTGCCTTAGGAATTTGTAATTTGATCCGTGAAGTTGTGTTGTTTCATTAGTTCTTCGAGTTCTAGGTATTGTAATACAACTTCAAAGCTTTGAATAAGAAAGCACCACTATTCTACTATAAAACTGTGACTCTGAATCAGACTATTATTGTATATCACACTTGGGAGCTCAAGATATCTGAAATCAATAAAAAGGTCAAATATATGATTATCTGTTATGGAATCAGACAATCAGGTTTCCATGTCCAGACAAGTAGGAAATTGGCACAAGGTTTAGTTTTTAAAGTGACAAAGGTCTTGTAATAGAGTCGTTTTTTGATTCTGCTGTGGATTCTTATTTTCTTATAAGGCTGGGGTTCAAACTAGAGTTGGACAATGGTGGAATGCAATACCTTTCCTCACGTCATCAGTGGTGGTAGTTTGTGGGATTATCTACCTGATATGCCTCTTAACTGGATATGACACTTTCTATGAAGTATGCTTCTTACCCTCGGCAATTATATCGCGGTTCCAAGGTATTCTTCTCGTAGTATTGAGGCTTGCATTTCATGTATAATCGGTTCTTAACTTTGCTGATTTCTGTTTTTTGAAACAAATTATCCAAGGTTGTTGATATTTCTATTGGCATTAAAAATTACATTATTTTCTGTCTGATAAACTGGTTTAGGTGAAGTCTTTGCGTTTTACTTAGAATGCCTGAACTGTGCTGATTGTTTTCTCTTCTTTACTCACTCTTTTTGGGGTTATCTGTTGTGCAGTTTATAGGTTCTATACAGCCATTATTTTCCATGGATCGCTGCTTCATGTTCTGTTCAACATGATGGCATTGGTTCCTATGGGCTCCGAACTGGAGAGAATCATGGGATCTGTTCGCTTGCTTTACCTGACAATTTTACTGGCAACAACCAATGCCATATTGCATCTTCTTATAGCATCCTTGGCGGGATATAATCCTTTCTATCAATATGATCATTTCATGAATGAATGCGCGATTGGATTCTCTGGAATCTTGTTTTCTATGATTGTCATAGAGACGAGTCTCAGTGGAGTCACCTCTAGGAGGTAACACTTCTATGGCTATTTAAATAGTTTAGTATGCTCTGGAAGATTAAAGTGCAAGCAAATATGAGCTTGTCTTGAGACTTCAGAAACATTCTCTATAAACATGTTAATGCTCCACATGCCTGTGAAAGTGACTTTTGCTCATATATTTTTAAGATATGCCGTTTAATGCTTTCCGAGTGTGGGTTGTATCTTGACTTGCTGCTTTCTTTCTCTGTGCAGTGTGTTTGGTCTCTTCAACGTGCCCGCTAAACTGTAAGCTCATTTTCTTGCTTGTTGGCATCTTAATGTCCACCTTTCTTGTTGCACATATGATGTAAAATTTGTGTCATTTTGCAGATATCCATGGATCTTATTGATAGCCTTCCAGCTTCTCATGACAAAAGTTTCACTGCTTGGCCATCTCTGTGGCATCCTGTCTGGATTTTCATGTATGATTTTTTTACCTATTCATTGCTTTTTTCTTTCTAAACGTGCATTTAATTTTAGTCGCATTGGATTTTAGATTCTTATGGCCTCTTCAATTTCCTGATGCCCGGCTCTTCATTTTTCACCACCATTGAGTCAGCCTCCTGGATGGTATGTACTCCAGCGCATCAGGCTTCTTAAAGCTTCTTTTATTTTGTTAAATGAAAAGCCATCGAGAATCAAAAAGTCATACCGCTTTATTCTCAGCTACTCACTACAACTTTAATTGCCAACAACTTTCTAGTCTTGCTATCAATTTTGATATGAGGCTGTGAGTGGTGCAATACATACGTTTATCTTTGAATTAGTCGTTGATTATTCAGATTCTATGTTCTGTTCCAGTCTAGCCTAATTAGGCGACCCAAGTTCATTATGTGCACTGGCGGGAATCCTTCCAGCTACATGCCCACTTATTCTGCACAAAACGCAACATCCAGGTGCGATTCCCTAACTATATACAAAAACTGAACTGTTTGCCTAGAGAACATTCTATTGACATTTTCTTTGAACAGTGGTTTCTCTACAGGAAATGCCTGGAGATCTTTGTCTTCATGGTTGCCACAGAGGGAAGTATCTAATCAGGTACATTCATGCTAATCTTGTCAGCCACTTTTCTTTGACTTGGTGGATGCAGTCACATTTATGATCTAACCATACTACTTCACTTGCAGTCTTCCGAGGACAGTAGATTTCCGGGAAGAGGTAGAACTCTTAGCACTTCCCGTGATCCAACCGCTCCAGCTGGAGAAACAGACCCAAACCTCCATGCTAGACTGTTGGAAGATAGCACTCCAGACCGCCTTTCTGATTCAACTGTGACCGGCATGGCAGAGCCAATCCCCGCCGCAAGGTATTTGATTTCTACAATGTATAACTTATTTGCTTATTATGCACGATTTCATTGACCTCCGTTGCTTTTTGTCAACGTTTTGCAGACAGGTGCCAATAGCAAATGCAGCAGTCCAGCCTCAGCCCCAGGTTAGTTCCTTGGCTTAGGCCGGAGCACTTTCAAGGCATCTATAAGAATTTCTCTGACTGAACTGTTAGACGCAGGGTCGTGTTGCTGGTTCCGAAGAACAAATTCAGAAACTCGTTGCGATGGGCTTCGACAGGGTACGTTTCTTGATTTATACCGGACCGTAACAAGTTGTGAAGTAAATGTCTTAAAAAGTGTCTTGGTTTTGCTTCAGACACAAGTGGAGGTTGCACTTGCTGCTGGCGATGACGATCTAAACGTAGCTGTGGAGATCTTAATGAGCCAACAAGTATAAAAAGTTGTCCGAACAAGTCATAAGTTGGCTTGTATTGCAACGCTTGTGTCTCGTTCCATGTTTTTTTACTTGCATTTAGAAAGTGTATAGCGTCTGTATTCTCTAAGGATGTTCTTTAACCAGACCATCAAAACCGGTTTCCCGGTTCAGAATCTATACAAACGAAAGGTTGGGTTTAGTTTCGTTTTTGTGGCAAAATAACCTACTTATTTTCAGAAAGCTTCCAAAGAAACCTGAATTAGTTCGGTTTTGATTCGGTTAACTAATTGTTTCGTGTCATGTGATTGCAATTACAATGAACAAATTGTTTATTGACATTATATATTTTTGTTCATACAAAAGAGGAGTGAAAAGAAAGTAGGTGTCACATTCAAAAAAAAGAAAAGTAGTTATCACAGGTTTTCTCACTTGCTCTTGTGGTCCTCGGTAGCTGAGGTTTCTCTAGGTGGTCGTACGATGAGAATTGGACATTTGGCATGTTGGGCACAGTAATCACTGACACTCCCAAGAAAGGCCCTGCATATATATCCCAAATTAATTACCGCAAATTAAATAAATATTTCTACTCTTTAGTTAAGAGGAGATAAAGAGTTGTAACCTTTTGATCATGCCGAGTCCACGGCTACCAACAACAAGAAGATCCACGTGAGTTTGCTCGACCGCTTGGCATATCATCTCCTTAGGATCTCCTTCCAATATCATCGTTTCCGTCTTCACCTACAAAACACAAAACCAAAACTCGAAATATTAAAAAAAAAAATGAAAATCATGTTTTGCAAAACGACAACAATTTCTTGAATTTTGAAGGAAAAAACCATATCTAAACTTTTTTTTAAAAAACTTTTTAAAACTTTTTAAAACCATATCTAAACTTCATAAAACTTTTTACATAATTTTATTCATAATCACGCACCATTTTGCCACGACAAATCTCCAATGCCCGTGTGAACATTCTGGTCGTGCTCTCTTCGCGTGCTTTCTTCATTGATTCAGGAACTGAGTCTGTCGCATACAGCGCCGATGCTATCAATGTTCAAATCCTCTCAATATTTGTGTGAATAAATTCCCCTAGTATATATGTGCAAATAGTGAATTTAAAAATAGATAAAAAAAAAAAAGAGAAGTTTTTCTCTTCACCGGTTCCACCAGAAGGGTAGATGTATTGAAGATACGTTGGATGAACATGAACCAACGTAAGTAAACCGCCTTCCTGACCGGTTTCCGGTTCGGAGCTAATAACATCTCTGAGATGTTGCACAGCCCATTCCACCGCATAAAAGCTGTTCTTGCTTTCGTCAATCGCAACCATAACGTTCAACTTCTTTTTGCTAGTTCTCACGTTCGCGGCCGTCTCCGTCGTTGTTGTTGGGCCTGCCGTGTCCACACCACTCGCATCAACGTAAGTCTCCATTTTTCGTACGTATGATTTTTACTTTCGGCTTTAGGATCAGGCACTACACTACACTTTTATATGTACCATGTGTTACGTAGTGCTAGTGTGTATATTGAGTAGGTGGAAGCTGGAGATTGTTAACAGATGTTTACGATGGATCTTTCGATCGACACATTTCATTTGTGATGTGGAAAGTTGGAAACGTGTCTTGCTTCTGTGGTTGACAACTGTGTTAGTTGACTGTGGAGGGAAGCTCGTTCTTTTTGAATATTCAATGCATATATAGTAGTAGTAGTAGTAGATCTTTGAAAAAAGTTTTTAAACGGCTTTTGGTTTAGAATTGAGTTTGGTTTCAAATAGCTAATTGGTTTGGCTGGGCGAAAATTTACCAAAACGACCATATTTTGGATAATGTTGTTTACTGTGGTTTAGTTTCAATTTGATACAATACAATATCTTGGTTTAGATTATAAACGGGTCGGTTTAATTTCACTTTAGTTTCAGTAAACCGACTGAAGTTCAGTAATTCAGCTTAATTTGGTTTTCTTATGATTACATATGGTTTGGTTATTTTCTGGTTTATGCTCTGCATCACAAATCTATGACACAAGCTAGCCAGCCAGGCAGCCAGCTAGGCAAGCGAGTGGGTTCCTTAAACCCTGATTCCTGAATCTCTATACGCACTAAGGGCATCTCCATTAGTGAACCTCTTCATGAGGTTTTAAAGAATTTTTTAATAATTTTTTTTGATCAAATAAATAGTTAAGAACCTCTCTTTTTTTCTTCCTCCATTAGTGAACTTCATTAGGATTCTTACAAAAATTTGTTCTGTTTTATCACTTTGATATGTTATAAATCATCAGAAAGTCTATTTGAATATCAATTGCATACTACACAGCAAGAGATCACAATCTTAAGAAACACAACTTCGTAAGATTGTTCTGTTTCCCTGTCGTGTTGTTCTGTGGTGTGGCCATCCATAAACACAACTTCTCTGTGGTGTTGTTATGTTACATGGCTAACGCCTAATTTCCCGTTTGTAGTCTCGTTCTTTTAAATGAATGGCTTCACATTCAAAACGACAGAGTCATCCGCTGTTTCTTCTAGTGGAGAAAGCAGTTGTCTGTATTTTTATTTGACAGAGCTGCTTCAGCTTTCTGCCTCCCCTCTTCTTTTTCTCGACATCTCTTTGCTTCTTGCAAGTGGTTATCAAACGGAGATCTGAAGCAGCAAACTGTACCTGCAAGTGGTTATTCCAGCAAGTTTATACAATCTGGCAGTTTCAAGCTGAAGTTTCTCATGCAAAGATAAACAGACATTTAGAAACTCACATAATGACTCAGATAAGTGAACGAAACCATGCTTCCATGTCAAGTGCGAACAGTGTAAATAAATGGAAAAATATTCAACCAAGTAGAAGGCATAGGGAACACGCATGTAACGCAACTGAGGAGACTATATATTCAAGCACTCTATGCTACAAACAGAACCACTGCCAAAAATTGCATTAAAAATGAGCAAGTACATCACCAAAAATGAGCTAGACCAATGTGAACAATGCAACTATCGATTCCTAAACATAATTAGTGAAACCAATGTTATTACCTCCCAGTTTTAGTTTGGAGAGTCCAGGTGCAGTCGTCGTATCCCTGGGAAAGAGCCTTCTGCAATTGAATCCTAATCACAACAAACAAACAGAGAGCAAAGACTTAATTTTCAAAATCTGAAACAGGAATTCCAAAGCATTAAACATCAAACATGATGTTTGAGTCTGCAGAGAGACTTGAAAAAGAAAGTAGTAGAGATGTTTGAGTTACGATTCTGTAATTAGATCCAGGAAAAAAGAAAATAGAAACTCATAAACCATTGAAGGTTTTTGGAATGCTCAATCGAGATGGAAAAATCAATTTCAAATTCTAGGGTTCGATGAGAAATCGAATCTTCCAAGCGATAAACTAACGATTCTCGCGATACATCCGGCATATCCTGACCCTTTTTCTTTTCTGCATGTCTTTCACGAACCATTTTGGCTTCCATCTTTGTTCTGCAAACATCAAAAACCCAAAAAAAACTTATAAAAAAAAAACCGAACAAACCAATAATCTGTTTACACGTGGTTTATGAGACCGTCTCTTGCAGGTCTTATATAAGGAGCGGTTCATAAAAATTATGGGCTTTTTCATTTTTTTTAATCCAAAACTCCTATGATTCTGTGTCAAAAACCTGCTAAAAACTCCTGATGGAGATGGTCTAAGTTTCTCACTGCACTGGAGTGTGTTGGCTTTACGACCGTGGGCATCGGAATCAGTTTTTTTTAAAGGTTTTTCTTTTCGTGTTCTGGCGATAACTTTTCATCGGTATTGATGGGTGAGCGAATGGAGAAGAAATTCACTTGGGTTTTGAAAAAGTTCTCTTCTTTGCGAGATGAGAGATGCTACTCTCGCCCTTTCGCCGTCGCTGGCTGCAATTGGTAAAGAGAGAAACGATTCACATCTACCATTTTCGTACATTTCTCTTTTGGGTGGGGATTTGATTTTAGATGGGTTTTGTTTTTGTTATTACAGGCGCCTTGTTGCTTATCGGAAGGGAAATACGAATGACGGTCACTTGGCCTTGTATCTGGAACTTGCTGATCCTGCGTCTTTGCCACCGGGATGGTCAAGAGACGTTAGATTTAGCCTCACTCTTGTGACTAAGGGTTGGGGCAAATCCAACAAAGTATTGGGTAACTGTTCTCTTCCAATCATGTTTGGGTTGGCGAAGTTCTTGGGACCATTAATTGTGCTATGCGTGTCAATTCCTACTTATCTTTTGATTTCTCTGAACCAGGAAAGATTATTGCTTGTCCTATGATATTTGAGCCTTATACCCTGTCTTTTCTCCATGTTTTACATTTGTTGACTATGCAAAGTCTGATTATTTTTCTTCACTCCTTGAAATTCGTTTGGTGCTCTGTATAATTCTAGATCTTTTCTTATCTTCTGTTTCGTTGCAGAAGGGCAACGCTGTTTCACTGCAAAGAATTACGGCTGGGGTTTCATTGATTTCGTGTCCCTTACCAAACTTCATGCCAAGGATGAAGGATTTCTCGTGAATAACAAACTCATTATCATCACTGAACTTCACGTTCTTCCAGCTGTTGTTGTACCAGAGGAAACTGTGAAAATCATTGAACTTCCGAGAAACAAAGAAGGAAATCAAGCTTCTGATGCACCTGATGGCAAATCTCAGGCGCAAAAAACTGAGAATGCATCTGAAGAAAATTTAGAAGATGATAACGCATCTGAAGAGGGTTTAGATGATGATGATGATGATGATGATGATGATGATGATGATGATGACGACGCCGCATCTGAAGAAGGTTCGGATGATGATGGTTCTTGTGAAGAGAATGTGGATAATGATGATGCTTCATCTCCTGTTTCAGATGATGGAGGTAGGTACGTAAGTCTTTTGAACCAATCAAATCCCTTGAAGGATGGATCTTGTACAGTAGGAAATCATGGTTTAAGGTCTAACACTGAGGCATCTGAGACTGAGGTTTCCAACGGTGAAAGTGATGATGCACCTAAAGAAGATGTTGATGATGAGGATTCTTATCCTGGTTCGAATGGTAGTGCCCGAAAGGGGAGTTCTCTAGACCAAGTGAAGTCCTTGGAAGTTGCCTCTCAGACTCAGACAGTAGAAAATGTTACTGAGACTGCTAATAGTTTGCTCACTGAGATTCAACCAGCGAAGGAAACTATAGATGTCAATGGGTTTAACGTTTTTTCTTCTCAGGTAAGAATGATTCATCTTCTGTTGTTTTTAGAGAGAAAGCTCTAATCTGAAAACTGAATGTGACCGCATGTTTAATATCATATGTCCCAATCTCTTATTTTTATGAGAAAAACGTTTATTTTGAAAACAATTCTGGATGGTGCATATTTCTGGTTTTTCTTTTTCTTTTTCTCTTTTCAGGTTTTAAAATCACAATCTTGTTGCCAATATAGTTTTATGTTGTTTTTTGGTTAGCAGGCAGAGTGGGTGAGCCATATCTTCAAAAGACACCCGGACATAGCGTTAGGATTCCGTCCAAAGAACCAACAGATCAGAAGAGCTTACATGAATGAACTCCTTCGCCTCATCGAGGCGCTGTGCCAGTCACCAGAGAAGCTCTCCGAAGATGATCTGAGCAATGCTGATGACACACTAGTCGATCTGATTGATGTCGGCTTTAAATTGGATTGGCTGAAGACAAAGCTGAAGGAGGTTTCTGAAAAGAAGAAGAAGGAACAGAGTAGTGGGGCTCTGCTACGAACAATGGAGGAACAATTACAGAAGCTGAAGCTGATGTTCTTGGATCTTGAAACTCAGCTGCAGAATGAAAAAATGGAGTCTTTGGCTGCTAGAGCTCCTCTCTCATTCAACGATGTTATGTGCTGATTTGCGAGGATTCTTGTAGAACTGTAGGTAATTTTTTTGTCTTTTGATGTCTCTGAACAAGTCTCATGTCTCAAGTTCATATTCGGAGTCTTTTGTCGAATGGGACTGAGTAGTGAATTAACCTGAAAAGTAACTTTTCAGTTAACCATTTTAACAACGAAAGTGTATCTCTGAGGATTTAAGTTTTGCAAGCAGGCTGCAAAACGTTGCAATGTTCCATGCACCTAATCACTCTCCACTCCTTATGAGAATCCAAAAAACATGTTTTCTACTTGAGCAATTGTGCCATTTCTCATTTTGGAGTTTCTCTGAATGCTCATGCATTAAGGCCCTGCTTTGTTCTGCTAAAAAACTACAGGGTATGAGACTGAACAAGATGAAGTTTTCCTCCATTCTTTGTTTTCATAGCGGTAAAATTATCTTTTCCCACCTAGCAGTAACATTTAGGTTCTCTTTAAATTGTCGTAGTAACTACAAGGAAAACAGAGTAGCTGTGAAACTAATGATGATTCAATGCAGAAACTCGGAAGCAAGGAGCAATAGAGTTACTCTAGCTCAGACCTATTCCCTAAGCGATATAAAAATTCTTCTTGGTAATCAACTATGGGAATATAAAGCGACTTGCTTTCGACTTAATGGACCCAAAAACAAAAAAAAAGTTATTGGACAGCGGTTTAAAGATCAATGCAGGGCAGAATATTGTTATACGGTTTTTACGTAAAATATTCGTACTCGATTACATTAAACATATATAGAATTCTTAAAATAGTTCAAGAATTTTGTTTCGTCGCGTAGTTGTCAATACAATTTTTTTTTTTAGCTCAGGCGAACTATAAATGTTTGATTGTGTCTTTGAAACGAGAGTTCTTTTAAACTTATGAAAGTAAAGTTGATATGGCTAATTTCATGATGTACAAGAAATGTCTTTCTATGGGTGTAAAAATAGTTTAAAGATTAAGTTACCATTGTCATGGTTAGAAACACTTTAGATTAATCATCAACTAGGATTAATTCTCTGTTTTCTCTTCTTCATGCATTTGCCGTATGATTCTCATTTGCCGTATGATTCTCATTTTACTAACGTTGAAGAATTTGAAAAGGAAGGATCTCAATATGTGTTTCATCATCTTGTTTGGTTTTAGAGTATATTCAGATACATATGCATCACAGGAATACAATGTCTGTTCTCTTATATGGTAAGGATTAATTGAAAATAGAGTCTCTGTTTTCTGAGTAATTACGTTTAGGTCTATTAAAATAACCTTGTTAGGAAATGTTATTATGTTTGATTAAGTTATTGGTCATAAATGTGTTTAACAATATAATCTAACTGTTCCATGAGGAAAATATGTTAGTTTTGTAAAATGAAAACTGCGTGTCAAGAAATTCAGAGTATCTGCTTCTAGTTTATTTGTTTGTTCTAAACGACTATATATGATTTTAGTCATACCCTGGTGAATCGTGATATTTTGGGAAACTATAGATCATTTAAATGTGTAATAATTTACATGCACCAGTAGTTACTCTAGCTTTCAGTTCATGTTTCTCTTAGATACCAAAGAGTTGAAAAGACCATTTGTGAACAGGATGGAGAAGAAACTTGATGAAGTAAAGGAGAAGAAGGAAAAAGTTTATGTTTATCATGCTCATTTGCAGGAAATGAAGCAGAAGTACTCAGACTTGAAAGCTCAGATAGAAAAGGTGAAGAGAGGTTTTTCCCGCCAACGTTCCTCTATCATTGGAAGATGTTGTTTGATATATGAACTGAGTTCTTACGGCCTTTATATTGGAGTTGATTTTGTTCGTTTGCATATTTCTTTCGAAATGAGTCCTATTATAGTCTTAGGAACCGAAAGAGATTTTTTTTCTGGGAAGTTTCTGCATTTTGTGGTCAAGGATTCTGCTAAAATCTGTGTTTCTTGAGGAAGAAGTAATAGCTTGATGTCTGAATACAGAGTGGTTAACATATCTACATAGACTCGATTTCAAAGCAATAAATCACTGATATAAATAAATCGAAAACAAAATCAAGAGAAATAATAGAGAAGTAAATTATGTACAGACCCAGAGTCGTGTTTGGACACAGGTTGATGAAGCATTTAGAGCCGGTGACTTTAAATTTTATTTTGGGGCTAATTTTGCAAAACTTAAACTAGTCCAGTTGGTCTTATGTAGTCAGAAATGTTTTGTGATGTTTTTACTTATTTTTACAAAATGTTCTATCTGCTATCCCACATCGAAAAGTTTTAAAAATTTAAAAAGGGAAGCTACACTATAAATAAGAGTGGACTGATGCTCTTGACTACTTAATTGCGGGTATTAGCTGCACTAATAAAAGTTTTTGTTTAAAAATAATAATGAGCTTTTAACGAAGAAAAATGTCTAAAGGGGCCAATTTTTTTTCTTGGCTTGTAGTCCGTGAAAAGTCAGGCACGGCTCTGTACAAAACGTCGAAAGAAGAAAAGAGAGAAATAAAAGAAGAAAGTGGAGAGGAGAGAAGGGTGGAGTTCGAAGAGAGTAGAAGAATCTTGGTGTGGCGGAAAAAAGGAGAAATAAAAACCTTGGAATCCAGAAATAGAATCAAGAATGAAATTCATGCTAAAGAGAGTGGGTTCGTGGTAAGGGGAGAACTAAAAATTGTTGCTGAGATAGAGGTTCTTAAAGTTTTTGGCAAGTTAGATGTAACAGAGGCAACATCATCAGTAATGAAAACCATGGATGTCTCATCATGTCAATGGGTTTCAAGCTTTCTCCTTCACAGGTTAGAAATTAAAAATGTTACAAACTTTGTGTGTAAACATTCATTTTCAGCCACGACAGACAACATTATGTGTTCTATCATACAGTATGGTGCTTTAGTGTTGTCTCCTAAAATTTATCGCTGAATAATGGATTCAGCTTCATGCTTCTTTTTTTTTTTTTTTTCACTTCTAGGTGGAATTTGTGAGCCATATGTCTGAAAGACACCCAGAGATTTCATCTGAATTCCCACAAAGAACCCAAAGCTAAGGACACGTTACATGAGTTTGCTGATTGAGACTCTACGCCAGTCGCCTCACGAGGTCCCCGAGGCTGATCTGGCCAAGGCATATGATGCACAGAGATCCATTACTAACGCTGGATTCAAATTGGATTGGTTGGAGAAGAAACTTGATGAGATGTCGGAAAAGAAGGAGAAAGGGGAGGCCGGTGAGACTCGAATTAAAGAAACTGAGAAAGAATTGAAGGACTTGAAGCTGAAGTGGTTAGGTCTCGAAGCTCAGCTGGAGAAGGGGAAGCAGAGGTTATGCCTGCAAAAGCACCTGTATCATTCGATGATGTTGTTTAATGTTCTTGAGTTCTTAGGCACATGGAGTCTACTTTTGCCATTGTTATATAACAATCAAACGATTGGTTGGTACTATGAGAGAGATTGATGGAATCATAAGTATGCCTCTTCAAGATTTATTGAGCAAATATTAAAGCAATTGGGTATAAAATACACGAAAATGAAACTAAGGCAAGTTCAGGAAACTCATATAGCTAGTGTGGTGCCTTAGAATCAAGTAAGGTGGTAGGGAACCCGGACCAGAGTTGGGATATAAGAAGAAGCAACAACACGAGCGCCTGTAGAAAACATGTGAATAGAGAATCTGTTTGAGAAGGACTTGTACAATGTCTCTTGATAATCCCAAATCATGATCACCACGACTCCGTCTCCTTGCTCAGAAATGGTCAAGGGTGTGAATAGCTGATGTGTGCTTAATCGTGGTTGGTAACGACCGCATAAACATACTGAATGCATCTTAGCCCATCTTTCTTCCTCTACGTCCACCATTCTCCAAATATCTAGATGGACACGGGGAGATGTCCTCATCTCGGACACTGTGAGACGGTTTCCAAGGCTGAGAAGCTCACACAAATAGGGTCGATCACTGTCTGAATAGCCAGTGTTTGGGTATGAATAGCCAGTGTTTGGGTACGGGACGACTCTAAACTCTTCAGTGTGAAGATCAAATGCAACTATTCTCGTTGCGCTCGGTTCCCATAGATCAACCGTGAACCAGTGAACCGAACCATTGACATGGACCGATCTTTCTGAAGGAAAAATCCGGTGAGCAACGACGCTTACTTGTCTCCATTGCCCTGTTTCAAGATCAAGAACATTGCAATCCTCAACCAAAAATGAGAGACCGTTACCACGTAGCACAACCACTTTATATGCTCCCGTCACTTCATCTTTACCGAATCCAAAAGAGCTTCCTCCCATCGGTAATCGAGCCACACGATCCTTTAACATTTTGTTGTGCACAATTGATCTGACGGGGATAGGGTTTCCGGTAGGACGTTTGGTCGAGACGAGAGGTTCTCGGGGAGGGAATCGCCGGGATTCTCGTGTCACCGGGTTACAAACTTCAATCGAATCCGACCCCGGGATGCAGATTAAGCCGTCGCATGTCAGCGAAACTCTGGAAGCTTCGCAATTGCGGATATAGCAGATTTTTTCTTCTTCGCCGGGGAATTGACTCGGCGGCTCGCCGTCGCTGCAACCGCCGTTGAGAGCTAAAAGGATTTTCCGTGGGGAATTCTTTCGATGTCTCTCGACGAAACTCTGGGATTCGATTGAAATTTTCCATTGCCTCGAAACGGACTTGAATCTGATGATAGACTTCAACGGAAGCCTCAGGAGGACTTCTTCAAGGAGATCGTGAGCAATATACGAATTACCAGCGGCCATCGCTCTTCTTCCTCTCTTTTTTTTTTTGTGTTGCCTCTACGACCAAACTTCTATCTTATCTACTGACCAGACCAAACCGCCTTGTTGCATCCATGTTCTAGTAACTTTAGGAACCTTTTGACTACCTTAAAGGCTTAAACCCAAAAGTCAAAAAAGATATTAATTAATTTTTTGGGAAATTCAAACAGACTTGAGGAACCTTTTGAGTTTTAGGGTTTTTCCATTTTCCGTCAATTTATAAGACTTTAGGTGGGCAATGCAATCTGCTACATATCTACTGGTTAAAATATTTTTGGAATATTCAGTATCATACCACAAATATATCAGAATTATCAAATATGGAGCCTGAATTTTGTTATATATATAGTAGAGTTTGGAATTAAATCATCCGTTTCCTATGATATATATATATATATATATAAGATAATAATTAGAATCAGTTTGTAAAAAATATATTCAAAGAAGAAGAGAAGATAGATTTTGAAAACTATGTCATTTCATTTTTTTTTGGAAACTACACTTTATAAGTGAAATGACAAAATTAATCTAATTAACAATTATTATAATTTTACTATTTATCAGAAAATTTATTTTAAAAAGCAGAAATAAACATTAAATTAAGGATACACTTAAAACTAATTAATTTTTTAATTGATAAAGTCCTAAATTTACGTTTATCGTAAATATTAGTATTTTAATAGTATATATTTCTTTTGACAAAAATAAAAAAATTCATATCCCACATACCATAAATTATTTCTTATCCAATTGTCAAATTCATGTCACGTTTATCGTAAATATTATTTTAACTGTCAAATACTATTCCTTCTCCCTATTCACACAATGACACAACATAAACTATCCATTTACCAAATTTGAGGACTAGGTTATTTGATTGCGTTTGTCTTACAACATTACATTTAGGGAAAAAATTGCTAACGATATTTTTATTTTCCTATTGTACACGTACATTTTCTTCTAAAATGATTTTTTTTTCTTTAAATTGGATAATTCTAGGCGGAATCTCTGTTGAATCCTAGAATTTATAGAGGATGACAAAATTGAAATAAAAGTAACGATGATTTAATTATGAGTCATTTCACTCTATACCAAAAGTTGATTAAGAAATTAACAATATACCAAAAAATAACTTGGAAATTAGGAGGTCTATGCAACATCATTAAAAATTGACCTCAGTACCCCTATAACTATTTAACTTGACGTAAAGAATTTTCTGCCAAAAAGGTAGAATAAACCGACATGTGCATTTAATGCTGCTCAGTTGGGACAGAATAGCCTGTGGAGCTACAAATACTGTCTGCAATAAAGATATGCAGAATCAATAAAATGTGTGGTAGATAAAAGATAAGAACATCAGTAAACAAGTAACAAAATGTGTGTGACTTAGATGTTTTCCACCACGTACGAACAAAATGTTAACAAGTAAGTAATATTGTTAACAAGAGTTAAAACAAGACCATATGGCGTAAAAAGGTTGTAAATAACCAAGCGAACATATTTAATAGTGTTGGCAATTGCTAATCATATATATAATATTGTTAACACGATAAAAGTTACCGATATAACAATGTTTTTTATTGTTAACTTTGTTAACAATATGGAATTACACCTTTATGTGATTTGCAAATGCAATGTCTTCGACCGTTAACTTTGTTATCATGTGCACTGAATGTCTTCGGACGTTAACGTTGATAACGTTGTTATCACGTATTTATTTAGACAAATGTTATAATGTTGACCTTATCCTAACTTAGTGCTAATATAACAATATTTTTTACCGTTAACTTTGTTAACAACATAGAATTACACCCTTATGTGATTTGCAAATGCAATGTCTTCGATCGTTAACTTTGTTATCATGTGCACTGAATGTCTTCCGACGTTAACGTTGATAACGTTGTTATCATGTATTTATTTAGACAAATCTTATAATATCATAACTTAGTGATAATATAACATAGAATTACACCCTTATGTGATTTGCAAATGCAATGTCTTCGATCGTTAACTTTGTTATCATGTGCACTGAATGTCTTTGGACTTTAACGTTGATAATGTTGTTATCATATATTTATTTAGACAATGTTATAATGTTTACCTTATCCTAGCTTAGTGATAATGTAATTAACGATTCTTGGCTCCAACTAGTGTAATTATCCTAATCCAGATTACAAAACAATGTTAGCGACAATATAAGTAACGATATAACACAGTTAGTTATTATCTACACATGGAACTACACCACTGTATTCCGGAATGATATGACTCTTACTTCCTCTAAACGGCTTATAACTTTCGTTCCTCGTCGTCAAGTGCATGTTCGATATCTGAAAGCACAGAGAGTTTTTGATATATATTCACTCTCTCGCCGGTGGGGACATAATCGGCGGCAAGAATTCACTGAGGAATCTCCAGATCCGCCATTAAACCTGCAAAAATAACTCTATTAGCAACTTCAGATGTAACCTGAAAAGCGACTTTGACCAAATACTGTAGTCCGCGAAAACCCCATTTAACCCCTAATCGGCGGTGGGGACATAATCGGCGGCAAAAATTCGCTGAAGAATCTCCAGATCCGCCATTAAACCTGCAACAATAACTCTATTAGCAACTTCAGATGTAACCCTAAATCCAGAATTTCTCTTTTTTTTTTTATATAAAAACTTTGAGAATGATGAAAGAGAAAACTCTATACCAATTATTCGAGTAAGTAGGCTCACACCGATGTGGAATCCGGCTGACACCGATTGGAAAAAAAAACAGATTTGAAAAGAGGTTTAGAGGAGACAAAACGATGGAAGATGATATCGGTTTTGAAGTGTGTATGTAAATTCAGTTAGATGTGAGTTATAGAGAATATCAGTTTCAAGAGTTTCTCTTTCTCCTAAAACATATCGACAAAAGTGAATGGTTGCGTATGCCCGCCCAGATATAAAACTTTTTACTAACACCTTTTTCAGATACCAGAGTCCATGCCATGAAAGAGAAACACATCTACGTAATATATGTTATAGAGGTTAAATGGAGTTTTCGCGGACTACAATATTTGGTCAAAATCACTTTTCAGGAATGATTAATTTCCAAATTATCTGTGATATCTAGTGATATTTCCCTTTAATCATTGATCTGAATCATCTGATAAAATGACCAGTTTTCTTTGATTTGATGATGACAGTTGGTTCATTTTATTTATCGAATAATTATTTAGAAACTTAAGAGTAGCCATATGCGATTAAGAGTCACTATGGGAGCTTTTGGGTGTGAGGACTGATTAATTTGCAAACTCAGAATTCAGAAAGGTCTACATGATTGGTTTCTATGTGTGGCACAAATATATTTATTTAAGTATATATATATATTTTTTTTGGTAAAAATTTATTTAAGTATATATTTAGTCACAACCCAATTTTTAATATATCGAATTATTATTTTAAGGTTTAGACTATGATTCTCAATATTGCTCGACAGCCCTACCCATCCTGTTCAAATATATAATATACCATTACGTTGTGTCCATTGTCTATATATAGTGTTGGCACATTTTCTTTTCTATTTTATAAAATAAAAAGTAAATTAAAGTCCTTATGATTATATATTGTCTCACATTATGCAAACACATTAGTTATATATATATAGAGAGAGATGTATTCGAATGTTAATTTTATGCATATATATATATATATATATATATAGGTCAGATATTCTTTCGCTTTCTGTTATGTGTTATCAAAGTAATTTTTTTATTTTCTTTAATCACTAATTGTAACTGTATGTATATATTAATGGGTTTTGGGCCTTAGGTCGGGCCTTATAAAGACGTATAATATGCAAATGTAATTAACCCAAAACACTGAGCTTATGGGCCAATTGATAATAACTGAAGCCATATTTGGCAGCGTAAAAAGGTTTATTGCAATCAAAAGCCTCTGAAAGAGGGGGAAGGTTTATCATAGTTGAACAATTGAACAAGTTGTTTATCGGATAATAGAGTTTGACAAAACTGAGAAAAGGTCTTATCTTCTTCTTCATCTGATCGTGGCGATCGCCATGGAAATATCTCTTCTCCGTTCGGCGGGGACGCAAGCATTTCTCTCGTCATTCTTGAAGCCAATTCCACTGCACCGAATGTGATTGTGAGACAGAGGCGAAGAAAGTACCGTGTTGTGGAAGCAATATACGATTCGATGTTCTTTGCAAAGCGTGAAATGAGGCAATAAATTTTGATTTCGAGATCACACAGTTATTACATTCATGAGTTCATCTACCGAACAGTTTATTATGTTTATAGAATGCTCTGTGTTTGGTTTAGTGGATTTAATTAGCCTTCTCTCTCTGCTGCGTGGTTAAATGCAGGGTTTTGATAGTGGTTAATTTGAAAGATCCTAATTCGCCAAGGTTTGTGTTATGTAATGGTGAGGCCGGTTCCGTCAAAGCCAACCGACTTGCAAGTCCTTGTTTGTTTGACTTGATGAGCATTAGGGCTGGGCTTGGTGCCATTCACCTCCAGTTTGTACTCTTACCGCAAAATCTCCCAAACTTTATTATATGGAAGGTGCTTATGAAACTGCAATCCCAAACTAATAATTTCATGTCTATATATACGCTTTGCAATTTAAGGACCAAAAAAAAAAAAATGACTTTAAGGAACACTCTGTTTGTGAAAGGTTTAAATTCGCTGATCGATTATTTATATATATTACTGCAATATGTGGGGAAAAAGGGCAAAAATTACACAAAATCATAATAAGTCTAGAACAAATCGATCATAACTCTAGAAACTTGAGGATCTTCGTGAGGAGGTGAGATCTTGATAGTGTCGTCGTCGCGTCGAGTGTTGTTGGTCTAGAAGATTTCTGTTGCGTGTAATGGCGGGAAGAAGATGAGGATGAAGATGTGAGAAGCATGGATGAGGAAGAAGAAGTAAATTCGAGGCTTGTAGGGTGGAGGATCTGTGTGAGTAGAAGCACAATTAACGCCATTGATGGTGATCAAGCCTTGCGTCTTTTAGGGTTTAGAGTGATGGCTATGAAGATGAAGAGTGGGATCATGATGATACTGGTTCAGAGGCCCCAAGTGATGGCTATGAAGATGAAGAGTGGGATCATGATGATTCTGGTTCGGAGGCCCCAAGTGATTGCTATGAATATGAAGATGATTGGGATCATGATGATGCTTATTCAGAAGACTTCAGTGATTTCTATGACTATGACTAAGGGATGCATGAATAACTTAGCAACAGATGAAGTAGCGAATTTTGATATTGAAGCCAAGCTAAAGAAGGAAAAAGGTCGTGAGGATGATGGCATAACAAGTTTTAAGTTCTTACGTACTTGGTTTCGTACTTGTAACCATAATGGTAGAATAAAGACTACTATATAGTCTATATATATATATATATATTAATGCTTTCAGTTTCAGTGTTTTTGTCTAATGTTTACGAATATTATGAAAGGCAAAAAAAAATTGATAAATATTTTCATGACAAACAGTGATATGTAAAATCACAAATTTATTTTAAAAAAAACCTACGAACAAAATTTAAAATAATATCTTAGTTGTTTTATATCAAAATCCTATATTTGTTTTTTAATTAAAAAATTTCAATGACCATCGATGGCCGTGGAGGCTTTGGCTGCTAGAGTTCCTCTCACATTTAATGATGTTGTTTGCTGATTTGTGAGGATTCTTGTAGAACTGTAGGTGAATCTTTGTCTTTTGTTGTCATGGAACAAGTCTTTTAGGTTCATATCTTCCGATTCTTTTTGTCGAAGTGGACTCGGTAGTGAAATTAACCTGAAAAGTTGAATCATTTGAAAATAAGTTTGACAGGCTGTAAGAATGTTGCGCACGTCTGATTACTCTCTCCACTCTTCTGAAGAATCCTTAAGCTTTTCTTCTTTGAGTAAGTGGTCACTCTTCAGTTTTGGATCATAACTTCAGACTAATGAGACTGAAAATAATGAAGAACAGGGTGAGAAACAGACTACTCTGTTTTTTATTATTAGGATATTTAATTATAAGTTATAACTTTTCCTGCAAAAAATGGAGGAAGAATTACGGAAGAGATGCTGAAACCTGGAAGCTTTGGTGGAGAAGAGAAGACAGAAGTTTCAAACGCCAATGTTCCTCTATTGTTCCATGAATCGAGTTCTTGGCAGAATTGGAGTTCGGTTTTCTAGTCTGTTCGTCTATCATATTTTGTGCTCGAAGTTGCTCTCTTTTATATTTTTTTTTTTGGGGTTTATAGTTCTCTTTATTTAGGTTTGTATAAAGTACCGAGTTCCTTGATGATAAAGCAATCTCTTTGGGAATGAATATGATCAGAGAGTGGTACTCGAAGAGTTGCTTCCAATGGCTCTGCGTTGACTTCTTTAATAGTCATTTGTTTTAAAAACTGATTTGTTTCGTAATAATGGCAGAGTATCAATTTACGAAGGACCACGACGGTTTGCATTCGCGCACACTATTCAGAGTTTCAATGCATTTTCTTCATTTATTTAAGGTGATTTCTTTTTCTTCAGGGCCTAGCAATTTGATTCGGAGGAATCTTTATCACATCAATGGCCAAGAAAGTTGGTAAGAAGTTCGCTTGGGTGATAAAGAACTTCTCCTCTTTGCAATGTAAGATCTGTTACTCTGTTCCTGTCCTGATCGCTGACTGCAAATGGTAAAAAGAGCAAGTTTTTTTTTTTACTTTGTTCAAATGTTTTTTCGATCTGGAAATAGGATCTATCATTATTCATTGTTTAGGTGACTTGTTTCTTTTTCTTCAGGAGTCTTCAAGCCTTTCCTAACGGAAACGACGTTGATTACTTGTCTTTGTACCTGCAAGTTGCTGATTTTGAATCATTGCCTTGTGGATGGAGAAGATATGTAAAACTTCGGCTAACTATAGCGAGACAAGTTTCGGAAATAGACTCAGTAGTGAAAGGTGATTCTTACTTCAATCTTGTTGATTAATTTTCTTGAATATTGCTTGCCATCATATGCCGCAAATCTTTCTATATGATGTGCTGTACAAGGTTTGTTCTTAAGTTCTATGTTTCTCAAGGGTACTTAGAAGGATGCAAGTGATTTAGTATAGTAAATTATTGTGCCTAAGTTGTGAACACTGATGTCTAGTCCTCAAGTATTATATAGTTCAAGCAGAACTTTCTTCGATGCTATATTAACTATTAGAATGAATTGTTTTACAGAAACACATCGCTGGTTTGATGAGAAGTCATTGGGATGGGGGTTTCGATACATGATTCCCCTTACCACACTTGATGACGAGAAGGAAGGGTTTCTGAATAATGGAGATCTCGAGGTTGTTGCTGAGGTAGACGTTCTTGAAGTTATTGGCACTTTAGATGAATCAGAGGAATCTAATGGTTCGCTCAAAGAAGCTTCATTAGGAAAGGAATACATGGATGTCAATGGCTTTCAAGTTCTTCCTTCACAGGTATGAAATCAATAATGATGCAAGCTTTATTCCAGATGTCCAAAAGACTGCTCGGTACATTTGCTTTTCCCTTGCAGGTGGAATCTGTGAGGCGTATATTTGAGAGACATCCTGAGATTGCAGTGGAGTTTCGTGCAAAGAACCAACATCTGAGGCAAGCGTGCATGAATTTCTTGCTCAGCTTAATCGAGACGCTGTGCCAGTCACTTGAGGAGCTCACCAATGAAGATCTGGTGGAAGCAGACATTGCACTGACATATGTGAAAGATGCAGGATTTAAGGTGGATTGGTTGGAGAAGAAGCTGGACCAAGTCAAAGAAAAGAAGGAGAAAGAGAAGTCTGATTTGGCCATGCTCCAAGAAACAGAGGAGAATTTACTGAAACTGAAGCAAAAGTGTTCAGAGTTGGATGCTTTAGCGGAGGAGCGTAAGGCAGAGTTGTCGGCCACAAGAACTCCTCTGTCTTTTTACGATGTTGTTTGATGATTATTAGTCTGTCTCAGTTAGGCTTCTTGTCATTGATCTTATGTCATTTTGTGAAAAAACCATATTGACGCTACTACGGTCGGTCCATCTAACTTTGGCACAATCGAATTTTATAAGTTCTTCATTTCTCGTTAGTATATCTCGGCAGAGATTTTTAGCCATGAAAATTTCCACTGTGAAAGCTTGACTACGAAGTTGCTGTTAATACGTCTATAAACTTTATTCCTTTAACCACTTGTCCGTGTATATAGGTATCGTTAAAACGATATTGTTAAGAAAATTTGAAATAACATTTTATTTCATTTTATATCCTAGAAATTAATTATATTTTATGAATAAAACGTTTTTCAAAAATTAGTTTCCGCATATATAGAATAAATTCAATTATTTTTTTTTTTTTTTATCCAGAGATGCACATGTACCAAAATGTTAAAACCCTAGGATTAGGAATAGCAGAAAGAATTCATTTAAGAGTGGCATCCGAACTTGTCAAGGTTTCGATTACACGTATTGGAATAATATAATTTCAGTACTGGTTGTGCTGCTCAAGATTGTTGTTTGGTTGTCCGATTTAATATTGTTGAGTGTGTACTACTCAAGTTCTAGGAATATTCTAGGGTTTCTTAGAGGGATTTGCTCCAGAGTGTGCTCATCGAGTGGTAGCTTTATCAATTTTGGGTCTGTGCTTTTTATGTTGAGTTGTAATGTTTCCTCATCTTCTTGCATGCGCTGTAGGTTGATTGCGAGAAATCTACATAACGCCGATGGAGAAGAAGGTTGTTGGGAAATTTGTCTGGGTGATAAAGAATTTTTCCTTTTTGCAATCTGAGAAAATTTATTCTGATCCATTTGTGATAGGTGGCTGTATATGGTAAGCAGATAATAATAAAAAAGTATGATGATTTGGTGTGCACATATATATGTTCATTTGATAATCTCTAAGTTCTGATTATTCCTTACTTTGTTTATCTTCTGGCAGGCAACTTTTAGCATGTCCCAATGGAAATGGCGTTGATGATCACATGTCTCTCTATCTGGAGGATCTTGCTGATTGTGGATCATTGTCTTTTGATTGGAGAAGAAAAACATATTTCCGCTTAAAAATAGTAAATCAAGTTTCGAAAAAACTCTCCGTTAGGAAAGGTAATTGTTAATATATGGCTCATCAGTCTTGATTCATTAGGTGAATGTTTGCAAAAGTTTTACGAGCTAACGCTTGTCTAGATTGGATCTCTATGTTGTAAAGAGGTGTTTGAGTTAAGTGGTTTAGATTAGCTTTAATCTTTCGAGCACTGATGATGATCTTTAATGGATAGGTGCATAGTCCACGCAGTACATTATCTGAAGATTATTTTAATGGATAGGTGTATAGTCTACCATCACTCAAATAATTATATGTATATTAAACTGAAGATTATTTTGAGTAAGAACAAAATACAAACATAAGTCTACCAGTATTGTAAATTACAAATATTAAATCTACCAAAATTTAATAAACCTACCATACTTATAATTAAAATCTACCATATTATTTTCTAAAATACAACTGTTTTAAGTCTACCATATATACGAATAAGTCTACTAACTCCTGATAAAGCTACTATTAATAGCAATAAGTCTACCAAGCAAAATAAATCTACTGTACATCAAACTAAATAAATTTGTCACCATTATAAATAAATCTGTCGCCATTATTATTTAAATCTACCAAAAAAGTCAAACACTTACGATAAGTTAACGATATTTTCATAAGTCTATTATTAAATATAATAAATATACCAACAATAAATATGTCTACCAACACAAAATAAGTCTACTATGCTATAAAAATATGTCTACCAAAACAAGTCTACTAAGGTTCAACAAATCTACCAACTCTCAAATAAATCTACCATCAAAAAATTGCGTTGACCAAATTCAAACAAGTCTACTATAAATAGTGGTAGACTTATGCATAATGTCGCGATACTTTTTGCTTACGTGGCATATAAAAAATAATGGCATTTTCGTAATAATGTTTTTTTCAACAAAGCTTTAAAGGGCAAGATCGGTATACGAGGTTAATTTAGCATAAACAATAAAAGTATGTCAAACTATTAATAAACATTGGTTTGCAGGATACTTGAATAATCCACCCTATAATAAATGATGCGTTTAGTTACCTCATCACGAAGAAGTAAAAGTCTTTTGTAATATATAACATTGAGTTTTTTTTATTTGAATAAATTTGACATTCAGTTCAAAAGAAAAAAAAACATTTCCTTAAGTAATTAAAGACTATTTACCTTGAATTCAAACAAAAGTGATTACATCCACTCCACAAACATTGCACACGACAAACAAGTGTCTCAATTGGATGAACACCATTAATATCCACCGGTTGTTTAGCTTTACCATTTATTAGTTTTGTTATAATGACAAGAATGTCACTAATGCATGCATTTTGTAAATATTTCGCTCTTAACTCCGCAAATATATATTCTCGGTGGTCTCCATTCCTCTCAGCAAGACTTCAACACTGAAGGTTAACTAACCCTCAACTAACAGTCTCCAATTTTTAAAGTGAGTGATGATCGTCGCATCAATGGTGAAGAATACAGAAAGTACTGAATCTAGCGATGATGAACAGAGTTATTCATCTTCATCTGAAGAATGGTCCAACGCATCAGACCATGCTGATGAAATTGCTGAAGTCAACGGGTTTCAGGTTCTTGATTCCCAGGTGATAATTATTTGAAGAATGGTCCAAGTCTTCTTGACTTATAAGTCATGAAATTATACAAATACAACTCTTGTATCATATCAGTGTGAAATAAAAAAATCAATATCAATAATGAAAAATAAAACAACGATTTGACATTTCTTGTTTCACAGGTAAACCAAGTGATGGCAATCTTTGAAAAACATCCAGATATTGCATCAGATTTCAGTTTAAAGAATCAACAGCTCAGAAATGCTTACATGGGTGTTCTTCTCGACCTAATTATGACACTGTGCCAATCCCCTAAGGAGCTCACATTGGATGATCTAAAGAAAGCAGACCGCACGGTTTTGGATTTGACAAAAGCAGGCTTGAAGTTGCATTGGTTGCGTCAGAAACTGGACGAAGCTTTCTTGAAGAAGGAGAAAAAACGGGCCATTGGGGAACGGATCAGAGTACTTGAGCAACAAGTCAAGAAGCGAAGGCTGAATTTGTCGGATTTAGAATCTGATCTGAAGAAACAGAAAGCTGCAGCTTTGGCTGCTGAAATTCCATTTGATTTCAGCGATATTGTCTGAATGAAAAAGTCATAAGATGACGATTTGAGGTTAAGCTTTGTTTCTTATTATAATCTGCTGCGTTTATATCACCTTCTAAGAGTGGTCTTTAAATTTTAGCTTTTCTTGTTTCAGCAAATTCTCTTTTGGATATTGTTTTGTTTCTTAATTTTGGGTTTTATTTTGGATATGCTTACTTTATTTAAATGAAATGAATATAAAAATCTATATTTTCATTGATTTATAAAAGCCCTGATGTAAAATATGAATACAATTTATTTAAATGAAATAAGTATAAATCTATATTTTAAGTGATGGATCCTGATGTTACATACAAATACTTTTCATGAATACTCTGTTTGGAATCCTCTGTTTCCGGAATAAAGTTCAGATGGAAGAAACAAAAATTGATCTATAATACAAAAATTCAAAATAAATTCGATCTATAATCTTATATAAAGGTGCAAAATTTAAAGGCTAAAAATATATGATTTTCATTCTATATACACAAACAAACAGTAAACCCTAGCTCTTCGCATTCAAAACTTTGAAGTGGTAAATCCTTTTCCCTCGATTTTCACAGTGGACCAGTGGTATCTCGATTTAATGATATCTATTGTGGTTTTCTGTTGCTCGAGATTGTTATTACTTATTTATTGTTTGTTCGATTTACCACTTTGGGAGTGTGTATGCGTCATTCAGGTTCTAGGGTTTTTAATTCTTCACCTCGTCCTCTCCGCTTCTCGTCATAGTTTGATTGCGAGGAAACTTCTACTCGAATTCGCTAACCATTCTCTGTTCCTTTTCTGAAACACTGAAGCTTAATATTTAACTAAGGCACTGACCCTTAATTTATTCGATTCTGAGCGTTGCAACTAGAGGAGAAGATAATTGTGGTTCAAAAATCAATTGCTTGCAGTGGAATCTTAGTTTTTAATTGGTCTAATTTTGTATCTCGAGGGTGCGTGACATCCAGTTAAAGAAGTTTTTTTTATCTTGTCTCCAGGTTCTGGTCCTTTGATTGCAAGTAACCTCTCATCGCACTTCAATGGCAAATCAAGTAGATTATAAGAAGTTTTGTTGGGAGATAGACTATTTCTCCTTTTTGCGATCGAAGTTGTGTTACTCTGATCCAGTCGTGATAGGTGGCTTCAAATGGTAAAAATCATAGTTTCTTTTGTTATTTTTCAGAGATGTTTTCGTCCATTTAAGCTAACGTGATATCAATCTTGAAATCATGCATATACAGATTTGGTGAATATTCATTTTTTTTGTTGTTTTTTGTTTTTGTTTTTTTCCTTTTCTGACAGGCGTCTTATTGCCTTCTCTAAAAAGGGAACTGATTCATTGTCTCTGTATCTGGAAGCTGTTGATTTGAAAGCACTGCCATCTGGATTGAGAAGATTTGTGGAATATAGCATAACTATTGTTAATCAAACCTGTGAGGAACTCTCCGTACGTAGAGGTATATAATATGCACAATGGTCATGACTAGTGATATAGAATAACGGAATAATTCACAACATGAGGTTACTCTTATGGAACAATCGCAATTTGATTTTCCTAATCCACAGTGAGGATTTTAGTGTCATATATTATATATTTATGTTGATTAACCAATTAATGGGTGAATTGTTACAGAAGGATAGAACTGCTTATATAAAGAAAGCTACGACTTGGTGTTTAAGAGTGATGAAAGATTTTTTTTTTTTCCTTTTCGAAAACGTGAAAATATAATGAAACGTTATGCATGTCAAAAAAGTGAAAACTTTATAAGAAAGAATAAAAATCAGTTTGGACAGTAGCAATTTGATATGTTCCATCCCCAAGGGAGGACTTTAGTTCGTGTAGTGCTTTAACTATTCTATGTTGATTAACCCATTAATGGATGAAAATGTTACAGAAAGACGAATTTGGTTTGATAAGAACACTCCGAACTGGGGTTGGCCAGATATGATTTCCCTATTCAATCTTACTGCCCCAAATAGTGGATTCCTGGTGAACGGAGGAGGCGTCATGGTTATTGCTGAAGTAGAAGCTCTTGAAGTTATTGATACATTAAACCCGTCACAAGTTGCAGAGATTAGTGAAGACAGAGCTCATGATTATTCATCTTCATCTGACGAGTTGCAGAACAAAGATGATGTAGCTATTGAAGTAAACGGCTTTCAAGTTCTTCATTCGCAGGTAACATCATTCCCAAGTAAACGGCTTTCAAATTCTTCATAAAGCTTGACGATTTATTCAACTCTTGTTTCAATGTCAACTGATATTTTGACCCTTTTTTTCTTGTTTTAACATCACTACCACAGGTTACTCAGGTGAAGGCAATCTTTGAGAAACATCCAGATCTCACGTCGAATTTCAGTTTAAAGAATCAACAGATCAAGAATGCTTACATGTATGCTCTTCTTGACCTGATCAAAACACTGTGCAAAGCTCCTAAGGAGCTCACCGTGGAAGACCTGAACAAAGCAGACAATATGCTCTCTGATCTGATAAAAGCAGGCTTCAATTTGGATTGGTTGCGTCAGAAGTTGGATCAGGGTTTGGATAAACAGATAGCTTATGACACACGGATCAGAGAACTCGAGAAACAGGTGAAAAAGCGAAAGCTGGCATTGACAGAACTTGAAGGCGACCTGGAGAAAGAGAAAGCAGCGGCTTCGGTTGCAACCATATTTTCTGACTGATTTTTTTTTGGGTGAGTCTATGCTTCTTATAACTTGAGTCTTCTCCATAATGGTGGGAAGTTTATTAGGAATATATAGTGTTTTATTCTTTCAGTCTTTCTATTTAGCTTTCTTCATTTTGAGAAATCAAATTCCTCTATTTCAACTTAGGTATATTAAAAGACTTATGTCAGAACTTTCCACACTCTTTTGTTGAGTTGATAGTTTCTCAAGGGCTTTAGTTTCTTGACTCAAAAGTAATATAATGTATGGTCAAGTGTGTACGTAGCCTTCTCTCTGTCGTTTTTCTGCCACACTGAAAAATAATCACCCAATTAAGCAATCTCTATGCTAATTCGTCTTCACGCCCTGCGGTTTTGAATGCAAGAAAGTCTCGTAATTTCAGTTGTAGTGATGAAATTGTGGTTAAAGAAGAAAGCAGAGAGTAGCTTGATAAAACTATTAAAACATTGATTTCGTTTAATAATGTTTTTGCACTACATCGTTATAAAATTCAAAGAAAATGTAGCCATACTACAAAATTGTAGGGCACCAAAGTAAGCCTTTCCAAGAACTTTCAAAGGCAAACAAAACGACCTAGGAGAGGTTTTGTTTCACATATATATATATATTATAGCTTATTCTATATAGCATTTTAAGACTGAGAAGAATGGTAGGGACCGCGCGAACGCAGGCCCCCTCTGCCACAAATAATGACGTAGGCTCTTCCATTTGGAAGACCTTAAGCTAAGCACCCTTCCTTAATGTGCAATGGTAGCCACTAGCCTAGACCACTCGTCTTCTTGATCACGAGTTGACCCCGTCCAGGTAAGTGATTTGGTCGATGTCTCCACTTCTTTTTTTATACCGAGTTTATATTCTCTCCTTCTTTGTTATAACCGATGTGGGACTTATCATAAATCCGTGCTTTTTTAATTTTATCATAGTTTTTTTTTTTTTCTACTGGGCCCGTCTATTCAGCCCAATTCAATTTTACTAGGATATGACATCAGTCTTTATATTCAGCCCAATTCAGTTTCATTTTCTTTGCGACCATTTTGAGTTTCTTGTTAGGGCTCTGTCTTGGTGGAAGTGATCTAAGTGGTAAATCCTCACGCATTAATCTCAGAGGTAAATCCTAAACCACTGATTCTTCTACTCTTTTGATTTTCCGATACACTGTTTGCTGTGTCGATTATGGTCATTTGTAAAAATTGATGTTTAAGAGTGTCGAACGAAGTGTTAGATTCTCAATTTTGGGTTATTTTGTGTCACGATTGTATGCTTTACAAAATTTGAGTGTTGTGGTAGTTTGATTTCAGGTGAGTGAGTGTTTGTAAAAATCAATGGGGAAGGAAGTTGATAAAAAGTTCTCTTGGGTGATTAAGAATTTCTGCTCTGTACGAGCGAAGAAAATTTATTCTGATGAATTCGTCGTCGATGGCTGCAAATGGTAAGAAGTGATCTCGTTTTCTGATGGTTTTGGTCAATTTTGGGTATTTTTTTCCGTTGTTTGATTGATTTTGTATTCCTTTGTTTTCCTTGCAGGCGTCTTTTGGCCTTCCCTAAAGGAAATAATGTTGAGTGCTTGTCTCTGTACCTGGACGTTGCTTGTAGTGAATCATTGCCTTCTGGATGGAAAAGAAACGCATTACTGCGTCTCAGTATTGTGAATCAAGTTTCTGAAAAACTCTCTGAAACTAAAGGTGATTGTTCCCACACCGCTCACTACTTGATATGCGTTGGGCGAATAGTTGCAAGTTGCAACACAGTTATTGTCCCCAGATTCTTATTTGTGACAAGTTAATCAACTAGACAGTAACTATGCTGTTGAACTCTGTTTCTGTGTTGCTGGACTGTGTTTGAGTTGGGTTTAGGGTTTAGACTAGTTTCAAAGTTTCGGTGCAATGTTATTTGATGTGATGACAATGATGAGATGGAATCTATTTCGTTGTTTTGCAGCAACACAACACTGGTTTGATGCGACGTCTTCCGACTGGGGTTTTACATCAATGTTTCCCCTTTCTAAACTTCACGACAAAGATGGTGGATTTCTAGTAAATGGAGAGTTGAATATTGTTGCTAGTGTAGATGTTCTTGAAGTTATTGGAAAACTAGATGTTCCAGATGAATCTGAAGAGGCAACCAAATCACTGAGCAAGTTAGAGGAAGATGATGGTGCAAAGTCTAGCGATTTTCTTGAGGAAGCTTCACCGGTAAAGGAAAGCATGGACGTCAATGAGTTTCAAGTTCTTCCTTCACAGGTATGAATTTTATGTTTTGCAAATATTTCTGAAGTATTAAAAGAGCAAATTTTAAATTTAGTGAAAATAAGAAAAAGAAAAAACTGGAATATTTGAGTATGTTGTGGTCTGTTTTGAGTGTTTTCAAGTCTCTGATAATTGCCGTATGAATATATTTTTTTACTATATTCATCCTTTCTTTCCGCTTGCAGGTAGAATCTGTGAGCCGTATACTTGAAAGACACCCTGACATTGCATCAAAGTTGCGTCCAAAGAATCAGCACCTGAGGTCAGCCAACATGAGTGTTCTCCTCAGCTTAATCGAGACATTGTGCCAGTCGACTCAGGAACTCTCCAAGGATGATCTGGCAGACGCTGAGGCTGCTCTTGAATACTTGACAAAAGCGGGGTTGAATTTGAATTGGTTGGAAGAGAAATTGGAACAAGTGTCAGCAAAGAAGGAGAAAGAGGAAGCTGGTGAGACTCGGATGCAAGAGATAGAGGAAGAGTTGAAGGATTTGAAGCTGAAGTGCTCAAACTTGGAAGCTCAGCTGGAGAAGGAGAAAGAAGTTGTGTCTTTGGCCAGAGCTTCACTATCATTCGATGACGTTGTTTGATGGCTGCAGATTTGAGGTTTTCTTAGTCACGTGGATTTTAGTTATGTTTTTTGTTGCAGTCTCGGCTGTGGATTGTGTCGTTGTTTCGAATTTTCTTAAAACTATGGAAGATAAGTGACTTAACTTGGATTACAAGTTTCCGCATCTTGTAAAGAAGTATTTTGTGGTTGAGGAGTACTCGTTACGTTTCTTTGGAGCACTTTTGTTTGATTGTCAATTTGTCATTGGTGTCTGAGAAACAGAGAGTAGCACACGAAGAGTCGGTTTTTATTAAGTTATTAATTCGTAATTATGAAAGATTACCAAGACACGATGAGCCAAACCTGTTCGGATGATATTGTTTGATGGCTTCAAATTTTGAGTTCGTCTTCACTTGAATTTAGTTCACTTTGGTGTGGAAGTGAAAACTCTGGAAGATAAGTGACTTAACATGGTGTGGAAGTTTCCGCATCATGTAAAAAGTATTTTGTGGTATGCAGTTATGTTTCTTGATAAATAAGCCAATGCTATTATTGTCTGAGAAACAGAGTGGCACATGAAGAATCGTTTTTAGAAGTCCCTTAATTCGTAATTAAGACAGATCATCGAAACAAGATGACTCAACTGTTCGAATTCCTATATTTATATGCTAGATTCATCTTCTTTATGTATATCCGATTTGTAGGAAGAAACTTTACCTATGAGCTAGGAGAAGCCGAAGCGTTTCGTATTCCTTATTTATTTTTATTTTTTTTCGTATGCCTTTAGTGTTTGTAATCAACACGATTCACTTTATAACCTGGCTGCTATTTAAGCGGTGGTGTTGTCACTGTTGGAATGGCTATCTTTTTGAGTTTAAGGCGACTCTAAGGGGTAAATAGTAAAGTAAACGCTATACAGTTTGACCATTTAGATCCTCTCATGCTTCATTTCCTTGATTATGCGCGTTTTCTCGTATTGAATTACTAGTAAAATTTGTTGTGTTTGTTATTTGAACTTCGAGTTCATCCCGTAATTTGCTGCTTGAAATTGTAATTTGATTTTCCGATCAACAAAATTTGGTTGTGCGCCACTCCGCTTCTACGGTATATAACCTCACTTCTTGTAAATCTGGTTGTTTGGCTGCAGAGGAATCTTCTTCATCAAGAATCAATGGGGAAGCAATATGAAAAGAAGATTACTTGGGCGATTAAGAATTTCTCCTCTTTGCAATCTGAGAAAATTTGCTCTGATCAATTCGTCGTCGGTGGCTCCAAATGGTGATAAGATAACTTGTTTTCTAACGGGTTTCGTCCAATTTATCTAGTGTTACGTGACACATCCATTGTTGTCTATGGTTTTTGCTTACAGGCGTCTTGAGTTGTATCCCAAGGGAAATTGTGCGGGTAATTATTTGTCTCTGTTTCTGGCGGTTGCTGATAAGGAAGCTTTGCCTTCTGGAAGGAGAAGATACACAAAGTTTCGCCTAACTGTTGTTAATCAACTTCCGGGAAAACTCTCCCAAGTGCAAGGTGGATTATTTCTACACTAGCTCTACTTTATGATTAAGGCGGAGTCCGAGATTCTACTTTATGATTCTATCTGTAATGGACTCATGGGGCTTATGCTGCTGCGAGATTCTATTAATGTGTTGTGCAATGCTTGTTTTTACTAGATCATCTCTATATGTTTCATGATTCTACAGAAGCACAAGAGGTGTATGATCAGAAGTTTCCCGCCTGGGGTTTCTTAGAAATGCTTTGCCTTACCAATCTTCATGCCAAAGATGGTGGATTTCTGGTGAATGGGGAACTCAAGATTGCTGCCGAGGTGGAGAATCTTGATGTTATTGGAAAATCAGATGTGTTAGAGGAAACTTCATCTGTAGTGGAAATCAATGGGTTTCAAGTTATTCCTTCACAGGTAATCGGAAAAAAATTGAAAAAAAAAAATATACGGAAGACTCTCATACTATAGTGTAGTTCCTTGATATATACAAGCTGCATATATGTTTTGTGGGTCTATTTTCAAGTCTCCAAAAACCAATATCTAATATGGCTTTACTTTATATGTCCATTTTTTCACTTGCAGGTAGAATCTGTGAACAGTCTGTTTGAAAAGCACCCAAACATTGCATCAAAACTCCGTCCAAAGAACCCACATCTGAGAACAACATACTTGAATGTCCTACTAAGCCTTACTGAAATTCTGTCCAAGTCCCCTGAGGCACTCTCCAATGGTGATCTGGCCGACGCATATTCTTCACTGAGATATGTAGCAATGGCAGGGTTTAAATTGGATTGGTTGGAGAAGAAACTCAAAGAGGCTGGTGAGAGTCGGATGCAAGAAATCGAGGAGGAGTAGAAGGATTTGAAGCATAAGTGCTCAGACATGGATGCTCTACTTGAATTCTTACGATGAGGTTGTTTAAGGACTATGCACTTAAGAGTTTGGATCTAACTAGTGTTCTAGTTTTGTTTGTTTTCATCTTTAAGGTGTGGCTAGGTTTCTTTAATTGCAGTTTGTTTCTTGATGGGAAAGTAATCAGAATTGTTTTGGTGTCCCAAGTCTGAACGGTGACTGTTGGCGCACAAAGACAGTCAAATTAACTTTAATTCATGGTATGATGAATATGTAGCAATGGGATCTCTCTGAAAGATGGGAAGCTCTAACCAAGTTGTGTTCAAGCAAACACTGTCTGTAGCTGTCATTCATAAATTTTCTGAGGTGTATGAAGAAACTTTACAAAAGACCGAATTTTTTGGTTTTAATGTTAATTTTATTACCAAAAAAAGTGAAAATACATACTAATGCTATTACAACCCAATAACTCGCTTAGGAGTGATACAAAACTGGAACATCAAAGAGACAATTATAAAGGATGCATATAACACCCAAAATAACATTCAAGGAGAGATTGAGAATTGATAGAATCCGTGGGATACGAGATGAGACGAGTAAATATTGTGATTAAATTCCAAAATATTGTGATTAATTTTAAAATCAATTTTCTACATGCTATCGATGCTAAGTGCATTTAATCATCACAAAGACTATTGACTCAATTAAGGAGAAGTCTAAGAGCCATATCATTGTTCGATATATTATAAGTGACTTAACTTGGGTTATAAGTTTCCGCATCCTGTAAAGAAGTACATATATATTTTGTTGTTGAGGAGTACTCGTTACGTTTTCTTTAACGCACTTGTGTTTAATTATCATCATTGGTGTCTGAGAAACAGAGAGTGGTACACGAAGAGTCTGTCTTTAAATTATCAGAATATTTATAAGGAAAATATCTATAAGTTTTATAAAGCTTTGATTCCAAATTGTAATCTGAACTCCTAGTTTCGTTCATATTGCTCGAGATTTCTGTTTAATTTTTTCGAGTCACGAGTCTGGTGTGGGGGCACTCCAGTTCTAGGGTTTCGCGTTCTCTTCATATTCTGGTCATTTGATAGCGAATAGTCTTTCATCGACATCAATGGAGAAGCAATTTGAGAAGAAGGTCCTGTGGGTTACTAAAAATTTCCTCTCTTTGCAATCTGAGAAAATCTACTCTGATCAGTTCTTGTTCTGTGAGAAAATCTACTGTGATCAGTTCTTGTTCTGTGGCAGCATGTGGTAAGAAGATAACTTGTTGTCTTCGTCCAGTTTAGGTTAAACCGGATATTCTCCTTCGTTTTGGTGATTCTTTTATTCGTAGTTTGCTTGCAGTCGTTTTGGTGTCCATCATGAAGGAAATAACGATGGTTACTTGTCTCTGTTTCTTGTTTCTGGAAGTCGACTCTGGATCATTGCCTACATTTTCTTTATTAAGGCAAACAAAACTTTATTTTACTTTAGTAAATCAAAGTTCGGAAAAAACTCTCCAAACTGCGAGGTGATTAGTATTTCTATGTTGGCTTAGTTTATTCAGTTGATTCTGCTTGTTCACGAGACTTATGCTGCAGCAAGATTCTATATTTGTGGTGTGTGCAATGCTTGTTTGACTAGTTCAGTTCTATGTTCCGTGACTTTACAGAATCACACGACTTGTGGATTGGTGATAATCAGAATCTCTTCAAGTTGGGTTTAAAGTCCTCATATCCCCTTGGCAAATTTAAGGCCAAAAATGGCGGAGTCTTGGTGAATGTAAGAGTCAATTTTTCTGCAGTGTTTGGTTCTCTTCACGTTACTAGTAAACTAGATGTATCAGAAGAGTCTGAAGAGACAACCAATCCTGTGAAAAAGATAAAGCTTAGCGATAAATGCGCGGTGTCTAGTGACTTGCACAAGGATACGATTGATGTCAATGGGGTTCAAGTTCTTCCTTCACAAGTAAGAAACTTAATTAAGGAAAGACGGAAAATTTGTTTAATCTTTGTAGAAATTTCAACCACAAAAGACTGTTAGCATCCTCTGTTTTTTCTCGTTACTTTTTCTTTTGTGGGATAAGGATGGTAAGTACTTCTGATATATCAAGTAGAAACACTTCTAGATACAAAAATATCATAAAATAGTTATTGGATACTTCTGTTCATATATCTTTCACTCGCAGATGGAATTTGTGAGCCGTTTATTTGAAAAGCATCCAGAAGTTGCATTAGAGTTCCGTTCCAAGAACCCGCATTTGAGGACAGGTTACATTAATGTTCTCCTCAGATTAACCCAGAAGCTAGGCAAATCGCCCCAGGAACTTTCTAACGATGAACTCTCAGATGCAGGCGTTGCACTGACATACATGGCAGATGCAGGGTTTGATATGGGTTGGTTAGATAAGATATTGGAGGAAGTAAAGGAAAAGAAGAAGAAAGAGGAGGCTTGTTTGGCTAGGCTGCAAGAAATGAAGGAACAGCTTAAGCCATTGAAGCAGAAGTGCTTAGAGCTGGAAGCTCAGGTGGATAAGGAGAAGGCAGAGTTGTTGGAAGCAAGAGCTCCTCACTCGTTTGATCAGTACTTGAGTTCTTAGTCTGAGTTGGGCTTTTGGTTATGCTTTTGGTTTGTCGTTTGTGTTTTGATGGAAAAGTGATGTTCTTGGTGTTGAAAAGTGATGTTCTTGCTTTTGCATGTACCTTTTTCATAATTGATTTTTGTGATCGATTTTTCCATTTAGAGCAATAGAAAAACAAAATGAAAAAGATATCTTGAAGATAAATTACTTGCTCAGAAAGCAAAAGAGACACTAACAAACGAAAGAAAGAAGAAGAAGAAGAAGAAATACTTGTTTAATTTGAAATAATGAAACCACACACCAAAATCGGCTAATACAAATAGCCAAAACATTTCCAATGGATATCTTCCCACTATATGTTTCTTCATTCCCACGAAACATATAGGAAGATTTCCATTAATGAAACGCAGCGTTCCGTTCATTAATACGGTGATAACCAAACAATGCAAATTAAGAGTATATGTTTTTGGGTCTGTTTCCATTGTCTCCCAAGATTGCTATCTGATATGGTTTTACTAATTCTTACATCAATTTTTATTATATTTACATCACTCGCAGGTGGAATCTGTGAACCGTTTGTTTGAAAGACATCCAGATGTTAATTGCAACAAAACTCCATGTAAAGAACCAATATCTGAAGACAGGGTACATGAATGTCCTACTCAGCCTGACTGAGACTTTGCGCCAGTCGCCTAAGAAAATCTCAAAGGATGATCTTGCACTGGAATCCATGACTAATGCTGGATTTAAGTTTGTTGATGACATAGTAATGTAATGTCTAGTGCAAACGAAGATTTTTTTAAAAAAATATTTTGAATAATAGGCAAACGAAGAGTTGAAAGCCAAACGAATTTAATTCCATTCTTTCTCCATTGGTATTATATAATATCATTTATTAATTTGTTGAAACGTATCAAGTCACAAGAAATCCAAGGCTTCTCGCATTCGTCAATTTACAGATGCATGCATTTTCTTCATATATCTATTTCTTGCAGGAACCCAAAGGCAACTTGTTTCTTTTGTAAGTATTGCCTTATTCTGTCTCCGTTTCTCTTAAACAAATTAAAGGTTAATTCTCCTCAACTAAGATCAATTCTTTTTATACATGCTCTTTGCAGTTTGGATTCCACTCAAGAGGGAAAGAAAGAAAGGGAGTCAGTTAACCGTATTTTATTCCGATGATGCATAGGAGATAGTGATGATGAAACAGTTGACGTCAATGGGTTTCAGATTCTTTCTTCACAGGTAACCAAATACTGAATCTCGGATCGTCTAGTCTCTATTATTGTTGTACATCGTCTTTAGTACTACTTACTAGGTCAAATGGGTAAGGCGGATATTTGAAAGACACCCAGCCACTGCATCAGAGTTCCGTCCAAAGTAACAACAGCTTAAGAAAGCTTACATCGATGTCCTCCTCGACGTCATTGAGACACTGTGTCGATCGCCTCATGAGCTAACATCGCCTCTCGACAACACGATTTTTGACCTAGAAGATGTAGGGTTTAAGTTGGATTGGGTAAAGATGAAGCTTTGGAAGGTTTACGTGAAGAAGAAGCAAGAGCAAGAAAGTAGCGCCAGGATCAGAGAACTCCAAGAAAAGGTGCAGAAACAAAAGCTTGTATAGTTCTACTTTGAGAACGAACTAGAGAATGAAAAGAACATGTCTATGACTGCCCGTGCTCCACTTGATTTCAGTGTTTGAGATGAAATCGCCATCAATTTATAGTGAGGCTCGGATATTATAGGTTTTCAGAGTGAATTCTCATCTCTAAAAAGATTAAGGATTTTTTTTATGACCACTAAAAAGATTTAAGGAATTTTTTTTTAGAAACATTAGAGGAGGTTGTGTAGACACCTTGGATTGGAATATCTCGGCTTATTCAACCGACTACTCATTTAATTGCATGATAAGATGATAATAAATATTAATTTAAACAATGACTTGATAGAATAAAAAACTCTAATCTCTTACTACTTTAATGCTTATTCGTTTAACCGAGGATGGATTGATAAATCAAACAAATTAATTGCTAACATGTGAGAATTAATTGATATTCAGATTAGCATAACCAATTGTATGCAATTAGAAAACTGAACGCGTCTCACCAGAGAAAATCATACAACTCACAAGGCAAATTTTTAGTTCCCATTTAGTTTTTCTTTTTTTAATTTCTTATTATTTCATAAAAATAATCAAAACTTTGTTAAACGCTTAGATGTATCACCAACCCAAGCTCTAAAAAATATAAAGATGAATGATGATGGTGACTAGTACTATAATTTGTTAAGCAAACTTTGTTTAACTTTTTAGAAATTTCAACCTCTTGGGACGTTCTCATCAACTGGGCAAGATGTGGTTCCCTTTTTTTTTAAATTACAATTACAGTACTTTGGTTAACATAAACAACATTTACAAAGACAGAGAAATAATAATAATAATAATAATAATAATAATAATAATAATAATTATAATAATAATAATAATAATAATAATAATAATAATAATAATAATAAGAATAATAATAATAATAATAATAATAATAATAATAATAATAATAATAATAATAATAATAATAATAATAATAATAATAATAATAATAATAATAATAATAATAAGTCCCTCATCATAATCCTTCAGTTTCTAGATATTTGTATATATTTATTATTCATTTTCCACTCGCAGGTGGCTTTTGTGAGACGGACGCATCTTTGAAAGACACCCAGAGATTGCATTAGAAGATTGCCGTACGGAGAACCAAGATACGAGAACATCATACATGAATGTCCTCCCTCCTCAGCCTATTCAAGATTAGGGTTTAATTAATTTGGATTGGTTGGAGAAGAAACTTGATAGAGTAAAAGAAAACAAGAAGAAATGTACCCGGGCCGGGTGTGCGAATTAGAGCAACGGCTAGATGACTTGTTGCAGAAGTACAAAGCCCTAAAAGCTCAGCTACACAAGGAGAGGGCACAATGATGCTGTTCAATGACTTGGAATTTGCTTCTAGTTTTTTTTTTTTTTTTTTTTGGTGTTTTAGCCTCTGTTTTAACTTAGGAAGCTCTTATATCAGTAAAGGTTTCCACATTTTGCGAAGAAAGTAGAGGACTCCCTAGGTTTTCTTAATTCCACTGTGTTTCTTGATGAAAAAGTAAATATATTTGGGTCTCTGAACAGAGCATAAAGTCATTTCTCAAGACAAGTAGCTTGACGTGTGACGCCATTAACATTTATAAGTTATTAATTATGACAAGGTATTATTATTAAGTAACGATAACTCACGTTTATTTAAGATGCATGCATCTTCTTTAGTATATATTTCGGTTACAAGAAGAAAATCCTCAAATCACAAAACTCCATTTGAAGAATCTACAAGTAGCTTGATTTTTTCTGTATCACATACAAGAAACTCAGATCGTATCAATGTGGAACGGTGATGGAACCGTGGACGTCAATGGCTTTCGAGTTTTCTATTCAGAGGTAAGCACCGCTATATATTTCTTCATTTAACATTAAAAAATGATCTCTCTTTGGTTTGTGGTTTTTACATAAAACTTGTTCTCAGGTGGATTATGTGAGGAGAATCTTTGAAAGACACCCAGAAACCGCGTCGAATATTCGTCCAAAGAACCAACTGGTGAAGAATGCTTATATGAATAACCTCCTCGACCTCATCGACATAATTTGCTTAGCTCCTCAGGAGCTCACAGAGGAGGAACTAAGAGATGCAGAGAACACGCTTTTGGATCTGGTAGGGGTAGGTTTCGAGTTGGATTGGTTGAAGAGGAAGCTGGAGGAGCTTTGCGTGAAGAAGAAGAAAATGGAAGCACGTGGGGCCCGCATGAGAGAACTCGACAGAATGATCGTGGAACAGAGACAGGTGTTGCTTGAGCTTGAAGCCGAACTGAAGAATGAAGAGAACGAGGCTGTTTCCGACAGTGCTCGACTTGGTTTTGAGGATGTTGTTTGAATTGAATAAAGGTGATCACCAGTGAAGTCTATTGTTCTTAGCTTTCATCTCACGTACTTCAGAAAATGTGTCGTTAATCGTTATCTAATTACAAAACCGATTGAATAAAAGACAGTTTTTTTTTTTTAGTTTTATGGAAAAAAACCTCAGATCCTAAAAGTATTTATAAGTATTGTTATTTTGGTGTTTTTAAAGGTTGTTTGAACAAATGGACTTTATATTATAATAAAGAAGTTGATTTAGTTTTGACTTTGATCGACTTGTTTTTAAGCAATCAACTTTTATTTTGGTTGGTTGATTTTTTTACAAATTTAATTTTACTTAATTAACCATTGACTTAAATTTTTCTACTCATCAACTTATATTTTATCTTTATGGACTTATTTCGTGTGATAAATTTATATTATTTTTTTACAGGTTTTTTATAAGGTTGACTTATTTGAACAATCGACTTATGTTTATAATAACACTTCATCAATTTATAAAATGTTGTAATCTTTTTGTGTATAGTTTAAAATATATGATGTTTCATAAAATAAAATCTTAAGAAGCTAATTTGTAATGATATACAGTAACGGACCCCGAGACATAATTTAGACAATTTGGGCTAAAATGGTATACTGGGCCGAAGTCCAAACCTGAAGAAGAAACAACACAAACCCATTTGGAGAGGCGGGGTTTTTATTTGATAATTTGGGTGTTTGCCATTAGGGTTTTAGGGATTATCTTATCTTTCATGTTCTGGTAGTTTGATTTTGAGGGAGTTTTCAATGGTGAACAAGTTCACTTGGGTAATTAAGAATTTTGCATCTTTGCAATCCGAGCATATCTATTCCGATAAATTCGTTATCGGTGGCTGCAGTTGGTAACGATAATGTTTTATGTTTTTAGTCCAATAATTTAGGTTTAGGATCGAGAACATCAATAATTTTCAGTGGTTTCTGCTTTCAGGCGTCTTCTGGCATATCCCAAGGGAGATAGTGGTAAAAGTTGTTTGCCTCTTTATCTGGTGGTTGCTGATTCTAAAACTTTGCCTTCTGGATGGAGGAGACACACAAAATTTTCTCTAAGTATAGTCAATCAAATTTCAGAAAGGCTCTCTCAAGTGAAAAGTGATTACTTTTACGCTTCTTCTACTCTATGATTCTGCTGTGAAATTCTGTCTACGTGTTGTGCAAATACTTGTTTTTGACTTGAGTTTTTTTTTTTAATGTTTTGTGATTGTATAGAAGCACACCAGTGGTTTGATCAGAAAAGTCATGCATTGGGATACTCAGCAATGCTTCCCCTCTCCCAACTTCTTGCCAAAGATGGTGGATTTCTAGTAAACGGAGAAGTCAAAATTGTTGCCGAGGTAGAGGTTCTTGAAGTTATTGGCAACGTAGATGAATACGAAGAGGCAAACCAACCTATAAAAAGGATAAAGCTAGAGGATAATTATGCAGTGTCTACTGTTTTGCTCAACCAGAATTCACCTATAAAGGAAGATATTGATGTCGATGGGTTTCAAGTTTTTCCTTCACAAGTAAGTAGTTAATAGAGGTGCAAACTTATATAAATTTCAACCTCAAGAGGCGGTATCATTTGAATTTTGGGGATAAGAGATTGCTTTTCCTGATTTGCTTCGGTTTTTGGATATTGGTAGACATATGGGATTTAACTTTATTCATGCGCTCTCATTTGCAGGCGGAATTTGTGACCCGTGTTTTTAAAAAATATCCCGACATTGCATTAGAACTCCGAGCAAAGACAAAAACTGTGAGGACAGCATACGTGCATGTGTTCCTCAGCCTAATCGAGACATTGTGCAAGTCAGTGCAAGAGCTCTCCAATGATGATCTGATGGAAGCAGATAATGCACTAAAATACCTAAGATATTCGGGCATTAAGGTGGATTGCTTGGAGCAGAAGGTGGAGGAAGTTAAGGAAAAGAAGAAGGAAGAGCAGACTGGTGAGACTCGGATCCAAGAATTAGAGGAAGAACTTAAGGATTTGAAGCGCAAGTGCACAGATCTTGAAACCCTTCTAGGGGAAGAGGAGGCAAAGGTGTTGGCCGCGAGAGCTCCTGTTCTAACGTTGGATGTTGTTTGATGACTTAGGTTTTAACATTGAACTCTTGGAAGTTCCCATACTCTGTAAAGAAGTAATTTTTAGGGACTCTATGAGAATTTTCTAAAGAACTCAAAGTCTCATCAGCTATGAACTTATATTATAAATCACAGAGTTTATGGTGTTCTCTCAATTTTTTAGTTTCAGACTTGCTTAGATTCGATCATCACAACTCTTCTTCTTGAAATTCTCTTCAAAGTCTTATAAAAAATCGATCGTTTTCACAAAGAAGAGTTGTTCGTAAGCTAAACCTTTCGGCAAAGCAGATAATTTGTAAACAAACAAACTCACACAATACGGCAAAACCTTGGGACGAAATGGTAAATTGGGTCGAATACTCGAATTCCAGAAATAAAGGCTTGAAACACAAGCCCATATGATAAACCATAGAAGCAGTACCTCATTACCTCTAGATGGGCTTTGGACATATTTGGCCCAAATAATTTTTAAGTGTTCGAAAAATTATCGGCAAGCTGTGTGGTTCTTCCATATAGAAGCATTTTGTTTGTTAACACGACTTAATTGGGTTTTCTAAAAGCTTGATCTTTGGTATTTATATGGTAAAGATTTTCCAAATTACAGTAATTGCTCAAGAAAACAACAATGTCCTCAGCCCCGAAGCTATTTCTAAGTTGGTCGATTGGAAAAGAGCAATGTCCTCAGCTCCGAAGCAAATTTTGATTTCATGATTTTATTTGAAACATTAGCTCCTTAAAGTTTTATATGTCATAGCTCCTTAAAGTTTTATTTGTAACATAGCTCCTTAAAGCTGTTTCCATGGTATTGGATCGACATTTATGCTTTTGATGATACTGCACAACAATTTCAAGAGACAACATTGAGAAAGTACACAGACATCAAACAAAAAACGAATTCAAAACAAGGATATAAGTGAAGAGAATGGGATCAGATAGAGCTAATACGTAAGATGCCATCATATCGGCGATCAAACCAATAGGGAAACAAAGTTCAACATTCATCATTCCATTCTCTTCTCTCTAACCCTCTTTTTATGACCCAAAACAGAAAACAAACCGTACAAAACCATGTATAACCCAAAACGTATTGAAATTTTTGAAAAGTGAGAGGAGAAGAAAGATCAGATAGAGCTAATACGTAAGATGCCATCATATCGGCGATCAAACCAATAGGGAAAACAATTTCCATCATCACATCTCTTTTTTCCTCCTTAATTATCTTCAAATCACACAAACAAAAACGATCTTTTTTTTTCTTAAAAGACGAGATCTTTTCTATCGGCAAAGCAGAGAATTGAGAAACAAAAAAAAAAACGAAGTAAACCCATCACAGAAAACTCGAAATTTGATTCCTACAAACTCAATCTAGATTGAAACAGAGTAATCGAGAAAGCGAGCTCAGAGAAAATCCCATTGAGATGGAGGCATATATATATACATCGATAAAACTAGGGCTTCTTTGGGGTTTCCTCGTAAATACCTAGTGGTTTCTTTCAATTGACCAAATTATAAAGGGCCGAAAATAGGCCCAGCTAAGTCCAGGTTTTTGTGACAGTGAAGCTTTATTGTGGGAGGAAAATTTGGCCCAATTTTCCAAAGCTTTATTATACAAAGACAAGTACAACAGATTCTCTAGCAATGTTAAGGAATGAAATCCAATTGGTAAGCTGGTTTCTAACATTAACTAGTTTGTTGATGCCTCGAAATTTCGATTAAGGAAATATTTCTAGGCAATTCCGGTTACATGTGTTACATTGTGTGAAGAATTAAATATATGTTCTAGGAACACCCTTGAGATCAGGTCAATGGAAGTTAAGGTGCTTCTCTGAAGTTTATTGTTTTCAGACGACACTTCTGAGTTGTGAATTATTATAAACATCATAAGATTACGGCCTTAGGGCTTTTTCAAGCCTAATCTCACTCCACACACTCATCCAATCATAGTTAATTAGTTAAACATAATTAGAGCTTCTGCAAAGGAGAAGATATAAAATGAATAATTATAAGTTGGCTTGTATATTGACTATTCATTACAAGAAATGTACAACATATGAATCATGTTGAATTGTGTTAACTAACTGTTATGCATTATGTCCAATATCTATCTATATTTTAAAAGGAAATTCTCCAACTTGTGTGCATCACTTTACATAAAGTCGTTTTCTTCTATCAGACATTATCAAGTGTGTCTTTGCAGTTTGCAATATATATAGTATTCTAAGCTTTTCTTTAGCCATAATTCTCCTATTTGTCGGGCTTAATTAATAGTCACATATATTTATTTATGTTATCCCTTTTTCCCACCCAAAAAAGTTCAAAACTACTATTAGGCCTAAATTTGTACTTAATTAGTGTGCATTAGTACCGACACCGATTGTCTTTGTGAGTTAATAGACGATAAAAGAAATCTAAATGTCAAGAAAATGTTACCGAAAAAAAAAAATCTAATTGTATAAGACAATCGGATTTGCCATCGTTTGTGTTAATTAAAATGATTGTATTAATATCGTCCCAAATTGAGAGCTGGTTTACAAATAAGATAACCGAACCAGCTAGAACTTACACTTCGCCATTGAGATCCGCTCAGTCGCATAGGTCGAACCAACTACGCTAACTCTCCCTCGACTCGCGCGCGCCTCCCACAACTTAGCTCTATCGTTATGTGACTTTTGTCGTCATTTAAATTCAAACCCCTTATATTACATATTGTTGGAAAGAAATAACTTAACACAAGTAATCATCTTTTATTATATATATATATATATAGATTTTTACTTTCCAATTTTCGGATGATTGGTCTTTACTTTTTATGTTTTAGCCTTTTAGCCTTTGCCTATGCCTATATATATAAATATATATATATATAGACCAACATATATTTATCTCACCATACTAATAATTTAAAGGTTGAACCCACTCCAATACGTTAGATGTCAGATTTATCATTTAAGCCTCAATTTTCGAGGGTCTTGTTTCAAACGCTAATTCATGTGTTTATGGAAAAAATCATATTTGAAAAATACCACATATAAAAATGCTTTATTCAGGCAGTTATATATACATATATATATACATATATATATATATATACTTTTGTGTGTGTGTAGATTATATATACATACTCATCGTCCATTCAGAAAGGACGTTTCTAGGGTTCTCGTATTGTTTTTTTTTTTATTTTTTTTTTTGAGAAAGGGTTCTCGTATTGTTACGCGTCTTGACTATAATAAATTGCACCGATTCATTTCACACAAAATACAAATTTGATCATCAGTAGTTTATCTTATAAAATACAGCTTTCTTTGTCACTACTCTCGCTAACTTAATTGACTATAGTAAACCATTCCCTTATATTGTGGTTTAGACTTTGAATTATTGCCTTTTCGTCAAAGTATATAATTATACCGTTTTTTTAACTTAATTAGACAAATTTTCTTTCTAAACCGAAATAAACCATAGGTTAAAATCCAAAATAATTCTCAAAACATATCGAAAGTAAATGTATTTATCTTTCAAACCGTTTACAATGGCTGAAAAATCAAAACGAGCATTATAGATGATGAAACCGATTCCTTACTATATGTCTACACAATTTTCTATCCATATAAACAAACCATTGAACAACATACAGTACTCTTGATAAAACTACTCTTTTGAATAAGACAAGCTATTATTGTTATGAGAAAATATAGAACTTTTGTGGTTTAACAATGGTTTTTGCAATTGTCACTTGTAGTATATATAATTATCATTAAGTTCATCGTTTTTTTTTTGGAGCTTTATTCTTCCTAAATAGAGAGTAGGGAAAATGTGGTATTTTATAAGTTATATTGAAAATGATAGTTTAATATGTTCTTTACGTGTATATGCTCTAGTACCTGCGTGTATGATACTGTACATATCATTATCAAACGAGCGGTACTTGCACAAAGAGATATATAGAGACCATGCTATATTACGTACCAAATATAAATGTACAATATTTATAACCTAACGAAACCCTTTCTCATAAAAGATATCTATAACCTATCGAAACCCTTTCTCATAAAAGATTATCTATAACCTATCTATATACAATAAATACGTGTGTATTTATGTGTGTTAATTTAATTTTGAAGCCTCAGTGTATATAATCAGCAAACTTCCAAACACGTGTGATGGACCCACGTGAGGTCATATTTTGTCGGGTTGACCCTCCTCAGGGTCAGAAAGGTCAGCATCATTTGCCAACATTTTATTTCTATACTCAAACAAAAAATATATACACAATTTTAGTCTAACATTAATCTCCCCCACAAGTCATATCATATTTATTCATATGTAGTTATTTATGTACATTAAGCTCAAACGAACGATGCGCTTTTTGTGTTGTTAACGTAATGAGGTTAAGCAACTCATACATTATATGTATCATCACTTGTATCTCAATGCTAAATATAAAGCTACCGATAGAAATTCAATAATGACTATTCTTAGTATATTGATTTATGTAAGAATACTTTATATTAAGATAGAAATTTTTATTTGTCAACAACTTCAGATAAAATTTAAGTAATATATAAAAGATATCGGTTATATACACATTACTAAACAGATTCGAGTTGTAGATCCATAACTTGACATGATATTAAAGATTGAACATGCACTATTTAATCTGAATCAAAATCAGTCCGGTCAAGTAAAAGTAGTTTATTAATCTGATCTAAATTTGACCAATCCAAAATTCATTTAATTGATCAAATCCGATAAAATATTATTGAGATGATTAGATGGATCATTATTTTGAGAGAACATATAAGAATATCTCACATCGAAAATATAGATGAGACTATGAGATCATATATTAAAAGATATTTTCAATTATTTTTTAGTCAAAAAAGTTCATAAAATTTATTATAAAATTATTATCATTGAAAGATATCTAATTTCACTGGTTTGGATTTCATCAAAACAATCTACGTTTAAAAATATAACTAATGTTAAAAAATTTCAAACACTAATTAAATATTTGAGAAATTCATGAGAAGTAAAGAACTGTTTAATATTTTTGCTTATCGTAAACGTCACAAAAAGGGTAAAAATAATATGAAATGCTTGCGTTTTTTTAAAAATATTTAATATGTAGACTCGTTATTATTGGCATGGGTTTTTAACTGATTAAGTATATATTTTGTTTAAAACAAAAAAAAAAGCGTCTTGGGTAGTTTTGATTGTACGGATGATGAATTAGTAAAACTTCAAATGATAGTATAAACCCCTCTGATCTTAATATATTGAGATTTTATAAAGACCAATAATGATTTTATAAACGCATAAATGGAGTAATAATGATGATTATAAAGTGAAAGTGGGCGATGAATTGTCAAGAGGAAGTGCGTGACGTGGAAAAATGGTCAAAGTAGGACCCGCATGATATATCAAACTCACTCCAAGAGTTGTACACCCGTGCGGCGTTATGTTTGGCCTTTTTCGTCGACGCGTATCATATTTTATTATTTTATAAATTCTTAATGTAGCAATATTTATGAACTTTAAGCCTTTAAGGGTCTTTATAAAGAAATCTCAAATGAAATGAAGAACAAATATTACAAGATATATTTTAGTGTCAAACAGACAAATTGATTAAATGAGACAACAAGTCACAAAGATAAAATGAAGCTGAAGCTATAGAAAGGAGAGTAGAGCCAGATAATAAACTCGTTAGTATGTCCACCAACCGTAGTTTATTTCCATTTTCTTGGATATATATTTTTGTACAGGTTTAATTGGCGGAATCATTATTATTCTTACTGTACAGTCTGTATCATTTGTACGTACGATAAACATTATTTCTAATGTATATTATTGACCTCAGTTGACCATCTTTTCGGGATTGAACCGTTATTCGGAGTTTTTTTACATTCATTTCCAACATCATGGACGCAATCATTATTAGGGCTGGGCAAAATATCCATTATATTTGCTTCGATCTGTTATTCATTTTGATTCGATCCGAAAAATCCGGATATCCGTAATTTTATGAAGCAAAACAAATACTAAAATTCAATATCCGTTAAAACAGAACAAATCACAAATACTAAAAACATTTAAGACGGATATCCGCTCCGCTCCGTTATAAATATATATGTATATATAGATAGATAATAATTCATATAAAGTGTATAATTATTATATATAAATGTAATTTTTGTGAGTTTTTGTTTTTAAATTTGATTATTATAAATATTAAAATTTAGATGTTCAAAAAAAAAATATTAAAATTTAATAAGTTAAGAAAAAAATATTTTTTAAAAAAAATATTATAATTTTTAGCTAAATTTTGAATTTTTAAACTTTTATTTTAAATATATTATTATTTAAATATTTTTATAGGGCGGATCGGATATCCGGCAAATATTTAGATTTTTGGTGGATATCCGGAAAACAGATATCCGGATAATTACGGAACGGATACGGATCAGAAAGAAAAATGATTATCCGGACGGAGCGGAACGAATCATGGATATCCGCTCCGCGCTCACCCCTAATCAGTACGACGAATTATGCGAAAATACATGTGTATATCTTATAAAACAACTTTATTTACCTTTTTATCTGGATGCTATAACGAATTGGACAACTGGCACTAACAAAAAAAAAACCCTAACTTCGACAAAGAACACAAGGCGGTTTATTATGGGGATACATAACTTGTTCTTTTTTCAAGATTATAATAATTCACTATTTGTTTTTATGTTAAAGTACAAAGTACATTATTTCACTATTAAGAGGTAAACTATTAAATTTTCTAAAATTTAATTAGTATAATCTCTAGTTGGTAATACATTAGATATTCACCGACTGTTCAATTCTTAAAAGTTAATAAAATAAAATTTCCATTAGCAAACGCAAACGCTTGCACACCAAATATAAAAAGCAAACGCAAACATGTAATATGAAGAAATCCTGTTGCATTGAAAAGGATTTCTAGTTTTCCCTCAGTGATTCTCTAAAACATATTGTTCAGAGAAATAGAATGAGTCGAATATGGATCCGCTGACACTAATTATCGCCAAGGATTGGTACTCGATCAATTTCAAGTTGGATGGAATTATTCAGCTACGAAGATTTTTGTTTTTTGTCAGATGATCACTAACTTAATCAGGATAAGATAATAATAAAAAGAATAAGATAATAATTAAAAAAACATAGAGAAAATTGAGGGAGATAGAGTTAAGAAGGCGAAAGGAATTGTTGCGCGAGAACATGAAAAGTTGTCTGCTTAAACATATAATGCTGACAAAAGTTAATTTGGTGTCAGGTCTTAATTAAATAGAATATTACTTAATCAGGTTTTTTCTGTCTAATCATTTCCTTAGTTTTATTATTATATAATTATATATATATATATATATAATATTTAAACAAAGTTACGTACGTACGCATCGAAGGAAAAAACAAAACTAAGTCCTTTCGTTACACCAAGAGGCCTCATCACTATAGAAAGGTATATTTAATTTACATATTTCTTTTGCTCTTAATTAATGAAATTTAGCGTATAATTAATTTAACTAAACTCATCTTTACATAAATTATATGTAGATATTTAAAATCTTAAAAAACTTGAAGAATGTTTTTTTTTTATCGATACTTGAAGAATGTACATTGATAAGACCTTATCACTATAGAAAGGTTAAGACCTCAAATGTTTTTTAATCATTGATCTAAATCATCTGATAAAACGATCAGTTTTCTTCGGGTTGATGATGATTACAGTTGGTTCATTTTAATTATCGAATAATTATTTAGAAACTTAAGAGTAGTCTTATGGGATTATGAGTCACTATGGGAGCTCAGAATTCAGAAATTAAAGGTCTACATGTTGGTTTATATGTGTGACACAAATATATTTATATATTTAAGTATATACTTAATGACAAATCAATTTTTAATATATATCGAAATATTGTTTAAGTTTTAGATTATGATTCTCAATATATATTTCTCGACAACCCTACCCCTCCTGTTCAAATATATCATATACCATTACGTCGTGTCCATGTCTCTATTGTTGGCACATTTTCTTTTCTATTTTTCTAATATAAAAGTAAATCAAAGTCCTTATTATTATATATATATATATATATACATATTATGAAATTCAAAATGTTAAATGTATGCATTTTGAATTTCTTGTTGATTTATCATTTCTTTTGTTGGCAACACAAAGAAGAAAATAGAAAAATATAGGTACGATATAATTTGACAAAATTATGTTGTCTCATATATATATATATATATATATATATATGTATATATATCAATTCGAATGTTTACAACGCATGTGTATCTAGCGCAATTCTTAATAGTTAATGGATCCCCAGAAAAAAATTAAGGGATCATATCTACTATCTAGATCGATAAGAAGACTGAGGAATTAGCAATATATATTATATGCAAGAATGTGGGTGGAATGGAGTAGGTACACAATTAGAGTATGTATAGGTAGTCCTACGTATACACATACAATAATAATTCTTCACCAATGGATTTCTTATAGTTATTGGTACTGGAGAAAAGTTTTCAACATTATAATTAGCAGCTCTTGGATAATTGAAGTACGAGTCCTTACGATACTGGGCGCTCCAACCATTATACTATAATTGATTGAGCATGGAGAAAATTTTATGCAATTAGGATGTTACACTCATTATTCTAGAAAAAAGAGAGTTACTTTTGATCATGCTTAAGTAAATAAATTGTGAAAGAAAATAAAATGAATGTGAGACTGTATAGCTAAAATAAAAGAAGAATGTGAGACTGCATTTATTTAATTTATTATGAAACATGGTAAGAAACCAATGGATGAGTATGATTTATTTTTTGGCTGGCACCTAAGGAGTGTATTCAACCAAACATTTGGAGTGATTTGAATTTTAATATATTTTTGGATGATTTTATAGAAATTTAGGAATTGTTATGGTTTGTTTATCTAATTGTCTGCAGTTTCATCTAAATCTTTTTTAACAAAAAGGATCTAAAGTAAAAGAAAAACAAATTCTCAAATGTTGGAACTTGGAAGGGTTGGGTTAGGAGCTCTAATCCCAACAAAAATTAAAAAAATAAGAAGGTCTATTGTGTAATTCGTTTGTTCTTTATTTTTATGTTTTGCTTTAAGTTTAATCAAATTGGTTCAGTAGAGATGTACACGTCGATTCTATAATGCAATATCTTGTTGTGGTACTTAAGAAAACAAAAATCAAGCTTGTATTTGATCTCTTAATTTTAAAAACATCCCTCATAATTTATGCAAACAAAAATCCAAAAGGATTGTCAATTTTTTTAACAAGAAAACAAATTTGTACTAATGCAAAAGGAATGAATAAAATTAATGTGAGAATTGTAGGCCATTAAGCAGACAAAATGTAATTAAACAAATGAAATATTACATGTAACCCACCTTCATCTTCACCTTCGTCTTGTTTATAAAATCTCTCTCCTTATAGCTATACTCAAGGTTAAATCAAAAACCTAATTACAATAGCAACAAACACAATTAATCCCAAAATTCGATTTACCTTTATAATATCAAGAATCGTCATCATGAGCAGCTCTAGCTCTAGCTCTGGCTCTCCTTGTGGAGCTTGTAAGTTCCTTAGGAGGAAATGTGCAAAGGGATGTGTGTTTGCTCCATACTTTTGTCATGAACAAGGAGCTTCACACTTTGCAGCCATTCACAAGGTCTTTGGAGCTAGCAATGCTTCTAAATTGCTCTCTAATCTTCCCACTAGTGATCGCTGTGAAGCCGCCATTACAATCTCTTATGAAGCTCAAGCTAGGCTTCAAGATCCCATCTATGGCTGCGTCTCTCATATTTTTGCTCTCCAACAACAGGTACTTCCTTTCAAAACCCTAATTTTTAATACTCCATATCTACATAAATATATGTATAAATTTTTAATTTAGCCGACTCATTTTTTTTGGTAAATGTTCATTTGTGTTGGATTATAGGTTGTGAATCTACAAGCACAGCTTGAGATTCTAAAGCAACAAGCTGCACAAAGCATGATGTTTGCTGATTCACCATCATCAGAAAACCTTGATAGCTATTATGGAGATACTACTAAGGCTCCTTCTTATCATCATGATCATCAACACGAACATCATAATCATTATCACCATGATCAGACCCATTTGGTTTACCAAACCGGAATTTCAGGGATGGTTCACAACGAGGATGCCACGGCCAATTGTTACCCCACCGAAAACTCTTCAAGCACTGGGGAATTCTCCATCTTCTCTGATTTGGGACAACACTTGAACACTTTCAATCAAGTTCATCTCAAAGAGATTCAGTCAACAAATTTAGGCTACATCTCCTTCTCTTGATGGTTCTATCAAGACATGGGTTGATTCGTATCAATATCTCTATATATAGAGAGAATAACTCTCTCTCTCTCTCTATATATATATATAGTTTATATGTGTCAAGACTTTTTGATGGTTTTAGTCTCTCGATTGATGATGTTGCCTAGCTCAAAGAACTGGCTTTGTACTCATAAATAAATAAAGTATGCTAGATGCCCTAGAAATATATAGATACCAAATACAGTATATGCATATCCTCAAGATGTGTTAAACTACATTTCAAGTTTTGATTTATATTTCCGCAGTAATCATGTTAATATTCCTGATACCGTCTCGATTCTATCACGAACTTAACTTAAAATAACACACATCCTTAGCTAGTGAAACTTTGTCTGTCTTGATTCTTAATTTAGGTTTTGCTAGTACGTGCAGTCTAGTATACCCAACCTTGTGTTTCCTTCATTGGAGAAACCGGTTTTGGATCATATTTAGGTAAATGATATTGGATTTACTTATATATACATGATAGAAAATTGTCTTGAGCATACACAAGAAGCTCTTCTTTAGGCTAGCCAATTATGGTTTTTTTTTTTCTTACAAATGAAATTGTTCTACTTCTTATTTCTTTTGAAATGATCAAATTGTATATATATATATATATATATATATATACATCTAAATTAGTTGGATACCTTGGCATATTATCTTATATACATGTTTATACTCGGTATGATTTGCTCATGATAGATTTAGATACTTTTATCCAAAAATTGCTTATCAGACTATCTGATATGTTTTCGTGTTGTTGTTGTTTTTTCAATACATAGTTTCATTGATGTTCTTAATAAAATGACATTGTTGCATCATTATTCTCAAGTTTGTAGATATAGCACGTCAATGAATTTAGTTTTTTTTGGTTCATTACAATTATTGTGATTTCCGTCTGATTATCATTTGTCTATCAATAATAATAATATATAACAATATACACTCATCTAATATAGTTTTTGTTTTGAAAATAAGTTCTGTAAAAAAATATTTTGGCCTAACAATAGTTGTTTTGCTTAAATTAATTGTTTGTTTGGTTGTTGGGATTGTTTTTTTTCTTTCAGTTTTTAGTTTTGTCTATTCATGTATAGTTTACGTAAAATGCAATCCTAGAATTAACTAATTGATAGCAAACATAATGAATAAAGATGTGATTACATTTTATAAGAGATCGATAGTATCTATGTCTAATTCTATCTAGCTAAACGCTAACCCCCCCCCCCCCCCCCACCACTGGTTATATATGAAACTACCCTACTTTTAGTAAGTACTAGCTAGTAACTACTAAGCTAGGAGGGAGTAGGTAGTAGCTAATATCTAGATGTGGATTTAGGTAACTAGTAAGATAGTAGGTCGTAGCTAATATCTAGATATGGATTTAGGGTTCATCCATAATTCCATATAATCATTTATTAAACCCGGACATAATAACATATTTTGCTATGAAAAAAAGTAGTATATGAGCATACAACCCACTTAGAAACTAGTTTGATGTGAATCTAAAGCACAACTCGAATTGGTTATTTCGCCTCAGCTTTTTTTGTATCAACTAGTTCAAATTATATTTTCGCAGTGTTTTATCGGTAGTAAATACGTAAAAAAAAATCGAAAGAAATATTCATCCAATACACGCATACACAATATTGTCATCATTAATCACGGAAAACCGAACATAATCGAGTTAAAAACATATATAGACCATATCTTTATATGGTCAAGCCACCTAACATGAACTTATCCATTACCGACTAGCATTATGTAAGAGAACACATGGTCTCACATAGGCCCGAATTTTTTGGGGAAAGGTAACCTGTCCCATGTCTTATACCCATCCCAAAATTCTTGAATAGGTAAGAGAAAGGATAGAAACGAGAATAGGATTACCCAAGTTTCCCGTTGGGTAATTATATAAAGTAAAATTTTAGAGATTTTGGTTAATTGAAATTTTTTTATAATAAATAATGATTTTTTCTAATTTATTAACAAATAATTATTTTTTTTAAAAAGATTGATTTTAATCTAATTATCCGAAATTATCCGAAATTTTCCCGTCCTTTTCCCATTCTATTCCCGTTCATTTCCCGATTATATTTTATTTTGAGATTGTATCGATGGTATATTTTGATTCCCGAATTTCCCGTTCCCGTCCCATACTCGTAAATTCTTTTCTCATTATTTTGTGGGAATATTTTGGGTAATATATTCAGATTCCCGAAATTCTCATTCCCATCTCTTACCCGTAAATTCCCGTCCCGATTCCTGTAAAATTCAGGCCTCTCACTGAGTAATCCATACGTCAAATAGTTCAGCCTACACGATAGCGTAGAAAAACATGAAAGCCCATTAAAGCTGCCACCATATACTCTCTGCAATTAGAATTATCTTTTCGAGGCCCAGAAACATGAGGAGGTTATTTTGATTTTTGAGAGTAAACTTCTCTCGTATACGTCGGACTGTAGGGAGTATACAAAATCTGATCTTTTAATTCGATCTTAGAATTTATTAAAAAGGTTTATTTCATAGTTTTAAAGAAATATGTTTTATTTCTATAATGGTAATAAAAGCTGGAAAAAAAAATTGTTCTACGGCAATGTCACTGATACTCTAAATTACAAGTGTCAATGTCACCGATGGCACGAGAGTGCTGAGAGATCTGAAGATGTGAGTACTCCCACCATTAAGCTGTTTAGCTCATTTGGAGTTGTCGCACGTGTGGGCTTTTTCATGGTCAAAGTCAAACGCTTTCCTGCTTAAGAAACTAAAGACTCTTTTTCTCCTTTTGTTTCGTATTTCTTTTTCCTTTTTCAAGATTGGCTTAACATTAGCTATGAGTTTAATAAATTAATAAGTACTTAATAACGATCGTAGGTTACCTCGAGATTACAAAGAAAAGTAAGTAGCCACATTAGCAGCGCTTGAGGTCATATTTTTGGTCAAAACAAAATATTTTTTCCGTTTCACAAAGAATGTCGTTCTGACACTTTTTTTATTTTAAAAAGAATGTTGTTTTAAAATTTTAATATAATTTTTAACATAAAATACTATTTTTAACCTCAATAAATTTAGAAAATTAATTATAAATATAATTCCAAGAGTCATTTTCTGTAAATTAATAAATGTATAAAAGACTTTTTATCTTATTTTTTAATTTGTGTGAAGAATGTCAGAATAACACTTTTTGTAAAACGGAATGAGTATAGTATTTTCTAGCTAGGTGTAACGCTTTGTGGTGTAGCCGTGTAGGTGTGTGATCAACTAGAGAAGCTTCTTGGTGAGAACTTCCAAATTGGATTAGATGAAACTACTAATCAGAGTTAGCAAAAGCAAAACCAATGAATGGTTTAAAGATAACTTAAAGCAATCGGAAGTGACAAAGAACAAATCAACAAATTAAGTGGTTGAGTTGCATCCTATTTAGGGAACATTTTGTCTAAAAATCTCAACACCATTCTAATGAATATATTAAGACACTTCTTAATTTAAAGTTAGAAGAGCTTGTCTAACCTTTTATAATTTAAAACTAACGTGTGCTCCGATTATGATTATATTTAGACATGAATAAAAAATGAGTTTTCGATGATGATTTTGCTTATCACTTCTTCGAAAACCAGTTTTTTAACATTCACCCCTCGTATGTTGTTTGAATAATTCTTTAACAATTTTTTTCTTTTAAAATACATAACTTCGTTCTTTTTTAATATATATGTAATATTCAATAACATTATATGAAAATTTTGTGCCAATTGTGTTGTATCATTTATTGTTCAATCCAGTTTAAATTGGATTGAATTCCAATTGATTAGTTCAGTCTATTTAACTGGAATTTTTCAGATAGCTAAAATCCAAATCTTTAAAGACCAAAATCTAAAAAAACAAAAACAAAAATTGTTTGCAAATAGTTCAACTATAGGCCGTATAAATCTAAACTATTTTTACTATCCAAAAAAAAAATATCTAAACTATTGGAGAATGAAGTTGCGATGTAAAAATCATTTCATTTATTTCTCAGATTCTCTTACACTAATAAGTCAATTAACAATAGTTTTATTGATGTACAGTAGACTTGTAATCATTTACAATGAAACATTTTTTTTTATTAATACATATGTTTCACTAGATTTAATGTTACCTTTTTTTATTTGGAAGAAGCATTTCTTCGATAAATACTAATAGTAGGCAACGATTGTGATATTTTTTTCTTGAAAAAAACTGTCATCAGTGGAAAGAAATAATAAGAAGAAATTCAAGCACATGACATATATATAATTTTCACTGTCTTATGAATTGCTACATCAGTAGTTTGGATAACAGTCCTGGAGAAACCCAAACCGGCCAATTTGAATTTTTGGCACGTTGGTCGTGACTTCACTACTAGTGTTGCTGTGTTCCAATGATTCAATAGAGCTCTGTGGTGGTAAAACCGGTTTATTAGAGTGATCGTAACTGTAGTAGGGCTTGTACGTTGTCGTGTGCCCATTTGTCTGTTGCCAAGTCATCTCCGATCTGTTTCTCAGATCTCCGACGACTGTGGTGATGGTTTGGTGGGCGAGGTTTGCCTTGAGTTGCATCAGTTGTGCTTGCAAAAACGCCACCTATATACATATATGCGCATATCGATTTTTATATTAAAACAATTTTCACAGTATTTATCAGAAATATATATTTTTTAAATACTGTAGTTTGATAAAACACCTTTGTTTAAGTAAATAAAATAAATATATGGATTAAAATCAAAACAATTGATATTTTTTTTAAACCAAAAATACTAAATATTATAATTCCAACGATATAGGATTAAAGAGAAAGCGATACAACTAAATAACTTCAAATATACGTTGCTGTTTTTTTTTTATATGATGAGTATTCAATGTTGTTATGCATAAAAAAGACAAGGATATTTATCGATTTCACCTGTTGTTGAAGTGCGAAAACATGAGAGACACAACCATAGACAGGGTCATGGAGACGAGACTCAGCTTCGTAGGCCATGGTGAAGACGACCTCGTACCGTTGTTGGACGGGAACGTGGAGTAAGATCTTGGAAACGTTACTTGCTCCGAACACCTTGTGTATGGCGGCGAATCTCACCGGACTTTCATCCGTGGAGAAGTACGGTGCGAATACGCAATCCAACACGCATTTTCTCCTTAGAAACTTGCATGCGCCGCAAGGAGAACCCGTTCTGGTGCTCGAAGATGCCATAAGAACAAAAGTTTTTCTTTGTAGCTAGTTACAACCAAAATATCCTTTTTGTAAAAAAGCAAAGAAATTGTCTTCGTTTTGTTCTCTACATGACCGTATGTATGCAGTTATTGTATATTTAGGAATAATCTCGAAAAAGGTCGTCGAAAATGTGCACGAGCAAACTAGGACTAGGAGATGGTGCAAGTTGAAAAGATAGAGAAGTAGAACATATTAACAAAAACAAGATCCGATGGTGGAGAAGTGTTGCTGTCTTTGCTTCGGTTATAAAAAGGGCTTATGGTATGACGAGTTGTGTTGGTATTTTTTTGTTTATTTATTTTAGATAGGTAGCATTGCGATACATTGTATGATAACAATTAGTTTTCTTTCGTCTTTAATTCTACCACTAGCGTCACCTTTTTCCCATTACATTGTTATTTCTTATGAGTATCATCACTAGAACTTGGATTCCTATTATGTCCTTTAGTCCATCTATAGTAGATGCATGATGAAACAATTGTAATCCAAATAAGATATTACAGTTTTTTATGACGTAAATCGAATTTATAATTACTCTGATTCTCGTGTTCATTGAACAAAATCTTCGTATTCATAAAACAAATTTAAGTCCGCCCAGTTAGGCTATTGGTAGCCCACGAAATCAACGATTGTTTAGTGTTTTTATTGATGTTATGTTGTACTACTGCTAATTATAAACAAATACAATGTTGTTCAATGATCAACACAAATTCATTAAGAGAATAATCGTTAGAAATGTTTTCTATATTCAGTTTGAATCCTTGTTTTTACTATAACTGTCAAATGTGTGTTCGATTATTACTAAAAAAGATTGGTTTCAACTTTTCAGTAGTAACTAATAAGTTGCCCAAGAGAGATTTGATTTCTTTTGACTTGACGAAAAATGTGCAGTTAACGTTAAACTTCAACCCTTGTTTCAAACAGAACAGAAAATGTCAAAAACTTTTGAGTGAACCAAATTAAAGGGTGTGAATGGTTGACAATGCAAGGTCATCGTGCAGGTTCTACGGAGACAAATAGTAATGGGCAATCCGGCAATACAACATAATTACACTATATTACTTTTTTTCAATTAAGTCTAATTATATTTCTTATGGTCTTATGGATGAATTCAAAATTTTTTCTTCTGATAACTTTTTACTATAAAAAAGAAAAAATAGTCTAGGCTTTGGCCAATAGTGAGCCGGTCTCTGGTCTTTTGTCAGTTAGTTCCAAGGCTCAGTCACTATATCGATTAATTGGCAGTCCAGCAAAACTATTCTGATTATGCTTAATTTTGTTTTTTGTTAATTGTTTGAATGATTAGTTGACTACTTGACTTAATGCTATTCAGTTAACTGTCAGACAATTAATTAATAAGTTAGACGGCCGATTAGTAAGCTAGATGTTTAATTTTATAACAACTTATTGGTTTATATGTCTATATTTCCCTTTTATGCTTATATTGTTTAATAGTTTTTCCTTACAAAACAGATTTTAGTGTTATTATCTTGACTTCTACCGCCGAACGCCGGACATTGGAAAATGTTGCCGTTTGTCATGTCTTGGGACCAGGTTAACCGGAAAGTGCCGGTTAAAGGTGTTAAGGAAGCCAGGTACGTAATATTTAATCAAGTTGCGTAACTATAAGCTAATTAAAGTTTTCCCTCGACAAAAACACTAAACTGAAATAAACTAATGGTCGTTAAGTGGTTTATTAAGTTAATGATCGCTCGTACTTTGACCAATGTTGCTAAAAGCGCTTTGATTAACCCAATTTTTTTTGTCACATTGGATTCATAATTTTACCTCCCAAACCTATAGATATTTCAAACTTTAATCAATGTTGCAAAACAAAACTTTACTTGGATTTGGTTTACTGTTTACAATCAATATGCCCAGATTAACACTGGAAAGCTTCTATACCCATCAAGACAAGTTATCTTAACCTTAAACTCAATGAAGAGAATCATAATAATCGTCCATAATGAGGTGTTTTTAATATAGCAGTTTCTGCTCTGTGCAGAAAATGTTTGCTTTCTGCTTAAGTTTGGGTCTCTTTTTTGGTAAATGGTCGAAGAAGAATGGTAAGATCCTTAAGCATTCTTAGTGAACAAGCGGGTCTTGCGTGAAAAAGAACTGCAAACAGGTTTTGATACGGGTCATTACAGTTTCACCAGATGCATTCAATAGGGTAAGAGTTTGAGATCAAAGTATTTACCTCGAACGATTTGCCGGAATTTTCAAATTCCAACATGCTCAATGCAACTTCACAGCTTTGTGAAACAATAGGCTCAGGGTCCCTTGAGAATTCCTGTAGCAATGCAACGCTCTGCTCATCTGAAAATAGCCGAGCAATGCAAACAGAGCAAGTAAAGTCAGCCGAATTGTGAAAGTTCCAGCGATGCATTGCATTCAAGGGGAGGTACCTGCTATAGAACCAAGCGCTTCTGCAGCCTCGTGTCTAACCATTGGGTGTTCATTCACATCTCTCAGTATTTTGCTTAGAGTAGCTAAAGCAGCTTTGTTTTGTAATTGCCCCAAGACATAAGCCACCTAAACGAGATTTGCATCAGTTACAAGGCAGCACTTCAGGTTGGAGACAGTAAAGCAAAAACTCAATATACAAGACCTTAACAAAACAGACTCATACAAGTTCATTAACATCTTTGAAGAGTAAATTCTCACTAGAAAACAATGATCAAACAGAAGGTCATCAAATGAAGAAAACTTGACAAACCTCGTGACGTAGAAGGGCACTATTAGCTCTCAATGAATCAACTATGGCAGAAACAGCTTCGTCTCCACCATGATTCCTTAGAGCGAAAAGTGCAGCATATCTCTCATACATGCCTTTTGTTTCATCCAGAAGAATTTGCCTGAAGTTATTCAATAACCTGTTACAAACTGGTAAACCATCTAGATCTTCTGAGTTGGTTAAGTTTAGAAGAACCTCAATTGGTGGACAGAAGAGAAAGCAGCAGCTGGAGCAGCTGGGTCAACAGACATGAAAGGTGATTTCTCTGTCGTGGATGACTGGTTCTCAGCATCAACATTGCTCAACTCTTCAATCCTTTTGAGAGCTAACTCACATGTTTCCCTAACCTCCTGAGCTGGATCCAAGGCCAAGCTTCTCTTCAAGATGTCAACATTTCCCGCTAAACCAATGGCTCCAAGAGCTTCCGCGGCCTGTTATATCAACAGCGCATCAGCGATTTGCAATAATCAGAAAGTGTATACTGAGACAGGGGAAATAAGGATAATGAGAATTATCTGAGATTAAATCTAACACAAGGATCGACTGTACTCAACTCATGGCGTACTATTGGATGCAAAGACATATCATTCAGAACCGACTCTAGAGCAGGAATTGCTTCAGCATCTTGCATCTGACCCAATGCAAATGCAGCTTCATGTGCTAACAAATTAGAGGAGTCTCTCGATGCTACAGGAGGAGGAAAAAACAGATACATGCCAAGTTAATGCCAACGTCTCATACTTAAAACTAGGAAACAACCCGCAATGACATAAGTAGCACAAAAATCAAAACATATCAACCACATCTTGATGAACCAAACCTTGACTAATCAAAAGAAAAACACAAGCAGTATCAGCACACGAAGCCTGGGGAAGTTTTGTCCAATCATTGACTAGAAGGGAATGCGGAAACTTGTAGTTTTAGATACATTAATCAAGTAGCCTTTATACAGAAGCTTAATGAAAACAAAAATCAAAGTTTCCACATTTAGGATATTCATCAAGTGCCAGGATTTTCCTACCAGTTGTTTGCAAATTCGATTCAAGCTAGTGCAAATGAAATTCAAACAAACAAAGAAGATAGAGAACAGCAGAGATTAAAGTGACCAAACCGAGGATTAGAGCGTTGCGAGGTCCCGGGCCTTTCAGGTTGCGAAGAGAGAATAGAGCTCTAAATCGCTCCGAGATCGGCTGCGACTGGTCCACCAATCGCTCGCACAGAAACTTCTCCAAGTTACTTACGCCGCCGTTTTCCGTCGCTGAAACTGATCCTTTAGAGTCCATTAGAAACCTCTCTCGTCGGCGTTTGAAAAATTTGGTCTCCGACACGAGGACGACGGAGTAACAGAGCCGACGACTAGGGTTTTTTTATTCCAGAGGAGAGAGAATCCGATTCGTGAAGGGAAGGAAAAACGCGGGACCTATTCCGCTAATAACCGAAATTTATTGTTTGTCCCTATAATAATCTTATAATTTTAATTTGACCCCATAGTTTCATTATCCCCCAGCGTGTACACGTGGGTGAAAACATTTTGTTCGGTCGGTCTGTTGAGTGTTGATTCGCTTAAGGGATAATCAGAGCTTTTCTTTCGACATTTCAACCGTTTTCTTCCTCAATTTGCGTTCGAAAACCATAGATCCAAAGTGATATCTGGAAACATCTGAGGAACCTCGAAGCGAAATCGAGAACGAAATCGATTGATCGATGAATCCTAGAAGGTTAGATCCATTAACTCTAATCGTCACTTATGTTCCAACAAATCTCTATCGATTCTGAAAGTAATGATCTCGCGAGTCTGATGATTATATATGTTGTCATGAGCTCTGTAATTTGTAGATTAGGGTTCATCGGGCGGATCTGAAGAAGCAGTGAATATAGATATCGATAGAGTTAGGACTGTTCCTCTGTATTCTGGTAGATGTAGATCAGTCCCAGTTCATCTAATTTAGAATTTTCTTTCAGTATTCAAAATCTGGATCTGAAATTAGCTGAATCGATGTCCTGTGCGATTGTTTCATGATAACGGATAAAAGAGATAAGAATACACATAGCATCTAAGCTTGCAAGTGAGTCATGTTGTTCACATAAGCAATTCGCTCAAGAGAGTAGTTCCTTTGAGTTCTGTATCTGTCGATCTCTTGGAATCATAATCCGATTGGAAGATGGTACTGTGTCCTTGCTGAGGTCTATTTTTTTTTTTTTCTAATCAGGGAGCCTCGTGGTGGAAGAAGTGCACTCTTTGATGGCATTGAAGAGGGAGGAATCAGAGCTGCTTCTTCTTACTCTCATGAAATCAATGAACATGAAAACGAGCGTGCCTTGGAAGGATTGCAAGACAGAGTCATTCTCTTGAAACGAGTAAGATTGCTTCTTCTGGTTCTTCTGTCATGTTCAAACTTGTGTTCCCAGTTTATGAATGGCGAGCATAACATCACAACAACCATGAAACATGGAAATGATCAAATTTTTGTAGATGGAAAAGCCATAAACGTAGTGGTAACATACTTTGCAATACATTTGAGACCAAGGCCCATAGTTGTAGAATAGAAACCGTGACATAGTTATGTCTCAACGATTGTTACATGAAGTTGGACTCTATGGTTTGAAACAGATACTGATTTGTCTCTTTTTCATGAACAGCTATCTGGCGATATAAACGAAGAGGTCGATACTCATAACCGCATGCTTGACAGAATGGTATTTCCCAACTTTTTCTGGTACTTTTTTTTTTCTTCTTATTCTCAGAGATTCCATTGTTACTGAACATTTTGCAAGGTTTCTATGTAGGGCAACGATATGGATTCGTCGAGGGGAATTCTCTCAGGAACGATGGACCGGTTTAAAACGGTAAATCTCCCTTACCCCAGCTTCACTAAGTGTTGCAAAAGGTCTCTGATCTGTTGAACTGAATCCTTGCAGGTGTTTGAGACAAAATCAAGCCGACGAATGCTGACACTCGTGGCATCATTCGTGGGTTTATTTCTAGTTATTTACTATCTTACTCGTTAAAATTGGCAAGCCGGAGTATTCTGAACAATCTATCCATGATCTTATGATATTTTCATTCCTACAATCTTATTATCACTGTCAGTGTAATGAATGATATGACTCTAGTGTTATAGTGTGATCCAGTGCTTAAGATAAAAGACAAAAATTCAAAATATTCATGTGATGGATTTTATAGATCGTTGTAACTGCCGCATCGAGCTTATGAAAACCTATAATAATGTGAATTGTCCGTAGACTGCAATGAAATTCAATGGCTAAATAAATAAAAAAATATTTATGCACCAGCCGGGAATCGAACCCGGGTCTGTACCGTGGCAGGGTACTATTCTACCACTAGACCACTGGTGCTTGTTGTGGACATGCTTCTATAGTTTTAAATATTGACAGATAGTCTTCTCCGCGAGGTAGTTCCATTTACTTCAATACTCTCGTGGATATCTAGCATAACACAAAATTATTTCTTTTATGGATCTAAGACAGGGATCTCAAACTCATAAATTGCACTGATGAGAACCAAAAAAAAGCAAATTGATAATTCTGGATTTCAGTAGCAATTGTATTAGTTGAAGAAACAAACATGGCTTTTGTATGCATTATACATATAGAACCTACACGGCTTATTGCAGCATCTAATCATATGAGAAAATTACAATTGGAGTCTGAACTAAGTGTAATAAAACACTAACACAATTGCCCTGTGGCACAACAATGGAGTAAAGAGAAAATGAGATTATGTATCAGCACTCCAAATATCTGGTGAAGATATCAAATCTGCCCTTCATCATCAAAAGTAATCTTCAAAGCCCCCTTCCTTATCACTGTCATGGCCCTCTGTTCCTGCAATATTATTGTTCTACAAGATGAGAAGAAGGATGATTCCATTAAAAATGTATACTTTCTGCAAAATGTTTATTATATTAAGGCGGATCTAGAGGCTAGTGTATTTAAAAGAACGGGATCAAATCTATATTTTGAGGTAAAGAAACTAACCAAGACTTCTATAACTTGGAAAAACAATCCAATTTGTTGTATAATCTATACTACCTATTTATTTTCATAGAAAAACATGGGATTTTAGTGCTATTACCACTGACCTTTGGCTTCTGTGGTTGATAGATCTTGAACAATGACTTGCAGCTGATTCGGATTAAATGTCGAAAAGCTGTCTGAGGAAGGAGATGGAGCCGGAAATGTGAAATCAGAATCACTTGATGAAGCTTCAGAGTTCTCAGAGCTGTCAGCAAGATCATCTCGTACAACTGGTGCTGATGCCATCGTTGAAGACATAGATGGAGATCTCAAGATGGACTTCAGTTGCGAGAACTGGTCCGACATAGAATATAACAACCTGGAATACACTAAACAAGACTTAGCATCAGGAAATGTCCAAGATTTTAAAAAATTTAAAAACCACTGCAGTTTGGTTTCATTTACTGAAGCACCTAAGACATATATTAAGTTTTTCACTAGACAGTTAACATTATTTGAAGGAAGATGAATCTAAGATTATCTCTGGTTGTTAAATTACGAATCAATAATACCTGTTTAAAGAGTCTTGTAATTGGTAAACTCTTCTTTCTGTTTCTTCTAATCTCTTGCGTCTTCTCTCACCAAGTTCTCGGGCTTCAGCACATTTTCTTTCGGCAATGTCAGCTCTTTGTTTCTCAACTTGCAACAAGGCCTGAAGAGTACAATAAATTTTTCAGTTTATCCTCCAGATGCATTGATTATGATGATGGCCGCAAATACATTTTGTTCAGGATATAAGATTGCGTATCAGGTAATAAAAAATAAAGTAGAACAGGTTGAAAATCTGGAGAATCTGGAGATCACTGTCATGCCATGTCTAGAAGCTGTTCAAAACGTTGGAAATAGAAACATTACCTTCAGCATCTCGACTTCGGCAGTGAGGGACTCAATCTCTGTATCACGAATAGGATCCGGGACTTGGCTTACAACAGAAAAATTGTTGTAAGGCTTCTCTGAATCGTGAACAAATGACTTTTCAATGCCATCTTCTGCTTGGATGGAATGTTTTGTCTGTCTTTCATGTCCTATTTCTTCATCGTCACTTTGATCTGAATGCATTACAAAGGACTTATCAAGTCCATTGTCTGCTTGGATGGAAAGCTTTTGCTTTTGTTCATCTCCAGTCTCTTCATCATCACTTTGCTCTGAATGCATTACAAATGACTTATCAAGTCCAGTTTCTGCTTGGATGGAAAGCTTTGGCTTCTGTTCATCTCTAATCTCTTCATCATCACTTTGATCTGAATGCATTACAAAGGACTTATCAAGTCCAGTTTCTGCTTGGATGGAAAGATTTTGTTTATGTTCATCTCCAATCTCTTCATCGTCACTTTGCTCTGAATGCATGACAAAGGATTTATCAAGTTCATTGTCTGCTTGGATGGAAAGCTTTGGGTACTGTTCATCTCCAATCTCTTCATCATCACTTTTCTCTGAATGCAGTACAAAGGACTTATCAAGTTCATTTTCTGCTTGGATGGGAAGTTTTGGTTTCTGTTCATCTCCAATCTCTGCATCATCACTTCGCTCTGAATGCAATACAGAGCACATATCAACTGCCTCTTCCACTCGATTGGAAAGTTCCACCTCTCTTTCATGTTCTGTCTCTTTCCTTTTGTCAGCCTACACCCATGATTTTACATCAATTTAAGAAAAATACTTCTTCCTCTAATGAGGAGAGTCTTGTTCCACTTATTTCTACATACTGTATAGATACTCAAACAAGCTGCAGGGATTGGTCTGGATTACCTGATTTGACTGCGCCAACTGTTTTCTGGCAATTCTTCCTCTGAGTTTACTTTGATAAACAAGAGAAGCTCTTTTCAGTTTCTTGTAGTCAGATATAGCACTATAACCACGCCAGTACGCCTGCAAGTTTCTTAGAGTTATTAGTCATTTTCTATTTCTAGAGTTAGCAAGATTCCATGAGAATCTGTGAAGTACGAAAAAGAATAGTGAGAAAAAGACCTGAATCACAGTTGCTGCCCTAGACTTCAATTTATAATGGAATTCATGGCGTGCAACCATTGTCCGCACTCCACTTTGCAAGGTGACTGCAGAAGATTTGGTCGTTACATAATCTTTCTTTGCAATCTGTCTACGTAAGTTTTTCTGAATTTTGATGGCAGCTTCCTCTCTTCTCATTTCCTTGGATATCTTTCGTGCAAGATTTCCTAAATTATGAAAGAGAGACATTATCAGCATTACTAATTTCCTGGGGATATTAAAAAAGAAAAAACCTAAGGCATTCACCTCTCCAGCTAGCCTGTATCTGAACTGAAGCCCTTCGCATGAGAACATATCGTTCTCTTGTCAGGCGAGTTCTAACTTGCCCTTGAATCATCCTCGCTGCTTCGCCAAGAACTCTTGTTCTGTGTGCATCTAGCTCAGCCATTTGACCAGCTCTCAGGAAAACTTTGTTTTTTCCAATCTGCAAATTAGATATTATACCATTACGCACCAAGGAAAATTATGCTACCTGAGAAACTCAAATTTCATAGAATACAGAAAATTCTACTTGCATTCAGTTCATGTAATACATTTAGTGAAGTTTATAGGAACCTTACCTGATAACCTGTAAGCCCTTTTTTCTCCAAAATCCACTTGCATGCAACATCTGCTTCGTACCTGCTTACAGTGTAAGGTAGGGAAACTGAGATAACAAACTCCAGGACCAATAAGGTAGAAAAGAGCAGAAGAAAGTTCAAGCTTAGTGGATAGAACTGATACATACTCTCCTTTCAGAATTTCTGGTGCAAGAATGACAAATCGATTTAAGAATTCAATGAAAGTCCTATTTGTTGGATATCCAGCGCATTTCACTCTGATGGCCTCAAGAACACCCTGCATAAGACAAGATTAGATAACACCTCAAAACATGTTAATATGAACAATTCAAAGGAAATACTGACCCCGGAACGTAATTGATGCAAGACATTGGCATTGTCAAACACTGTTGGTTGCAACAAATTGTTTGGCTTAACACATCTGATGTAGTGCGGTTCCGTAGAATTCAGTGTCTCCATCAGCTGTTGCAATTGTAGCTGCACCAATTGTTTGAACATGTCAACCCATTAAGATGATGGTTGTGGCTTCATATTAGTTCAAAAGTCTTAAAGGATTTGCAGGCAAGTCACCTTGAAACGAGCACCAATTGAGGAAAACTTAGATTTGCTACTCTCTTTAGAAAGAGGAGGAAAGAGGCCCGACACAAAAGAACATTTGGAAGCATTTAACAAATCCTGATGCTCGGCAACAACATAATCTTTGTTTTTGTCTAAAAATTGATCGGACTGGTATTGCACCTGAAAAAAAAAATAACATGGGAAAGACGACTTCAAAATCGTAATCATATATATACTTTTATTTCTAGAAGCAACAGAGTGTGAAATGCAACTCACATCCCCTGCATAATGAACTAATGTAAAATCTGATCGAGTCAGTTTTGGTTTTATGAAGCGCTTATGATCCTTGAATGTTTGATACAGCTTCTCAGAAAATGTTTCAGGAGTTGATTTTGGTAGCATGCTGCAGAGAGAATATACGTTTGATTTATAATACATAACTATGGTGCTTCGAAAATATGGTTATTATGTAAGAAAAACACTATAGTACAGCTTCAGGTTGAGAAAACTTCATTATACCATGCTTCATCTAGAAGAGCAATAATACCACCCGGCTTCTGCAAAAGATTGAAATCAGAGACTCAGAAAAGAAACGAAAGAAACGCAGCACAAAGTAATGGAAAAAAGACCCGCTTGTCCATGTGTGTTCAAGTCAGAATGATGCATAGTCAGGACACTTGAGCATTAGTGAAAACACATAGAGCTTGAGCATGCTTTCATGAATCTTTCAGGGTGTTCTTCTTATGATTTATCTAGGCAAGATATCCAACATGGATTCTAAGCTACAAGTGAAAGCATTCTCTGTAATCACATAGGTGAGCTGTAGGATAATATACTACTCTAGATGATGCCAGAATGCTATCTAAAGGGGATTCCTACTGTCCAGTATTTGAAATTGTCCAAATTGTTGCAAACATCAAGCCATGAATCTGTCTTTATAAGGGAAAAGAAACAGATAAGTAGAGAAAACAAACCTTTTCAATCAGATCCACAACATCTTGATTATCTACAAACTCCACGTAGCTCCAATCTATTTCTTCTTTCTGATATTCACCTTGTTCCATTTTAAATACATGCTGTACAATATCAATGAGTTCAGATTAATCGACAGAATCTTGAGCCAAATTAGAAGCCATAACCTATGACTGACCTCATACCTGGTTGAAATGCTGTTGTAGCTTTTCATTCGTGTAATTAATACAGAACTGCTCAAAACTGCACAGAAAGTATAAACAAGTCAGTGAACAACTGAAGTAGAAGTTAGATTAGGTGATGCAACAGATATCTCTTGAGTCCTGGGAATTTATACAAAGACATCCATTTACTAAGATCAAATGTTTAGAGGATTGTCAAGGCTAAATAATATGTTTTATAATATCTCAGCTGAGAGTAAATTTATCTATTAAATGCTAGGACACTCGGTGTATTTTGACAATAAAGATGATCACCCCAAGCACATATGCATGTACAGTGAGCCATGCATGCTCTCGGCCATCACCTGTTAGTTTTAAAGCTCTCAAAGCCATAAATATCAAGGACTCCAATCAAGCGCCTAGAGTGAGAATCTTGCCCGATAGAGATATTTATTTTGTTTACCAACCTGGAAATGATAACAAGTACTTAGTAGATGTCCCCTTCAGTGGCAAGTGAAAAAAGTAGATATTTGAGCACTTTAAAATTTACCAATCAAAGAGTCTAGAGTATATTGTCTTTGCTAAACCATCCCTGCTAACAGCAGCGCCAAGAGGATCAAGACTTCTCTTGATAACTTCTTCTGGGGTGACCATCATGCGCTTACACAAAGCATCTTCCAAGGAATTGGGATCACACCTATAAAACAACAAGTTGCAATCACATGCAGTACAAGAATCAGAATTTAGTTGGAAAAGTAGTAGACATATAATACATGAGCAGTTCTGATGTCATTTGGAGATGAAACATTGACTGTTCATCTTTTAGAGATGATGAATCAGCATCTTCTCCCTTGCAAAATTCAATATTTCCGAGATGGAGAATGGCAGCCACAACTCTGAAAATTGCATCCTGAAGAGACAAAAGAAGATATGCCTAAACCCTGTATAGCAACCAACAGGTGATAGGAAAATTTGCAAAAAACAAATTGCAAACCTGTTCTTTTTCACTTATTCCAACTACATCCATAGCCCTTCTAGTAGCAAGATACTCCTCTGCATCATTTACACCATCAAGTTCGTAGCAGCTAGATTGGTTAAGATAGCGAAATGATTTAGGATCCCCCAATTTAAATCTCTCGACATCCTGCAACAATATAATATCATCTATCACTTCAAAGATTCATCCGATTATAGGTATATATGGACAACTTAGATAATCTACCTCTGGAGGAGCAGCACACAGTAGATAAAAGCAGTGATAGTTACGTTCAGGATCTGAAACTTGACAAACACGAGACCTCTCCAAAAGGTAGGTTCTGATGGCTGCCCCAGATATTCGACCCACGTCATCAAACTGAATCTCCACAAATTTCCCAAAACGACTGCAACAAGAAAAAGTATTAATATCCACTAACGGCAGATAAAAGAGCCAGGAGGACCAGCAAATTGAAAAAAAAAAGAAGAGAAAATGGAAGCAGTCGATGATAAAAGCTTTAAAGTTTACCTGGAATTGTTGTTCTTAACCGTCTTCGCATTTCCAAATGCCTCGAGAACTGGATTTGACTGCAACATAATCCAATTGGATAAAGAATTAAATCCAAAACCAAAAAAGAAGAGTCCCAAGTGGTATCACATAATGAGCAAGCTCCAATCTAAGGATTTCAAATGCAGGGATATCTCTCCAGACTTACTTCTAAGACTTGGTTTTCAACTGTCCTTCCTTCAGCTGCAGTATGGCCTCCAAAGTATGCAAGGTAACGCATGAGCATCTTAGTCGTTTCTGTCTTTCCAGACCCACTTTCACCACTGACAAGTATACATTTATTTCTGCCCTCATTAATCATTTCCCTGTTGCAAAATTTCTCAAACTAATTAATAAAACACTTCTGCCACTTTTATTAGAAAAAAAAAAGGATAGAAATGAACAAATAAAGAGCTCATAATTAATCACCTATATGCAATACCACCAATTGCAAAAACATGAGGACTCAACTCTTTGAACGAGGCTTCCTTGTACTTCTCCATAACCTCAGCATCATAAAGATGTGGGAGTCCTTGAAAGGGATTGACAGCAATAAGGATATTTCCTGTATAAGTCTGTCATGATGTCAAAATATTATAACAGACTCACCTATCACTGGAATGGTTTTTACCAAGGACCAGGGTGAAAAGATTTGGTTATTCAACCAGAAGTGAAATATTCTTACATAAATTTCATTCAGCTCATATCTGGTAGCCAAGTTGTCAAGAACAGCAGGCTCATGCAGATAAGATAATCTTGTCATGTCCTCTACTCCCTCTGAAGGAGCTTCAGCATCTTTTGGATAGAGTTTTGATAAGTTAGCAATAACCTGGACCAGTAAAAGGAAATGTGAATCAGAAGTAGAGGAAGCAAAACAACACCGGCAAAAGCCTGAATACAAAACCATTGAAGCAATATGAGCTACACAAGCATTAGATAACTGGAGAAAGAAAAAAATTGTCTTTTTACCTCTCTGCCATCATTGGTTTTAACCTCGGCTTCGTCTCCCTTTATGTTAAGTACAACCCCATCAACCCATGCCATTTCTGGGTCTTCCACCCAAACATGAGAATCCACCATTATATTTTCAGCCATTCCGTAAGAATCTTCCTAGCATTTAAGCAACCACCACAAACTTTCAGCGGATAGTAAGTACATATATACAGGTTCATTCTTGTGATTTCACATCTAGATGCACATAGCTACCATTCTATAAGATAACAAGACATAATCAAACTATAAAATCCAAGGCTAGAAAGGTCATAAAAATTGGCTCTTTCTCAAAATTTCTTTTACATAGCAGCGATGGACTCAACATTTCTTCTTCTGAAAAAAAAAAAGGAACACCTTCAATCGTTCGAAGGAATGCGTAAATTTTCACCAATTTCCGATCGGCGGAGCTATGAGACCTTTCGAGAAGAAGAATCTCAGAAGAAAATCGGATTCTTAGAAGAAAATCGGATCCGGTATTCGTATAACACCAAACGAACGAGGCTCGAATTTCATGGTCTTGATCGCTTGTTCTTCTGGATTCAAACGCAAATTTGAAAAATGAATATTCTTTCTCATGGCGTGTGATCGATTTCTGCAGAGAGTGACGCATCCCCTTCGATTTCGCCATTCCTGTGGATGCCATTGTCTTTGTCTCTCTCTCTCATTCCCTCCCATTTTTAGCGGGAGAGACTTTCACTTGCAAACACCAGTATCCCCGTTTACCTTAAAGACCCGACCCGCCAAGAAAAACCCGACCAATTGATTGATTCGAATCTAATTCTCGTAAATTACAGTACATCATAAAATTAAAAATTTCTTGCCGGACAAGTTCTGATTGGATCTTACATAAGAGGAAGCCTAAAAACCCACTTAAACCTGTAATTCTCTCATGAGCAAGCCGAAGACTCTGTTGCAGCAGAGCATGGTGTCTCCGCTTCTGAAGCTAGGAACCCTAGCTCTTCGAACTATCTGCAAACCCATCGCTAATCGCCTCAAAAAGGAAGCTGGAGTCAACCCTAGATTCCGTCAATTCATCATCAACATTGCACAGGTAAACCCTTTTCTCAACGCCCCAATTTCCCATCTTTGAGTTTGATTCTCCACCAAAATCGAGACTTGGGTTTATTATCATCGATCGGAACATGCATAGTCTTGATTTTAGGGAGAAGAATCTTCAAGGGTTTATGAAAAGCTTAAGAATTGATATGATCGAAATTGTGAAATGTGACAGGCGAATCACAGATTTACGACGAAGTTACAGAGACGCGCTTCTGGTCGTGTAACCGATGCAGTTATTCGCCCTTTAAACGAAGAGAGAGCTGTTCAAGCCGCTGCAGATCTTCTCGGGGAACTCTTCGCCTTCACGGTATCTTAAATTTCATGTCTTTTAAGAGATTTTGATCGCTCTTAAGAACTTATTAGGAGACATTTTTACAGCCGTAGTTCTTCGAATTCTATCTCAATGAAAGTTCTTTTGCGTCTGCAAGATCCCAAGAACATAGCATCAACTACTCAATACCCATTAGATCACCTGCTCCTCTTAATTAAACTTGTTTTTATGAATGGAATTGGTTATGAAATTTGACAAACATGTTCTTCTTCTTTTATAGGTTGCAGGTGCTGCTCTTGTCTATGAGGTGCAGAAAAATTCCAGAGGAGAAGCTAGAAAAGAAGAGAAGCGACAAGAAGAACTACGAGTGAGTTTGCATCTCCTCTGTTCATTAGTTTCTAAGAGTTTTCCAAAACTCTTCCCCACTGTTCTTTATTTCTTTCTTTCTTTCAAACACTTGAAAGTCTGATCTCTCTCTCTCTGTGCTCATATTTGATTACCAGGAAATCAGACGCAAACATGAGAAGATGGAGAATGAAATCGAAGAGCTGAAACGAAGATACCAAGAGATTTCGCTGAAGATTGCTGAAGAGCTAGAAGAGATGAAACAAAGACACCATGAGTGCTCTCTGACGACTGCTGAAGAGCTTTCTAAACCAAGAGGACTCGCTTGGCTCTTCAACTTCATGTATTATCCGAGTGCTCCTGAAAAAGTACAGCAGGAAGGCTAAAAATGAACAAAAGCCCCAAAGATGATCCGTTACTTTGCAAGCTGTAATAGCTTTTGCTTGTAAATAGTTTCAGATATAACCAGATAGGTTAACGTCTGCAGAAGAGAAGAGAAGAGATATGTGTTCCTTCAGAGTTCAGGCTTCGAACATCTGTCTCATAAACCAAAACTCCAAATTCTTATTACAGTGAAAGGAAAACTCTAGAGGTTGTTCTTGATTTTTGACTCTGTCAATAGCCTCATTTCAAGCTTTCTCATTTCAGCCTGTAAGAAGACTCAATACCAAGATTGGTGTGTAAGAATCAAAAAACAACAACAACAAAAAAAAATCAAACTATTTTCTCTGCGTATATGGTTTCTCTTCATTTGATCTTCACTATTTCTCCATTTTTCTTTTTCATTAAGATTTGTGATTTTAAAATCAGAGATCAAAAGTACAGGTATCGACATCGACTTGGGAAAATGGAGGTCTTGAAAAAACATGAAGGTTCAGTACGTCATTTATGAAAAGATAAAGAGTCAATTTGCAAATTTTTAGTAATTTTGAGAAGGGGTAAAGTAGTCAATTACTGAATTCAATCCATCCAACCCTACTGCTACTAACGACACGTCATCTTTCCACCCAATCGGCGATATTTGTTTTCTTCCCGTCTCGCTTCTCTTTGCAGCCGCCAGTCGCCGCCGCGATTTTCGTCATCGGAGGCTTATCTTCGCGGTGTGTCTCGTTGCTATTTTTCGTTTACAATTCAAGGGATTGGCTGCGTCTACCCAATTCGAGACGCCATGACCATTTTCTCAGTTCAGTCCACTATCTTCAGTCGAGCTTCAGTAGTTCTTTTCTCTAGCAATGGATTCAAACGGTTTTCTTTCGCTTCTTCGTTCTCCTCGACGGCAGTTTATTCTCCACCTCTCCCCAAAATGAAGAAGCGGCGGTTCCCCATCGTCTCTGCTGTTGACATCGGTGGCGTCACTATCGCTAGAAATGGTTCGTACTTCTGATTTGTGAAACCGAGTTTTTGAATTTGATTTAGTATAAGCTCGTTAGTGGATTGTTATGGATAACAAGAGAAGAGCTATAACATCAGACTTGCTCGATAAGAAGTCGAGTTTTTTACATTTTTCTATATTACTTTAATGTTGTTTCTAATGTAAATTTGGATGTTTTTGATTGTCAAATGGAGGAATTTGCAGATGTGGTGAGAGATGATGATCCTACAAACAATGTACCAGACTCGATTTTCTCTAAACTAGGAATGCAGCTACACAGAAGGGATAAACATCCGATTGGGATTTTAAAAAATGCTATTTACGACTACTTCGATTCCAATTACTCCAAAAAGTTTGAGAAAATCGAAGACCTTTCCCCAATTGTTTCCACCAAGCAAGTAAGCTCTCCATACTCAAGCTTGCTTTTTTTTTTGTCTGGGAATGTTTATGCGTGTCTTTTAACTTTGTTTTTTTTTTTGTTTTCGGTATCAGAACTTTGATGATGTGCTAGTCCCTGCTGATCATGTAAGCAGAAGCCTTAATGACACGTACTATGTAGACTCCCAAACTGTGTTGAGATGCCATACAAGTGCTCATCAAGCTGAGCTGTTGAGGAAAGGTCATAGACGTTTCCTTGTAACCGGGGATGTTTACCGTAGAGATTCTATCGACTCTACTCATTATCCTGTTTTCCATCAGGTGTTCTATTCTTGAGGCCCCTGTGCTTTTAATTTTTTCTTACTTGGGCTGTTTAGGCTCGACATCATGTCTTTCTTATACAAGATGTGTATGTTTTATCTTTAATCTCATACAGATGGAAGGCTTTTGTGTTTTTTCTCCCGAGGACTGGAGCGAGTCTGGCATGGATTCCACATTATATGCTGCTGAGGATTTAAAGAAATGTCTCGAGGGATTGGCACGTCACTTGTTTGGTAAATTAAGATCCATTCAACACAAGTAATCCTCAGCTATGTATATTCTTCAGCTAGTTCACAGTTAATTTCAAAGGAGAGTTGTTACGAATGAATGATTATAGCATCAACTTTAAGATGAAGATGCAGATGTTTTGATGAAACAATTTAACATAGAACAAGCTTGTGTGTCTGTGACTCTTTAATGTTAACTTTGTTTTGGCTGCCAGGTGCGGTGGAGATGAGATGGGTTGATACATATTTCCCATTTACCGAACCATCTTTCGAGCTTGAGATATATTTTAAGGTGATCTTTTCCATTCTGAAACTTCGCATAATCATATGCTTGCTCTGATTTAAAGAGACATACTTCTACTTTTGTGTGGTCTCTTTTATCTAAAAACAGAAAAACAGATTGGTCTTTTTTTGGTGGATCGATTATGACATATTGTAGATTCAAATTTACACGTGGGAAAGGCTGGACACTTATGTTAGAATTGTTTTTGGCTATCAATTATAGTAGTTACACAAACTTCTTTTTCTCATCTAACGCAAGTGTTATCTGGTTATTGATTCAGGAAGACTGGTTGGAGGTTTTGGGCTGTGGGGTGACGGAACAAGGAATTCTGAAGCAGAGCGGATTAGAAAATAATGTTGCTTGGGCCTTTGGACTTGGATTGGAGCGACTTGCTATGGTTTTGTTTGACATCCCTGATATAAGACTTTTCTGGTCAGACGATGAACGGTTTACGTCCCAGGTGATTCCAGCTTACAAAATTAGGATGTTGAAATTAATCGTCTCAAAATTTGGTTTCTTTTCTCATATCAGTGTATTTGACGTTTACGTGCAGTTTGGAAAAGGAGAGCTCGGAGTCAAATTCAAGCCATTTTCAAAGGTAAAGCAATCTATTTCCATCTTCATGTCCATTACTCGTTGTCAAATGAATTTCAGTCCCAAAACTCATTTGTCCTGCTAGCTTTAACGGGGGATAAACAAAATTTTGTTCTGCAGTATCCTCCATGTTACAAGGACATCAGTTTCTGGATCAGTGAATCATTCACAGAGAATAACTTTTGTGAAGTTGTTAGAGGAATTGCTGGGGATCTTGTTGAAGAGGTACATTCCTTGTCGTTTGATTGGTTGGGAGAGGATACCTACTTTACAGGAATCAAGATTTAAATTTCAGCATTCCTACATTCGTCAGTGTGATTGTTCATAGACTTTATTGTCGATGCACAGGTGAAGTTAATTGACAATTTCACGAATAAGAAAGGTATGACGAGTCACTGTTACAGAATTGTGTTCCGTTCCATGGAGCGCTCTCTTACTGACGAGGAGATTAATGATCTGCAGGTAATCATTTTTGCTTCTCCTTTCGTCATTGATCCATAAATTACCATTGGGAAAAAGCATAAATTAAAGGGAACTTGTTAAACGAATGGAAAACCTTTTTATAGCTAAAGTTATACTTTTCAAATAGTCATATGACAAATCTTAGTAGGGAGGTGTTACTATTATGTGTTGGTGTTAAATTGTTTTCAAATGGTGATTTTTCCAAATACAGAGTAAGGTGCGTGATGAGGTGCAGAGGAAGCTAAATGTTGAATTAAGGTGAGAAATTTTGAATAGTAGAGTTGCTGCAGACGATGATGAACATGTCAAGTTTCAACTTTGTAATTCTTATATTATATTATTTACTTTTGGGAGAGAATTCATTACCTTCAAATAAAATATATGTACATTGTTTTTTTTTAATTCTAAAGGAAAGAATACAAATTTTCAATGATCCAACATTACAACATAATCAACAAGAGCTTGCAGATACTTTTTAGTTCACACAAAGAAGATAATTGGGCTTTGGATGCCCATTTATGGCCCACATTCAATTATCTACCCTCTGTTGAAAATCGTTGGAAATCAAATTATGGAAAATGTGTAGTTTATGAGAGGATAGGAAGTACTTTTATTTGTGATTTTAATGACATTTTTAAGCCAATATATATCGTTTTTTTTTTTCTTACAAATGATGGGTTCACGAGTTGAGAGAGAAAACTACTTTACCTTATCTAATTTCCATTAGGACCATAAAGTATAAAACTTTCCCGACAGATCAAACTGCCTTCACGTTACTTATGCTCCCCACCTTATTATACTGATTATATATTTATCATATACAAACTGCCTTTTGTTATTATTCATTCAGATCAAGCTTTTCCAATTCACTAAAACACGGTAACATGCATAATCATTAGTCACAAGTTGAACTGTATTAAAATTCGATGCTTTTCTTCTCTTTTATTTTGTATTTTATGTTGTGAACGCGTAGCTTCCGTGTAACTTAGTTATCAGTCATTGGTCAATTAAAAAAAAAAAACTTAGTTATCAGTTAACAGTTTTAAATATATTTATAGTATATGTTTTTAGTATCACGAAAAAATTGGTACGATCGAGCAACAGCAAAACCCTATTAAAAACACTGGTTGTTTGTTTCCCAACAGTTTTTACCATGTATATTTGTTGTTGTCAGATTCGTACAAAAGAGAAATATTTACACACTTTTTTTAAAAAAAAAAATTGGGTGATCCATCTTATCATTATATTATACAAATTGAGATTTTGTAGTAATTAAATAGATTTTGGATCGGGAAAATGTGCAGACTTGCAGTGTTGTGATTTGTGGCCGTATATGACAGTGAAATCATGTACGAACCGTTACGGAAGATTCCGTATGTTTTTCTCTTTTGCCCCCAATTTTATGGGCTGGAATTGATTTCCACAATTTTCCTATTTATGATTATTTTGTTTAATTTTTCGGTTTACTTATGATCATCAGATGCACGACAGTATATTCTTTTGGCCTGAAGAGAAAAATCTACCTTTCTAAACAAACGAGATGTTAAAATTGGTTTGGTAAATACGTAGTATTTAGTCTTTCTACTAAAACCCGAATTATATTAACAATTTGGTGTCATGAGGCTTTAAGCCTACATTAACTACTTTATCTAATAATAATCTGTCACATTTGATTTGTCGTGTCAGATATTCCGATTCTCAATGCTCAATCATTCTGCTGGTCTCAAGATATTATTAAGCTAAATGCATTTTTGAAATTTGTGCACTTACAAAAATACTTGAAAAATGGGAATGAGCCCATTCTTTCATATCCAACCAATATTTGAAAAAGTTGAATTTGAGCCTATATTACAAATGAATGTGAACAACTCACTTGATTGAGTATTGATTTTACGGAGGATGTTAATCTTTCGTCTTTTTATATAAGTTTTTTTTTTGCTTTAATGTTAAAATTTTATATAAGTTTTTGGTAGGATTAATAATTTAAGCCATGCTATTTTTTTACACAATTTATTGAAATCGATTTGTGTTGTCAAAAATCAAAAATAAGAATGCTTAAAGAAATATTTTGAAGGTCGTAAACCGATAAGAAAAAAACATTGCGGACCACAGTATGTATTTGTATATGCACGGAACGTATAAACAATAGAGATGTGCATACATACATTATTCCTTCCCCATTACACTCTATACACACACACATATATATATATATATATATATATATTCACATGTGAAGTAGAATTGGGTGGATTGAGAATGAGAGAAGAAGCACATGGAAGCACACTTGCATGAACATGTTTGTATTCACAGGCAAACCGCTTTCAATTTTATACATTAATGGAGAAGTTGCAAACATTACTACTACATAACATTTTTATAGTATATGTTTTACTTCTTTTACACCGAAAAATTATAACCTTTTATATGTAAACTTTTCGAACAAAAAGAGGGGTTTTATAAGGATTTTCCTCTTAAGTGGAATCTTAATTCGCGTATACACTGCAAAACAATAACAGCTTTCTATACACTCTTGTCTTGTTTCTTTTTCACTTAGATTTTAATGTTAAAAAAAAAAATTACATTCTAATCACTAATTAACACAGCTAATTATGTATCTCTCTATAGCTAATCATATGATCAGCCAATGCCGTAAATACTGACCATTTCCAAATTTTACTGATTAGTTAGCGAATTTTTTTTTGTTTAAGTAAAAGTATTTATTTTCGTGTCAAAGTCGTCCAATATACTTTGAAAAAACCGTTATTTAAATTTCTGCAACATCTCGTTAAATGTTGTTGTTGCCGGGCTTGTTGTAGGAATTTGAAGATTGGTCTTATGTAGAAAATTAAAGAGAATATTCCTAGAATACTTTGTTAGAAGACAACCACTACTGTTTGGGTTGTTTTGAGTAAAGAGGGTACTAACGAAAAAAATAATGAATTGTATGTGTCATATGAGTAGTGATACATTAAAACAATAGATCGTTGGGCCGTTATATATATATATATATATAGTTCTAAAGCTAAAAATAGTTAAAATAATACATTAAAATTATTTTAACTACCTATATATATATATATATTTCTTTTGTCAATGAACTACTGATATTTAGCACACATATATTATATATATATATATGTTATGTAAACTTTTATTGCAATAGAAAACCTTTTTACAATATAATGAAGTGTTACGAAAAGTTGTGAGATTGGATGAAAAGAAACCTGGATGAAAAATTCAGAAATATATCGAGCCAAGGTCGTCTGACATATATAGTTTTTTGTTATATCATTAATTAACAATTCATTTTATTCATGTACATATTTTAAAATTCCTATATTTATTATCAAGGAAAATATTATCTACATAGTGAATTTGATTCAATAAATTCTCTTGGGTAGTGTTTTAAAACAATGAATAAAAAGGATTGGCCTACATGGAGCTTTGGTTTGGGGACAAATCAAATAGAGAGGGAGAGGTCTCACAAGTCACAAAATATTTTAGGAAAAAATAAAAACAAAGCACATGTTCTGACACATGAACATGGTTCCCTTCTTCACTTCTCCTTTTCTTTTGCTCTTTCAACAGCTCATCTCTCTCTATCTCTCCACTCTTCCACTACTCTCAGCAGCCCACTTAATTCATATCCTCTATTCCATTGTATCTTAATATATATAATTAGCATTGCACTGTCATAAATTTATACAAATGATTGATTTTCTTGTTATTAGATTGTTTATAGAAAGAGGGAACTAATTTACATATAGATATATATATACATATATATATATATATATGCTTTTCTATAAACTAAATTGTACATGTGAAGGACAGAAAGAGAAATGTATTAATTGTAGTGGACTATTCTTCTTTGTCATTTGATAAAGTGGCCACTCTTCTGCTATCAACTCATTAATGTCCATACACAATGAGGTCTCTGACCGCTTGAACTACAACCCCATGGAAATCAAGATGGGTAGCTTCCATATTCCTGCTTATGATCATTTCATTATAACCATTTCAATTTACCTTATGTATTATGATATTTGCATTGTATGTAATTGTGCGTTAAACTAAACAACATTATAATTTTTTTTTTTGTCACAACATTAGAGAATTTTGTTTGCTGTATACAATGAGTCACATGGTAACATTTACTGATAGATATTAATTTATAGATGATTATGAAAAATGCACTTGGTAACATTCAAATCATACATTTACCACAAAAGAAAAACATTAAAATCATACATAACATACAATTAATGAAGTGCCAGATAAAACCATGTTTAGCTAGGGCTAAGGGTGTAAACTCGTTACTAGTCAAGGTTCGAATTTACTCTTTGTAAACTTTTGCATGTACCACTTGATCATTTAGGTTTCGGCCCGGATCCTTTATCTATGGTAGGCGAAACCTAAACCAAAGCTTAAGAAGTTATACAAGCGTTTCTTTTCAATCGATTAGTGGTATACAAATAATCATTTACATAAAATTCAAAAGATTTCCATATAATAAAAGAGAGAAATTAAAATACGAGCATCCGGTAGCACTTGGCCATGTGTCAGCTCGACGGACGGCCAAGAGGAATCAAGGCGGAGGAAATGATCAAACGGGAGGAGAGAAAAGCGGGAGATGTGGAAGAGAGAAGCATCTATAAGAATGTTTCCCAAGAATCACTATTATATTATACATTTTTGTAAAAGAATAAAAAAAGGGAGACTAAATAATTAAGCAAACAAAATTAAGGGAGAGGGGTTCACTAAGAGCACGTGCTGCCTGATTCTCCATTTTTCTCTTAAGACCTCTCAAAGCTTTTTTCTTCCCAAACAGCTGTTTCATAGCTGTCCGATCTCTCTCTCCCCCCATGTGACCCCACTCAGAGATATAAACCCTTTGAGATCGAATCCATATATATTATTAATTGATTTTTTTAGCTTTTTTCTATTATAAAATTTATCTTATCTCATGCATCCCTCTCTCTATATCTCTTACTTCTGTTTTGTATAACTACTCTTTGTTATACATAGCCATTTTAGTTACTCTGGTTCGTTCCCCATTCCTTCCTTCTCTCTCTCTCTCTAATAGCTCTTCATCTGTTTTAGAACTTTGATCATCTAAATTTCTAAATTCCTTGATCCTCACTCAAACTTTGATCATTCCCTTTGTTTAATTTTCATCTCCTCGTAATTCAGTTCAAGGGTTTTTTTTTTTTTCCTTTCATTTCTGAAAATCCAATAAACAACAAAGTTTTTTGTTTTTGGTTTTGGTGTGCCATTAAAAAGCTCATTAATGGCACAACTCCCTCCAAAAATCCCAACCATGACGACGACGACGACGCCACATTGGCCTGACTTTTCCTCCCAAAAACTCCCATCCATCGCCGCAACCGCCGTCGCAACCGCAGTAACCGCCGGTCAGCAAAACAACCCGTCGTGGATGGATGAGTTTCTCGACTTCTCAGCGACTCGCCGTGGCACTCACCGTCGTTCAATCAGCGACTCCATCGCTTTCCTCGAAGCACCTTCTTCCGGCGTCGGAAACCACCACTTCGACAGGTTCGACGACGAGCAATTCATGTCCATGTTCAACGACGACGTACACCAACAAAACCACAACAACAACAATAACCACCACAATCATCATCACAACAATGTAGGTCCCACGCGTTCTTCTTCCAATACCTCCACGCCGTCCGATCACAATAGCCTCAGCGACGACGACAACAAAGAGCCACCACCGTCCGATCATAATCACATGGACACCACAGCCAATCAAAACAACGTCGCCGGTAACAATTACAACGAATCAGACGAGGTTCAAAGCCAATGCAAGACGGAGCCACAGGACGGTCCGTCGGCGAATCAAAACTCCGGCGGAAGCTCCGGTAATCGGATTCATGATCCCAAAAGGGTTAAAAGGTAATTTATCATTTTCTTGTTTGTTAAATTATGATTTCAAATAAAAGAAAAAAAAACAAGAAGGTGTTTCAAAAAACAAAAAAAAAATTAACCAAGAAGGTCATGCATGCACGTACAGATATACCGATTTAAAACAGCAACAAAAAAAAAGAGTTAAAAATTTTAGAGTCACATCGATAACAATAATTTAATTTTTTGCTGAAATTTTCTACAGAATTTTAGCAAATAGGCAATCAGCACAGAGATCAAGGGTGAGGAAACTGCAATACATATCAGAGCTCGAACGGAGCGTTACTTCATTGCAGGTAAAATTTACACACACATATACAGTATATATGTTAATGTATAAGCGAAAATTGTATAATACTAACTTATGATGAAAAATTGTGGAATGAAGACGGAAGTTTCAGTGTTATCGCCAAGAGTTGCGTTTTTGGATCACCAGCGATTGCTTCTCAACGTCGACAATAGTGCTATCAAGCAACGAATCGCCGCTCTGGCCCAAGACAAGATTTTCAAAGACGGTAATTTCCTTATATATCTTAATTTCTTTTAAATTCATTTTTCTATAATTACGTTATTTAGGATATATAAAAAAATGTCTGACTATCAAGTTATATTCTATTACTATTTTTACCATTATTTTCACTCCATGTATTTAATTATCACTGACAATATATAGGCTTTTATAAAAAAAAGTATTTATATCTAGGCTCGGCCAATATGCATGCTTCATAAATTCATATAACTAAAAACTTTACATGAATTATATTATAATATATATATATATGTATGTTCAAGCATGAATAATTTTTGTTGATATGGTTTTCTTAGTTTTAAGGGTTTATGGACTTTCTACTAATTATTTTATTATAACATTTTTATATATAGTATGGGTCTAGCTAGTGATCATAAATTATAACATTAACAATTAATAGCCTGATTAATAAGCTACAACAACTGTCCATGTGTGTTCATATGACAAAAGTATAGATGAAACATGTGAACTTTGAGGTTTATTGATAATAATTACAATGATTATAAATTAATATTTTACAATGATTATAAAATAATATTTTCAGCTCACCAAGAAGCATTGAAGAGAGAAATAGAGAGACTTCGACAAGTATATCACCAACAGAGCCTCAAGAAGATGGAGAATAATGTCTCCGACCAATCTCCGGCCGATATCAAACCGTCCGTTGAGAAAGAGCAGCTCCTCAATGCCTAAAGCTGCTCTTCATTCATTAAGATTTTATCTCTACATGCGTGGCGAAAAGATTCCTGACAATAAAACCTCTTTATGTCAAGAAGTTAATTTATCAAAGAAGAAGACATTCTTATTTAATCTAATCACATTTTTTTAAGTTGTGATGAATTTGCTTTAATGTATCTGATTTTTTTTTTTTTTGTCTTATGGAGTGGGAGGGGGGAAAGTGGGAATGATATGTAAAAAGAACTTAGCTGATTTGTTGTTTATTCAATTTTTTTGTTGGAGTGTCTAAGCATTGTCTACTAATCTCTTGATTTATTTCCTGAATAGTTGTTTCTTCATCAATTTCTTGGCAAAGTTTGGATGATCAAATAGTTAAGGATTGCATTTTTATCACATGTTTCAAATTTTGATATGTCTCATGCATCCATATAATAAAAAAGTAATAATTTTTACTTGTTTCGAATGACAGAACGAACAATCTTATCGAACCATGAAAGTTTTTACAAATAGTTTTAAGATTTTATATTTGAAGTGCCTGAAAGCGATTTCTCATTCCTTAAAAACTCATACGAGATTATTTCATTATTAGGAGAGAAAAACCAATTACTTATATAATGATTTAATATTGACAAAAACAACAAGTAAGAATGTAAAATGTTACTATTTCTTAACGTAGGGCCTGGATGTAGATGATGTCATATAGAATCTAGATGGTCATGTGTATAATTATTAGAAACACAAACAGCTAACGAATAGTATCACCCCTAGTATCAATGGCGGAAATTATAGAGAAAAAAGTATTGATGAACTTTTTTTTATATAATCAAAACCTTTCTGAGAAATTGGGGTCAAAGTGGGTCAAATCTGAAAATGTGGGGTGAAAAATAAGGGAAAAAAAAAGAAAGAAAGAAAGGGGGAACGTGGAGACATCTGAAGAGTAAGCTGTAAGTTCACGTGCTATGTTCCTTGGGCTGGACCACTACGGTTTCGCTACATGATTGGCATTGTTTCCTCTTCTTTCTAATTTTGTTTTGTTTTATTTGCTTAGCCGTGGTAAATAATGTTTAAATGAATAGAAATTGATCTTTTAAAATTTCTTTCCAAGGTGGAAGGAGACGGTCAAAGTTAAAAAGAGGAAAAAATAAAGTTACAGAGGAAAGCTCCAAAGATAGGAAGATTAAATTTAAAAGGATTATAATTAAAAAGAAAACTGAAGAGGATAAGTTTTAAAAGACAGAGCTTAGACCACTTCCATCGTTGATATGATGTGGGGTTCTAGTATTCTTTTTGCATTAAAATTAATATTTTAATGGTTAGAAAAAGTAGAAACGTCTCTTGTTTTAGGATTTTTAGAGATTCTTCTGAACTTCATATGTGACAATGTTTGATTGGTTAAATATTTTTTATTTTTATTTTTTTAATAAATTTTTTTTCTCAGCTGAACTATTTAAAACTCCAAAATTCTATTTTCTTCAACTATATTTCAATTATAAGTTTAGTACAATTCAAGATTACAACTATGTTTAAATTTCAAATTATAATTTAATTTTCTGTATTCTATGTTTAAATTTCAAATCAATGAAATAATTTGTATTAATAAATTGTTGGTATTTAAAAAAAAATAATAAAAACAATTTTTTTTTTTAGAGTCTCCCATTAGATATTACCATTGGACACCAAAAAATGAAAAAATCTATAACAGGTTCTAAAACATTAAAGTGAACAAAAAACTATTAAAAAATATGATTAAATTCTCTAAGTAGAGACCATGGTTGGAGATGGTCTTAGTGGTATTGTGTTGGGATATGTATGAAAGCGAGATGTTGTCAGTTTCAGTGTTTGAACTTATGTCAGTGCCAATACCAATTCGTTCCTTTCATTGGATTTCTCTCTCTCTCTTTTTGGTTTTAACACCCAATCCCTCTTATTGGGTATAAAAACATGTTTATATCCCTTTTTTTTAACATCTTTACAGTATTACATACCACAAAGAAAAATAAATTAACATTTTCCCTGTAAGTTTCGTTTTACTATATGTTTCCTAAGATTCCTCTCTTTTTTAAAACGGGGATATCGTTTTCTGATCAACAAAATGGATATCGCTAATTTTTAGTGATCAAACGACATAATCACAAAGTATTAGACTACAGGTCTAGGTCAAATGGGTAAAGAACATTTCCGTTTAATGGGTCGATAGATGTAATGTAATATATAGTAAGTAGATAAAAAAAACTTATGTACCTGTCAAACGGGCCGGTTTTCAAAATACTGAAAATATATATTTGGATTAGATCAATTTGACCTCGATATGAATACTACAGACCAGACACGCACTTCGAAATACCAGGAATCTGATATGTGTTAACGAAATCGAAGCTGTTCAGCACTAGTTAACGAATCCCAAAGATGATTAAATGTTTGATATAAGGCAGTGCTAACTAAGACTGACATTGATCACAACCGTTGATAACATTTCCTAGAAAAAGATTAAGAAGAGATGCAATTCGACCATTATTGTCTTTTTCATACAAAACGAGGCTAGAATGATTTTTGTTTAAACGAGCTTCAACAGCTTCACCGATTTGCAGAAACCTACAGGGTAAGAAAAAAACATCGAGACAAATCAGCTATATACTTAGTTTAAAAAAAAAAAAAACCAATACGCCATAGAGGAGAAAGAAAAAGAAAACCAAGCATTGGTGGTGGATCTTATAACGACACTGTGAGATAAACAATGATTAATGTAATTGAGATGATTGGAATATTATGATTATACGTGAATCATAACTGAGCCACAACAAAATTCTGTTTATCTACTAAATTAACATTAACCTATTCAACTATAGTTTTTCCACTCTTTCACGATTCTACTCTCACTATTCATCTAATATATCCGTTAACACCACAAAGTACTTTTTGGAACGTGGAAATGCGAGAGCGGATTCAAGATTCCTATCTAATGAATACAGGGAGGGAATATAAAGCTTTATCACCAATCAAAGAAAGAGAGCAACGTTATGATGAAAATTTGAGTAAAAGAGAGTAGTTAAGTACCTTAAGAGCATCTCAAGTTTCTTCTGTAGCAGCAGCAACTTCAGAAGTCTCATGATCCTTGCTTACCGAAAGTGTTTCTCGACAGATCTTCACTTCATTTTCAACCTCAGTCAATCTCTCGGTTAGCAACTCTACCGCTTCCATGTGTCCTTGAAATACTTTAAGCCAGTCACTTCCAAACTCCTCAATTTGTCTCTCTATTCGACCTCGTGCAATCCTGTCTTCCACTTCTTGCTTCAATCTCAGCTTTTCAATTTCGGTATTGCTCAGAACTAAACCTCCAGAACCTTTGACATCCTTGTAGACCGCTTCTTCATCACGCAAAGGGCAACGTTTCCTGTGCTCTCTTGATGCCTTTTTTGTTTCTTTCAAAGCCTTCCTATATCCCTCTACTACGCTTGTCATCATCCGAAGCTCACTTTCAAGCCTATAGATCATCATATCTTTTCTCTGTTGCTCCTCAAACTTGGTTCTTTCCAGATCCTGAATCATTTCTGCCTTTCTTTGCAGTTCGCTCATCAGATATTCCTGGTTCATAGCAGATTGTCCACGCTCTCGATCTTTTTCAGCACATGACATCCTAGCTTTTTCAATCCAGTACTCAATCTGATCCATGCACATCTCAACTGGAGGTTTTTCATTCCACGAGGGTTCTTCAGTCCTCAACCTCTTACTGCCGGGGTTATGAGCATGATAGGAAATATCATTCTCGTGATCAATCTCCCTCTTGTTGTTGCCATTTCCGAACAGTGAAGAACTACCTGAACCCATAGCCATATGCATGTCAACCCTAGAAGTAAGGAAATCACCACCAGTCGAATTGCCATGAATTTGTAACCCAGAGCCATAACCTAGAGGAGATGCATCTCCTAACATGAGATTCTCTTGGCCAACTCCATGAAGGGAATCCCCATTTGGAAAAAAGGGAAACCCTCCTTCATGCTTTTCTTTATCTTCCTCGGTTTCCTCTTCCTCGAAATCTTCAATTGGTTCGTCTTCTCCCATTTCCATGGGTTCTTCTATTTTATTCTCTTCCTCTCCTTCTCTAGCACTACTATGATCGCAGCGGCGGAGGAAATGAGGAGGAGGAGCATGATTGTCTTCCTTCCATGGCCACTTTTCATCCTCTTCGTTCTTATTTTCCTCAACATCCATTGGCTGTCCTTCAACAGGACCTTGCTCTTCCTCAGAGACCATTTCTGACACAGTCTCTTGTCCAAGATTCAATTCGATCATATGTTCTTGCACACAATTCTCTTCTTCCTTTGACTCGGTGGCACAATCGTACCTTCCTGAATCTGCAGCACCAACAACATCTTCCTCCTTAACCTCCAAAGAATCTTCTTTTGGAGATTTTACCAAAAAATCAACCTCCTTTACATCATCATCTTCCTCAGCCACTCTAGATTTTTCCCTTAGCAAATCTTCTTTCTGTGTTTTGATCAACAGCTGCATATGCGAAGCAAAAAAACAGTCACCGAGTGGAGGCTCCGCTTTCAGTTCTTTCTCAACCATGAACCAGAGCAGTGCAGCCCAATCTAACTTTTCTAATTGTTTTTGCTTTATATCCCTATCCCATTCAATTACCTCAACAGGCATAATCCACATATCATCTCTTTGCAGTAGAACCCAAGTTGAAAGAATCTCTTTGACAAACCTGACTGATTCATCCTTCTCCAGAATCTCTCTCTCCTCCTCTGTAACGACAATGTCTTTCTTCTTAGGCAATTTCAAAGCTCGAGCCAAATCAGGACGGCTGACATTGATCCTAGCCCCATTCACATAGCTGCATCTACCCTCTGGACTATAATAAGCTACAAGGTTCGCTACTAGATCCTGACGAATGTTTTGGTCGAACTCCAAGTGCAGAAAGTCCCAGAGACCTAGCGTCTTCAAGAGCTTTTCATGCCGAGAAAAATCTAGGGTTTCAGCTGGGACGAAAGGAATGGGCTTCAAGGTTTTTAGCAGTACCTCAAGCTTCTCCTTTGATTTCGCTTCCTGCTTGCGTTTCTTCTGATTCACTTTCTTTCGCTTCGACCCACCTCCACGACGGTATACCGAAGAGCTAATTGCTGGCGTGGCGTCCATATCGTCCTCCTCGTTCCTACTTTCCTCAATCGACGCCTCTGTTTGCTGATCTCTAGCGTCGGATTCCTCCGGATCCTGCGGGTTCTGCGTTTCCTCCTGTGTCGAGTCTAGATTTAGGGCTTTGTTAGCGACAGAATTCGCATTCTCCGTTGAAACACTTCCTTGCTCTACGCTCGGTTTCTGGATTAGAATAGGGTTCGTTGAAAGTGTTTCTGGCTCTGCAACTGATTCTCGACTAGAATCGGTGGGATCTGACGGTGAAGCCATGGCTGATTTTTTCTTCGGAAATGCTAAAACTTAACTGAGTCAATTTCACGGTCACGAGGCCAAAAGTTCAACGCCCTTCTCAAGGACATCAACCATTCATAGAGAGACACGTCATCAATCCGAGCAACCCAAATTTACATTCCTTGGGAGATAAAGAGTCCAACTCCTCATGTGGCCCCACCTCACTCTTTTCCCTCTTTTATGGGCCTAAAGAGAGGCCCAAGATCTCCAATCATTAACCGCTAAAATCCAAAAAATTCACAAATCTTCCTCTCTTTCGTCTCTTCCGATTCTCACTCAGAATCGCGTCACTGTTAGATCTTCCATTTTCCCGATACCTTTAACGGTAACTTTCTGGTACCATTGGGAATCAGGGGCTATAAAAAACGCTGAACCTTCTTCGTAACGTTACTTTGCTTGATCTTCTCTTTCTCTGCGGAAATGGTTATGTCTCTCTCTCGGTGTTTTCATCTGCATCTCTCTCTCCTCGCCGCGACGGCGACAATGTTAATGGTGGTTGCGGCTGCGCAAGCCGGCGGTCAAGTGTTGCAGGTGGAGCTATGGTGCGTAGCGAAGAACAACGCGGAAGATTCGTCGCTCCAGACGGCGATCGATTGGGCTTGTGGACAAGGCGGCGCCGATTGCGGCCCGATCCAGCAAGGTGGACCCTGCAACGACCCGACGGATATCCAGAAGATGGCTTCGTATGTATTCAACAATTACTACCTGAAGAACGGCCTCGCCGATGATGCTTGCAATTTCGACAACAACGCTGCTCTTACTTCTATCAATCCCAGTATAGCCTCTTCTCTTTTTTAACATGAAATCGAAATCTCTATCTGTTAGGATAGTTAAATATAAGGGATCATATTGATCACCTTTTCGGGAATTTGAGTTCCAGATTCCAATGTGGTATATACATTTGTGTAGCTTGTTGAATTCATTTCTCATGTGTGTGTTTCAGGTCAAGGAACTTGCAAATACCCTTCGAGGTAATAACTTTGTGCCCTTTGAGTGATGTTTCAAACTGCTTTTGATCATTTCTAAATCGATGTAAAGTTTAATGATATGGAAGATGGTTTGGTGATATGAATTCTTCAATTTCCTTATATGCTCATCAGTTTCCTTAAAAAGAGCAAATCTTGTTTTGGTAAGAATGAATGGAGAATGGTTTGGTTCTAATACTGTTCAATACATGATGAACATGAATGGAATGTCTTTGACTTCCTTTTGTTTTACATCTTGTATTCTTTGTGTTGCTTTCTTTCTTACTGATGATTCTCCTTCACCATCTATAACTGATCTCATTTGTTATGTATTCTTATGTAACTCGACTATACTTGGTAAATCTCATGGATGTGCAGTAAGAGAGTGAGCAATGGGCGAGTAGCGGAAGACACTTCAATGGGTGCAGGGCAAGCAGATATGAGCCATGGCAGACGAATTTCCAGCAATTGGATCTTGGCCTTCATCGGTTTTGGCAGCATATTATTGACGATGACACGGATAATTCATCTTTAGGCCACACGCACAAGCTCAATGATTCATGAGAAAGTTGCCATTTTTATCTATACCAAACTACCTATGAAGAAGATAGGTCTAATATCTAATTTTCTGCCATCTTTTGACTTTGCGATCTCGCATGGAGTCTGTTTCGACATAAGCTTCAATGGGAATTGGTAGTGATATTTGTCTTTGTCAATGAATATATATAATGATGTAATGTTATCAACCAAAATTAGCTTATAGATTTAATGTGAAAAATCATATAATACGCTATTAATATGCAGAACAAGGAACACAAAGACAGAGGAATTAAAAGTTGGGTCATTTGAAGTTAAAAATGAAATGAAGATGACGAAAATAAAATTAGCCGGTTAGCAAAACCGAAAAGTGTACCTGCACCTACCCGAATTGAACCGACCTAATAAATGATTTGAATTCCTCGTCCATCCTGAATAGAGTTGTTCGCGCTGGCAAACCTCCCGCCTCCCGTCGCCGCCGAAAACTCGACGAACTACGAACGCCGGTAGCCCAATCTCGTCGATCTTCTTCTCCGATAGACTATCTCCGGCCGAAATTGGTGAGCCTCTTCTTTTCTTTTAACGTTTTGACTCTCGATTGTGTCGTTTATGCTTAAAGTGGAATTAGGGTTTGTGCTGCTAATCAAATGCTGAATTATGTCGAGGACAATTCAATCGTTCTCGTACAAGATTTAGGGATTTCATTTTGGGGTTTCTATCGCATATCAAGAAAGATCGATTCGTTTCGTTCAAGTTTGCGCTTTTCGTATGTGCTATGATTGACTTTCCTTGAATTTGGTTCTGTTTCTGTTGATGAATGATTTAGAAGGAAAAAAGATGCGAATCTAATGAAATTCGTTGGCCTAATGATCTCTTATCCGTTATAACATTATAGTAAAATGTATGAATCTTTTCAGAATCCACATTCATCATATTGTTTAAGCATTTGTTGCAGTTGATCACCATCGCATCTGAAAAATTCACTTGTATATTCTTTCTTTGAAGGTAACTCATAATGGAGAACACCGTGAGCATTAATCCAGAAACACTGCCTCTTCCTCTAAAGATCTTTGAGATACCGGGAGAGCCTGCAGTTGTTATCAATGGTGTGCCTGAAGAACCTGAAACAGATTGTGTAATTGCCAAAGACGAGCCAATATCAAGTGGCACTGTAGGAAGCGGCGAGTGGCTTGAGGGTAGAGAAGTTCGGAAGTTTTTCTTGGGTCAGTACTATTCTGGTACGGTGACAAAGTTCGACAAAGATACTGGGTGGTACATGGTTGAGTATGAAGATGGTGATTCTGAAGAACTTGACTGGTCTGAGCTAGAAGAGGTACTTCTGCCTTTGGATGTTACTGTCCCACTCAGATCAATCTCGTTGTGGATCATCAAGAATCGTCAATCACAGGCCAAAGCATATGGACGCATGTAATAACGCTAGTCCAAGAACTCCAACACAAAAGGGTCTTGGCTTATCGCGAAGAGTGAGTATGTGTGAAGCAGGAAAGAAAGATTACATCCTTTATGCCTTCATATTGGTAACATTTGAATAGACTGTTGAAAACTTACTTACTTAGAACCAATGGAATAGTAGAAACATTAGTGATAAATAGCGTTTTTTTGTACAATGATCATGAAATTTCAAAAGTCAGACTTAAGGTTTTTGTTTGACAACAAATTAGAAAAATGAATGAAGTTTCGTATTAGTCCGGAGAAAAAAGAACTTTGGTACTAGATAGCTATGTTTTTGGAAGCGTTTAATAATTGTCTCCAACTTTTCATACTTTTTTTTATTGAACATCTCTCTGTCTTGATTCATTCCAAATTGTTTAAACTTATCTGTATCTACCTTAAACATTTTAAGAATAATTCCAAGATTTTCATACTTTTTGCTTGTTAGCACGTATCCTTCTTACTTTAGCTGTTATTATCAAGCAAATCTATTATTTATATACATGTTTGCTTTCAAATAATTAATCACTCTGGTTTGTGTATAAATGATGCAAGCACTTCCAAAAAATAACCCCCATCACATTCAACACATAGCCTGAAACAACGACCATTTTTTTTTAAACCATGGCTAGACATCCTTTTCTTCCTCTGTTCTCAGCTCTTCTTTTGGTAACAGCCATCACAAAATCAGAAGCTTTCTCGAAAACAGTGAAGTCACGATTTCCAGGACATAATCCGGAGAAGCTAACCCACCTCCATTTCTACTTCCACGACACTGTCTCCGGAGACAAACCAACGGCCGTCGTGGTGGCTACAGGTCCCAACACAAACTCCTCTGCATCGGCTTTTGGTATGGTTGCAGTCGTTGACGACCCGTTGACCGTTGGGCCCAACATCACCTCAGAGGAAGTTGGGAGAGCCCAAGGAATGTACTCATCGTCCGACCAGAAGACTTTTGGTCTGCTTATGGCTTTAAACTTGGTGTTCACGAAGGGTGAGTTTTCAGGCAGCACCGTCGCCATGTATGGCCGGAATTCGGTAATGTCAAAGGTGAGAGAGATACCGATCGTCGGAGGCACGGGAGCTTTCAGGTTCGGAAGAGGTTATGCACAAGCCAAGACTGTTCGGTTCAATACTACGACTGGAGATGCTGTGGTTGAGTATAATGTCTATGTTTGGCATTAACTATTGACTTCTTTACTTTTTTTTTATAAAAAAAAAAAAACTATCGACTTCTTTGTTCTTTTCAATTTTTTTTTTTTTTTTTTTTGGTGAAAAACGGAAGTTTTGGTTGAATACCAAAAGAAAAAAAATTGGTGGAATAAATGTTTTATTTTCAGTTTTGAATTGATATTGTGATTTTGATGTATTTTCTTGTAAGAGATTGTGGTTAAAAGCTGTACTGTAGGTGTGAATTTGTTGATAATATATATATTTCGTTGTTTTTCAAGACGATTTACTGCCTACTATATAAAAAATAGTTTTATTCATTATTTCATTGTTTTGTTAAATTTTCCGTAAAAGTAACAATGAGATAATAGAGACAATGACCAAAATAATTTAACCTTCGGAACATTGCGTTGGTGGAAACTTTTATTTCGTTAATAATTTGATCTTTACGGTACATTTACCAAAAATCTAATGAGCCACCGCTTGTCTTGCGGAGTGCTTATGAAGCCGAATCGAATAGCGACGGATTAGTTTTACGTTAGGGTCATGTGTAGTTGAATTGGTAATGAACAAATTTTGTTAGAATTTGCTTGTTAGCACGTCTCTTGCTTATGTGTTTCCCTGTGGCTTTGATTAATCAAACAATATGAATATAATTTACACATACATACATTCGTGCTTTAAATAATTACTCTGTTTTGCTGTCAAGCCAATACAATATAATTACTCTGTTTTGTGTATCAATTATGCAAGCTCTTGAACCATTTTCGCAATATAACGACTAAAAAGATCACTTGACTTTATAGAGCAACGACCATTTTCAACATGGATTGGCTACACTTGTTGTTGTTGTTCTTGTTTTTAATGTATCTAAAAATAAACGTAGTTTTCTTTGGACAAAAAAGAAAATTAGTTTAAATATAAAATATAGTGTAACATTGGCGTCTAACAACACTCATCGACGAGTGAGACATTTCATAATCCTTAATCACCGCCTTCGGATTTGTGGGTGGCAGCCGTTGTCGATGTTGCATTGCAGAAATGTGGATGAGTATTTGATCTAACTGGGCCTAAGCCCAATACGGATCTGATCACATTTAAAGCCAATTAACCTAAATCTAAATTCTATACCAAAATCTAACCGATGCATGTTCTGAAACTGAATCGCGCTCACATGGATCATGTGGTTGAGTTGGTAATAGAAGATGCGAATGCTATATATGAACAATGATTTCAATTGATAATTTTTTTTTTTAACAAGTAGTTTTCTTTTTGGTCAATAACATATAATATGAGGTCGAATCTAAAATAATAGCCAAGTGATAACACTAACACAAACCACTAGATTAGATGTCAATGTCATAGTCAATAGTTTTTTTTTTAATATTGTTCATGTTTTATTTAATGGTTAACTAATATTACCGGAAATGACTAATCTAAACCCTTTTTATCGGGTTAAGGTTGGATTGGTCCGGTATATCAATTCGGTTTACAAACATTAGTTTTATGTTTTAAAATTTTGAATTATAACCGTAATCTATTTAATTTTTATGTTTCGTTTCAAAAAGTTTCTGTCTCATTTAAGGGAGAGTCAAGGGGCTGTTGACCTTATCAAAATTTAAATTCAGCAAGATAGGAAATGTTTGAAAAAATGAAAATTGACAAGAGGTCGGGAGACATACAATATGACAATCTAGAGAAAGCTTCCCCACATACATCTAACATCGTTAATGCAATATCTGAAAAGATGCTTTCCCCATTTATATTAATATAAATGGTGGTCCATACGAAACAAATTTTACATTAAATCAAACTCATCTATCATTTTTTTTTAATCCTAAAACATTGTGATTAAAAAAATATATATAAAACTATGCATTTTTATTAGGGTATATGTCTAATTTTCGAAAATGGTACCATTTTCTTAGATTTTTTAGATCGGTTTCTAACAAAGTTACCATTTTCTTAGATTTTTTTAGACCGGTCTCTAATAAAGTCTTAGTTTTTTTTTTTAATTAACATTGATTGTATACATACTATAGAGTTAGAATCTACAGTGTCTAACTCTGAAAGAGACTGGTGGGTTCATGTTCTTTAACTCCACTTGAATTTGTTCTGTTAGAAATTCTGTTTCTAATCTGCTAAAACATATAATTATCACGATAAATTGATGTAATTACACCGTGTGGGGTTACATGTTATTAAAGGTACAAGGCATGCTTGTCTTTCAAGATTTTTTTTTTTTTCACTTCTTTCATGTATATACTGAATTGTTACTTATCAATGTATTAATGTATATTGCGATCATGAGCTCATTAGTTAACTCAATCCAGGTTTATGATAGGTCTTGCGGTTTTGCGAACCAATCCTCATTTGACTCTGATTCTTTAGAATTCAGGTCTAATCCGGTTCAAATCATGTGATCGTGCGTAATTAGACGCGTTGGAAAGCGTTCGTTTTGGCATGATTTATTTTATATGGATCGACCTAGTTAGATTTGAACCTTGTTTCAAAAACAGATATTCTAAGAATTATGTTATGGGTCTACGGAATTTTTTCATGTAGTACAAATTAACTTTAGATAAAATCTCATCTCTAATCAAAATAAACACATATATATCTTTTTGTTGTTATTATTATTATTTTTTGTTTAAAAAAGGAGAAGAGAAAGAACAAGTAAATGTATATATGAAAAGTATAGATACATGGATAGCAGAGTAGTGGAGGAGTTGCATCGAAGAAAAGGAGGAGATGAAGCAGAGAAAGTGAGAGGTTTATGGTCCCTTCACCAAAAGCCATCTAATCTCTGAAGCATATGACTATGACTTTAATGGCAAAGCAAAGGTGTTGCTGTTAGGGTTTCGGAGAGACTTTGTGGGCTTTTAAGGCCATGTGGGGTTCAACTCCATTCTACGGACCCACCAATATTTTCTGTTTTGTTTGGTTTGTAAAGTATGATGTTTTTATTTTTAAATTTCCACCAAAAACTCAAAGCTAGCTATCAGTTTATTACCCAACATTTTCTTAAAAAGTACATAATCACGATTGTATATAAGGTAAAAGTGTCTTAGATTTTGCTTTAGACAGATTTTAAAATATGATAATAACACCATTATATTGTATATTAAGTTTTTGATTATGCCTTTAAAACCTCAAGACTAAAACCTCAATCTCTTCACTAACATGTGTATCATGATCGTAGTCTATACGTACCTCACATAATGTGGTACACAATGAAAATACTAATTACGATTCTGTACTCAGCTAAAGTCGACCGAGATACTTTCTCTCCACACAGCTAATACATGGAACACTATATATTAATCGATGCAAGAAAAATGCACAAGTTTGTTTGGTTCTCTTGATGTTAATTTTCTTTAATGAAATATTCTTGATGTGGTTAGCTAGATTTTTATCTTCTTTTGTCTTCATGCTCGTGGTCTCGATGTAGACCGAATTGGCGCATTTGTTATATAAGTTTTATAAATCATGTAATGGTATGATATCACCGAAACTCTTATAGAAATATAACTTTGGTGTACTATATATTTACTATTTAACTGTTTCAAATCGAGTCGGGAATCGGTCGATTATTTGTCTGTGAGATAGCATGCTTTTTTCTTATTCGGATATTTTGCCAAAATCATGTGTGTCGGACCAATCATGGAAACTTATTAACTCACATAAGTTTAAATTTGTCTAGAAGTATCATGAAATATTGATGATTATATTAGTTTATACTTGGTTTATTTTGATTACATGATGATGACTCTCACAGACAAATGCTTTCAATTTTACTGATGACATCAACAAGTTGATTAGCCATTATTGAATGATCAGCATGTAAGGACCACTGACCTTTAAGTACTCTCTACATAACATCTTTGCATGATGCAGAGAGAGATGATGAAAGAAGTAAAAGGTAGTCCTTGAGAGAGAAACTAAATCTTTCTCTATCTATTAATAGTAACATCGTACGTACATATAAATACAGAGAGAGAGAATTACAAGCAAATTATTAAGTATGTGATCAAAGAGTACAAAACTAACTTGGCATAGACGTTAGTATAATGAACCCATTTACCTAATAATTGTCAACTCGTTTTAGTTGAATATCATAAATTTACCATAATCCTTGTACTTCGAAGTAATAATGTTAAATCCGGAAAAGCTGAATGGATCATATATGGACCGAAAAACTGTTTTGAGGACCTAAAGAAATTTAATTTGGTACTTTTTAGGTGACTAAATTCTTTATAAGAACATCTACAGAAATATATATCTTATAAAAAGGTTGAATCAATATTGAAATAAAAAATTGTACAAAAAATATTATGTCGTAGATTCGGTTAAAATCAGTAATATTTCTTTTAAAGTCAGGACTACTGAAAATTTTATTGATATTCGAAATTTTGAACTGAATATTCATAAATGTTTTATGTCCCAACATTTGGGAAAACACTCCTGAGAAATTAATAAGAAACAAAATCAGTAGATATGTTCATCACTCTTAAAATAACATGGATAAACTATCAACCCTTGTTAAAAATAATTAGAAGTTTTATCAACCTTCTAACAAACAAACAAAAAAGTAAAAAAAAAAAAAATCATGATTTACCATAAAAAATTAATGGGAACAAGCCAGTTCTATATAAACGTTGTCTTTCTCTCTGGAACATTCAGCCTCACAACTCAATATTCATTCATCTCTTTCTCTCTCTCTCTCTCTCTCTCTCTCTCTCTCTCTCTCTCTCTCTCTCTCTCTCTCTCTCTCTATGGACGAAGCAAGTGGAGAAGCAGAAACTCAAGATTTCATGAACGTTGAATCCTTCTCTCAGCTTCCATTCTTCCGTCGTCCTCCCTCCAAAGATAAGAACCCTAAGCCCATTCGTCTCTTCGGAAAAGATTTCACCGGCGGAAATTACTCTGCCACCACCGGTCAAGAAGACTACTCCGATTCCTCCGAGACCAAAAACAAAGAAGAAGAAGAAGAATACGAAGAAGACGAAACCGGAGATAACGGTAAGGACAAAAGCATCAATAACAACAATAGGAGATTCGAGTGTCACTATTGCTTTAGAAACTTCCCTACTTCACAAGCCCTAGGTGGACACCAAAACGCTCACAAACGTGAACGCCAACTCGCCAAACGCGGTGCTTCCTCTTACTTTCATCATCCTGGCGCTAACCTTTATGGCTACCGTCATTACCCTTCGTGGAACAGTGGTTCTTTACCGGCCGCTAGGTTATATGGAGGACACACTTCAGGTCCATCCTCCTCGTATTACACACGACAGGTCAATGGGAGTACATTAGGACATTGGTGTGAACCGCCTTCGTCTTCCAGCGTTCAAGGCGTTTATAACTCAAACGCAGCGTTCACTAGTCATGACTCTTCTAATAACTCGACTTTACCGTTCATGGCCGGTTCTCAGCCGCATCCACCGGTACAGGTGGGTGGAACCGCAGTTCAAAACCGCATGTCGTCATACCGGTACGGTTTGGGTCCCAATGTGCAAGATCACGTGAGTCTCGATCTTCATCTTTGACGTTACAGAACAAAAAAAATCTATGGTATCCATTTTTACACTTCTTTTCTGTAAGATTTGAGTTTGTTATATGTAACTTAATTAGGGAAAGAACAAATGACACGGTGTTTAGGTTTCTGAATGAGAAACGGCAGGATATGTAGATTTCACGTTCCGTAATTTATTTCGTTAAGAGTTTGATGTTTTGATATTCATCGATATATGATTTTTCCAAACGTGCGTAAATGAGGGAAATGAATTACTGTAATATCATTTCACGTGCCCACGGTTAGGCCTTGAAGTTTCAGCATCGAACATTATTGTTTTGGGTAAAATTCAGAGAAATGGTCAGTCATAGTAATGAGGGGAGTTTTCATTAATATCACACAGCGACTCAAATTTTCACTGTACAAAACTGAGCTGCCAGTAGAAACTGTAAGATCATATAGAGATATACTTCTTGAGTACAAACTTTTTACGAGATTTAAAACGGGATCTAATGACCAATGGGACTCAAGATTTTAAACCCAAAAAAAAAAAAAAAACTCAAGATGGGTAATAAGCTCTGATGATTTGGTGCGTGTGGGTAAGTGAAGACAATGGACAAGACAAAAGAGTAGAGAGAGACAAAGAGAGTGAAGTGGTCCATCGTATAACACAAATGTAGAGTTTGTAATAGAGCTTTCTCATCTGTCCCTAATGTTACTACTCTCTTAACTTTGCAATTTCTAGTAAAAAACATAAAGAAGAAGCTAACGCAAAGCAAAATTCCTCATGCTTTCTTCTTTTGTGTTTTTTTTTTTCTATTTTAACTTTTATTTTTGGCAAAATCCTAAAGAATCAACAACCTCTATATATATATATATATATATCGCAATCAATGAACTCAAAAAGTTGTGAGTCACATACGGTAGACTCCACTTAACAGATGCCAACGCGAAAGAGTATGACGGGTCCGTCTTATTGCATTCAAAAGGACATATTTTGATAGAAGCCATATAACTATATGCCCTACAATAACTACTTAATGATACCAGAAAATGGCAATGACCCGAATTGGTTTCTGCGACAATAACATGGGAAAAACCCTTGTACCTAATTAACCATGTTGTTTTGTTATGTTAAAGTATCAAATCCAAACATTAATGATATATGACAATGTAGCTACGGATTTTGTTTAGGCCAAAGATTCAGAATAGCATACGAGTTTCCACATTTGGCAAGACTTTAATCACACAATATATGAGAAGCATTGATTAACACTCTCCACCAGTATAATGGAGTATGCACCAACTCGTGATGGTTACATATATGCTTTCTTTTAGAAGTGAGCTAATCTGATTCAATCAAGTCTCCTATGAATGGAAATGGAAAAGGATATGCTAATACAACATCTTTAGACACTCCATCCGGAAATGCAAGTAGATGCAACATCACAAAAATTCTTCCTTGTACTTTTTCTCTAACCAATTATATGTGTTTAGACATTGTAGCACGATGGATAAGATCTAACTAACGTCGGAAATATCAGTGACACCAGCCTAGAGAGACACTGCGATTCTCCTGACCTGAAGACTTTAGCTGCGGAACAGTTTTCTACTTTACAGGGAAGGGACCAGATGCTGCAACCTCAGCCTGTAGATTAAAATAGAAGTGACAAGGTTATGGACATGTTTGAACATAACTTTTGCAACAAGGATGTTTCAATTGTCACCAAGAGTTGTAACAAAACACAGAATAAGTTAAAAGACGTATCTGCCCTCCGGGAACAGTTCCTCAGCTACAAACAGTGCAAGTTGAGAATTAGAGGAGCGTCTTATCGTATATAGTAGGAAGTTTAAGGAAACTATCTACTAGGAGAATACTGTCAAACGAGTTAACATCAGTAGCAGCAACAAGTGGACCCACCAGCTACTGCAATTGAGAAGGAAGCATGTGATGAGTGTACAAGGTGATAAAAAGAGGCACAAGTAAAGACATTGTATAAAATCTTATAGGACCACTTTTGTGCTCAGATTTTTTTTTTTTTTTAAGATGTGCAAAGAACTTGGTAGAATCTGAGGAACAGTGGCCCATACCCCTAGGCCAAAAAAAAGAAAAAGTTGCAATATTGAGGATGATAGTTCGAACAGTAGACATCTCAGAGCACTAACTGACGGTTTGGGTAAAGTTAAAGGTTAAAAGCCAAGACCATGTGGTTGGATAACTGAGATGACTGTTTTCCATTGATTCCTAAATTTCAACATCTCTATGCTTTGTGTCCTTTCTTTTTATGCTCTTCTTTTGGTGATGTTGCATCACTCGTAAGAAAGTTAAACCAGAGTGTAGAATAAACTAGCAACCGTAATATAGAAAGATCAATCCATAGGTAAAGGCAGATACCGAGGTTCATGTAGTTCCATGACTATTTTCAACTTGGGACCAGGAAGATACTGCAGCTGCAAAGCATAAAATTCCTGGACAGGGTAAAGAAACAGTATTAGAGACAATAGAGTTAAAAAAATTTATGGACCTGGTTCTCAATAATGCAGCTTGCACGATAGCAAATAGAAGAAGAGATATCTCTCAAGAAGAGAAGTCCATTATTATGAAGCACTTAGAAGAGGCAATAATGTGAGGTGATTTTTGGTTTGGAAAGCTTTTCAAGTGCCTAACCTACAAATGTCAATATTCAGAGAAAGTTTTATATAATTCAGGTGCTTTCTGAAGAGTGGCAGATGTCTACAGAAAACGAGAACGCACATGTAAAGCTAGGTGCTAATACCAAACGCACCACTATCAAATTGAAGATATTGCATTCTCTCTATATATAGACAGAGACACAAAACTAATGAACACGGTGAGAAATGTGATATTAATGTGAGTAATTTATCTTTCACTTTCATGTACGAAAGGGTAACATGTTTAGTTATGCAGACCATAAATTATAACTAATAGTAAGATTGAGAAAAAAGGACACTGATCTTTAATTTTTATTGTTAAAAGTGAACACAGAGCGAAATTTAAAGGGGAAAAGTCAGTTGATCAAAACAGAGGCCCTAAGGAATAAACTCAATACCTTAAATAAGAAAAAGGATTGCTGAACACCTTGGACCATTCGCACCAAAACCCAAGAAGAAAAAAAAAAAAAATTTCTCTAAAAATGCTTACAAACATAACACTTGAAAAAACACATAACATAGCAGAATCGCAATTCATTATAATACTCGCATTGTTCTTTCCCTTACAATGTGCAACTCATAGATTATATACCCTCGTGGTTACATAACAATGGCCAGTGAGAATAAAACTTGAAATTTTTTCCTTGGAATGGTCAATTAAACTGCAACCAGATTAAACCAAATTTAAGGAAAAAGAAGTTGAGAATCCTTTGTTTGGACCTTTCAATTGCACAGAAATATGATAGTTTAAGCATCATGCACAGTAACTACTTGCCCAAACTGGTTCAGAAACAGACCTGGATCCTCTTCCTCTAAAGTCTAAACCATTGACACAAAACATACACCTTCTTAGACCCCAAAAAAAAAAAGCATACACCTTCAAAATTTTCCAACTTTTGAAACAAAAAAAAACATACACTGAAAACCTAAAAGAGAGTACGCGGGAGCAGAATTTTTGGAAAAGATTACCCAAAGAGTGAAGCTGAAAATCGATTCGTGCCAAACATGTCTTTCTCCTTTGTTCTCAATCTCCAACGGGGTAAAACAAATGACTTGACCAACGAACCGGACGGTTCCATCCAGTGGTCGGGTTTGCGAATGTCAAACCCAGACCGAATTAGCAATTGGACCGGTCGAATCCCCTTTAGGCCCATTAAGTTGTCCTACTTTCAAAATTGGGCCTCCCTAACTCGGACACAAATAAGAACCAAGAACAACAATCTGTTTTTTTTTTTAATGTTTTTTTAAATAAATATTTTTTTGAAGCTAAATTTCTACAGTAAATCACTTCTTTTCAGAAGCGTTTAAATAAATGTTATGTTGATGAAAGGATCTACATAATAAAATTTCCGGTGATCAAGTATTATGTGCATTAGTTTATCGGATTTGATAGGAAGCCTTGACCAATAAAACGGAATTACGCTGATCGATCTAGATTTTATACGCATCATTTTATATATACATATATATCAAAGTTTCACATGATCACATCATCACGGATTGGTTTATCAAAATCCCGCTCAATGTTTCTAATTAACAGTATAAAGCTCTCACGTGTGTCTTTAAGGCCAATAGGCCTTCTTTGATGAAAAAAGGGTATGGCTTCTGCATGATAATCAATTTGGCTCCATTCGAACCAAGTATCTTCAAATTTCGTCTTATGCTATTAATTAGAAAACAACGTTTGCTATCCTCTTTGTCTTTACTAATATTTGCTGAAACTTCATTTAATTTGTCTTAAAAAAACACCATTAACTGTATAAATTACCCTCTTTACAGAGGAATTTTCTCCACCGTAGTATGAGATCCATTTTAAAGGATTAGTACAACATACCTCACGAAACTGCCACAATTTACAATTAATTGATATTTGTGTAAAAGTAATTAAATATTTGCTATTTTTGTATAGTTTTCTAAATTTTCTTTTACAACACCTTAGCTTAGATGAAAATATAAATATATATCTATATATATACATATATATCACCATAATTTTGGCAAGTTTATATTGAAACGTTATTGTGTTTATTGTCAGACTATCACAGTTATAGATTTGGAATGGTCATGATTCTAATGATTGTACCAGTCGCCACAATCATATACGTACTACTTATTAATTATTCATTTGTGCAAAGTGATCTAGCATATCAGTTGCAGCATTATAGTCATATCCATGGATTTTGTTTCTTATGATGATCTTGACGATACATATCGCGCGGAATCAGATTGACAACGAATTGTGCTTTCATTTATGAATAAATACAAAAAGTCTTATATAGAAAATATACGGCACACATTGCAATGTTTATAAAACATTATCTACACGAGATTTTTGGCGGACTAGACACGGAAATTTCATGAAATTTGAACCCATTGTAGGCTGGATACTACTACTGGGTGCAGACAAAGAATTCACCGATTATCGATAGCCTTAGCAAGTTGTGACTTCGACGCAATCGGCTCAAATCCATTGATATTAGATTGGTGTTTTATTCCAATTAGATTGATGGTTGACCAATCACGGCTCATATAGGCAACATAATAATATACAGTCGAACGTCTTTCAGCTCTTTATTTCATATACATAGTGTACTTTATAATATTCGTTTGACGAAATGAAATAGTGTACTTTATAATATTCGTTTGACGAACGTACGAAAACAGAAGATTGGACTTTTTGGGCAGGGTTGGTGACTTTGCATTTGTCTATAATAAGGCTTTGTGATGTCAATTGTGAGATTATTTTTATATAGTATATCATCCGTACATTTTACACTTTCGCATGATCATGAATAATAACTTGAGTGTTAAAAGTAAGTTTCAAGAAGAGATGTTACCTTAGATAAATCGTTTTCTCTTTTTATCAAAAAAGTTAACTCGATCAACCTAAACGATGATGACAAGGGCAATTACTTGTATTATAAGCAAGAATGTATATGTATCTTATATAATAATCTTTGAATTGTGTTATCAATATTACAGTAACGAAGATAAATAATATGAGAAAATGATGGTGTTTGCTAATATTTCCTTTTAGAGACACTCATCATATACCGTATATATAAAATGTTCTATAATCAATATTTAATTTGAATAAGATGCAAACTGCGAGAATTATTCTATTATATTTCTTCTTTTTTTTAAAAAACAAAAAAAAGTCAAAGAGATAAAGAAATCATGATTCAAAATCATTATTAAGCTTCCGGGAATGTTCCTAAAGTCTCCTGATGGGGAAATTAATCACTAATTACATAATGGTTTACTTACGTTTATGCTATAAGTATTATCGCTGAAGCGTGGTTGTGACTCAAGCGTGGTTGTAAATTTGTAATTAACGGATCTTTCCTCTTCTATAAAACGTGGGGGTACTAAGAAAATAAAGAAATCTACCAATATGTCATATACAGCGTTCGTAACTGTAAATATTGGGGGATTCTATAACAAACATTTTTCTATAATTATTTGATTTTCAATAAAAACAAAGAAAACTACCAATAAGCCAGAGAGCATGTGTATCTTTTTTTTTTTTAACACAAAAAGATCGTTTTATTAAATCACCCAAAGAGAACAGAGCATGTGTATCTTTAGATAGGGAAATTTTTTAAAAAAATTCTATAATGTATTTTCTCTATAAATAATCTGTTAAATACAAAAAGAAAGAAATCTTCCCGGAGATACAAAAATTTCTATATAAAAAATTGGGTAAACAATTATTTTTATATTAAAAAAATGGTCTATGCTGTTTTCCAAATAACCTTACCAATATATCGATCGTCTGTAACTGCAAACTGAAAATAATTCTAAGAAAAAATTCCATAGAATAAAAATAAAACAAAATACTAGGAAATTATATTCTTCACTGTTGCTCATTTTGGGGTGTTCTACTTTTTCCTTTTCTCTGTTAACTCTCCCAGGATTTAAAAAGTTAATAACCTAAAGTTCTGTATACGTTTTCGACTCATTTTGGATTGGTGAAGTTTCAAGTCAAATAAGTTTTTGAAAGTTCACGTCAGGTAAATTATATTATATGTAGTATCGATTGTATCCATTGTATATACCAGTCAAACATGAATAGTATATGTGAATCTGTAGGAATGTGTGGGTATTTGTTTAAATGTGATGTTTGCAAAATTATTCTAATATAGTATATTCACTAATAGATTGCAGTGATCTCAGTGTGTTATTATACAATTGTTCATGTATTAATTTATAGATATTTAGATCGAAAGATACAAATTTAGTTTGATAAATATTTCGAAAGGTTGTTGACCTTATATTTTCACATAATTTACTTCGGGCTCTTCTAGCTTCAACGTTCATTTGTCAAAATTTTCAGACCATTCATGATTATTAAAAAGGTTTAATTTCTTGTATCGAAATTCTAATTTTTATTTTTGTTGAGACACCCATGTGAGCATAGTGCAAGACTAGGGTTCCGAGAGTTGATTCATTTTTGTACTTTGCGATTACAACCTTGTAAATAATACGTGTCGTTTAGCAAATAATAAATTGACATTTGTTATTTACGCAGAAGACAAAATAGTCACGGAACAAGAAGCTCCTGATTAAGGCGTGGATCAGACAAGCGTTCTTGATGCTTAGGCATGTGGGCAAGTACCAGGGCTTGTCTCTATCATCATCACCATCTTCTTTCTTCCATACAATTATTTATTAATTAATCCTCAAAATTCAACGAATTCCATAGAAAACCTCATATCTATCTATAAAAACCAATCTTTTGTGTACAACCCTTTAATCCTTTTCTTTGTTCATCATCTGCAGGCATAAAAATTCCTCTTGGATATCATCGGTATATATTTCTTTTGTTCTTTCGTTTATTTATTTATTTAAGGGTTTTTAACTCCTTCAAATATATTGAACTAGTATTATCCGTGCCTCTTTATGCTTTACTTTTTTTCTTTTACGGTCATTTGATTAATACTTTTCCAGAAATGGAAGTCAATTGTACGGAAACACCGTTGCTTTCGTCAAACGATCATGAGGCTAATGATCACAAACCGAAGTCAACCGGTTTGGTTTCTACAATGAAATCAAATTTTTTCACGGATTTGCCTCAAAAACTTCGATCCAAAACCGATCCCGAGAACCCTTTTCACCTTGATGTCTCCAAAGCCGTAGGCCTCAAAAGAGGTAACAGTATATATACACACACACATCAAACTGTCTTACTTTCAAATTTAGATAATAGTGTCATAATTAAGACTCACAACTACTAAACCAAGAATGTTTTCTAAAATTTTGATATTTTAAAGATGAAAAGGAGTACTATGAACGGCAACTGGCAACACTAAAATCATTTGAGGAAGTAGAAAGTTTCTTAGCTCGATCAGATGAGTATGTCATCGATGAAAAAAGTGAAGAAGAAGATCGAGCTGAGAGAGCTGCACAAGAAATAGCCATGCAAATCTCCAATTGGGCTAACATCTTTTTACTTGCTCTCAAGGTGTGACTTTCTATCGAAATATTTTTATACATTGATTTAAGTGATATGTCTCTATATTCATCAAAATGTTCTATAATGTGTAGATATATGCTACGATAAAGAGTGGATCGATAGCCATTGCAGCATCTACACTTGACTCTTTGCTTGACCTAATGGCGGGAGGAATACTTTGGTTCACACATTTGTCAATGAAGAACATAAATATCTACAAATATCCCATTGGAAAGCTTAGGGTACAACCCGTTGGAATCATCATTTTCGCCGCCGTTATGGCCACTCTTGGTATATTATTCATTCTTTTCCGAAATTTTGTACAACCCAAAACTATATGTTATATAAGTTTGTTGATGAAAATAAACCATATACATTTGTGTAGGGTTCCAAGTGCTGCTTGTGGCAGCTGAACAGTTGATTACAAATGAACCTTCAGAGAAAATGAGTCATGACCAATTGGTTTGGTTATATTCAATCATGCTAAGCGCAACAGCTATTAAACTCGTCTTATGGATCTACTGCAAAAGCTCGAGAAATCATATCGTCCGCGCATATGCAAAGGTATACATAGTATATATATATTCTTATAATTTTATGTAAAAAATGGAGATTGATTGATAAGTTTAAATATATAGGATCATCATTTCGATGTGGTGACAAACGTTCTTGGATTAATTGCGGCTGTCCTTGGGAATGCTTTCTATTGGTGGATCGATCCGGCTGGTGCTATTCTCTTAGCCATCTACACTATTGTCAATTGGTCCGGGACCGTTATGGAAAATGCAGGTAACTTTTTTTTCTATTTCAATGTTGTTGTGTTCTTCAATCTATAATAACATCTATTGAGATTCTTACGATGATATTTTTTCTCTCTATATATATGTAGTTTCATTGATCGGACAGTCAGCTCCTCCAGAAGTACTACAGAAACTGACATACCTAGTATTGCGACAAGGCGCAGATAAGATCAAACGTGTTGATACTGTCCGGGCCTATACCTTTGGTGTTCTTTATTTTGTCGAGGTATGTCTATTATATGTCTTAATGTCGCAATCATAAAATTAATAAATTTAGATTTTGGAAATCAATTTCTACTTACATTTGTTTAATTAATTCATAGTTATATAGGTTTATATATATTGTTTGTTATGTGTGTGTTGGCAGGTGGATATAGAACTCCCAGAGGATTTGCCATTGAAAGAAGCTCATGCAATTGGTGAGTCATTGCAAATAAAGCTTGAAGAACTTCCAGAAGTGGAAAGGGCTTTTGTTCATCTGGATTTCGAGTGCCATCACAAGCCTGAACACTCTGTTCTTTCTACAATCCCAAACGATTTATGAGGATTATATGCATATATAACTATATATATATATATGTGTTTCTGCTTTTTTTGTTCCTTTTGTTTATTTAATGCTCCTGTACTATATCTGCAGCTTGATACATTGCAGTTTAAGTTCTTCGCTATTGAAATGTGCGTTAATGAATTTTTTTTAAAAGCGTAAAATTAAAATTGATAGTTTGACTTTGAATTAGACATTTTACTGGTTTTTTTTTTCCTAACTCATATAACATTCTACATATCTATTGATATGCAAATATTGACAAGGGACTAAACAGTAATTTAGATCGGAAGCTCGGTTTTATTAGATCGAATCAAGCAAAATACAACTGAGTTCAGTTATTTCGATAGGTAATAACGAACTAAGACTTAATGCGACTAAGAAGCTATCGTAATGAGTTCTCAGTCTTTAAGTCTTCTCGAGAAAAAATAACTTGTGTTCTCTGGTGTCGATTCGTCTCCCTTTATATATATCTCCTAAGTCGGTCTTCAAGCCCGCCTTAGACGATATGGGGCCGAGAGGAGTTTCCTTTTCTCTCGGTTCCTTTCCTTTTCTCTCCCAAGTTTCCTTTTTCCATTAGGAAACTTTCCTGTTTCGACCGAGCTCACGGAAACTCTCTATTTCTTCGAGAGGTTTCTCACCGACCTCGGCCTGATGAGCCGTATTCGGCCCATCTTTGTTCGGCCCATCTTTTCTCGGTACGTCCCTTCGTAAACCGGGCTTATGGTTTGCCGATCTCGGTTTATACCGGAGAAAACCGGGGTGCGGTTTTCACCTCCAACAGTTAGCCCCCCCTTCATTTCGGTGAAAGGGGATGACTTTCAGTCGAACTCATTTCTTAGTTAATGGATCACGAACCGAGCTCGGCAACTGCCGTCGATTCGCATTCCCGGACGTTTCGCCCCTGTCTTCAATGAGGCGCGTGAATTACGGGATCCTTGCGAAAATCGAGGAACCCACGATTCCCACTGTGTATAAAAGGCAAACTTCTTATCGCATTCATTATTCTTGCCTCAAGCATATATAAGGTACGCTGCTCTCCCTTCTCTCTAGATTTCATTTCTCTCTCTAGCTTTTGTTCTTTGTTTCCTCTCGTTTCTTCAACTCTCGCCGCCGCGAATCCTTGATTTTTCCGAGTTACCTTCGAGTTTTCCGTTCGATCTTCAAATTATCCGATCAATCTTCATTCTTTTCCAATTGATCTTCATACTGTTCTTCATTTCTCTCAGATTCCCTTTAGATCTACTTTTCCGAACTCAAAGATGTCTTCCAGCTCTTCAATTAACTATTCTTCTAACCAAATCCTTCCGGAAGATCGTCGCGAATCCTCAGAACCGAGCTCTTCCTCTTCAAACCCTCATCTATCGAACTCGTCTCAAGAAGAGAATAACCCTCCACAGTTAATCCGAAAAAACTCAAAATCGGTTGGTGCCAATAGTAGCCGTTCTCGACCACGAGTCGAAGTGACCGGACAACCAGAAGCTCGTAAGACAGATGCTCGTGCTGGGCCGAACATCGATGAGGAGATTGAGGAGATCCAAGGGGTCGAGGAGATTGAAGAAGGCAATGCCGAGGAAAACGTTACTGAAACAGGAGGTGCCGAAGAAGATCTTGAGGCGGTAATTCATGCATCACCACCTCTTCCGAGACGAAAAGTCGTTCGCCCCCACACCGTACCTTCTTCTTCCATTTTTCCTGGCGGCGTTCGTGCCGTGCTTGAAGAAAACGGGCTTGAAGATAAAGTTGTCTTTATCATCCCGGAAGCTGGAGATCGGCCATGGGACGTCCCCGAGGGCTTCCTCTGCATCTATCTGACGTATTTTAAGCAGTGCGGGCTCTCCTTCCCAATTCCTTCTCGTTTGATCGGCTACTGCAATCGTCGCGGCGTTGCTCGCAAGTGATGCCAGCTTCGATAACGAACTACGTAGGGTTCATATCTCTTTGCGACGAGCTCGGCAGGGATCCAACTAGTCGGCTTTTTGAAGATCTCTTCTCGGTCAACATCCACAAATCGAAGGAGTGGTTCTTCGCTGCGAACGCCAAGCCGAAGAAGAATATTGTTACTGGACCGAAGCCCAGTAAATTCAACGACTGGGAATCTCTCTACTTTTATCTGGAGATGAACGATCTCACCGTCAGCAACTCTGACATCCCAACTCAATCGGAGTGGAAGATTCCGATCGGTGAACTAGACGAGCTTATACTTTTACTAATTTTTGACCTCATTTTTGACTAACTTTCTTTTGTTTCATCTTTCGCAGGTCGTCATCTCCCGAGCCTTATCCTCAACTCCGGACTCACCTCTGAGTTCCAAGAAGCCTTCAGTGAAGCTGGTAAGGGTCGTTGGCCTGAAGTTTGTGAAGAAATCCTTCAGCGCCGAGCTAAGAAAGCAGGTCCGTTTACTAAATTCCGTTTTTACTCAGTCTACTTCTTTATTTGCTTCGACTTCCTCCTTTGACAGATTTTTATTGTAGGTTCTGTTCGCGAACCAAAACCGTGGAAACCAAAAACTCGAGCTAGCAAGCCTCGAGCCGCTCCTAAACGCAAAGCACCGAAGTCGCGAACTCAACGCACCCGAACTGCCAGGATGCTTTCAATAGACGAGATCCCAACTCTCTTCGACGAGGAGGAACCAGACGTGGCTGATCCGACCGCAGTCCTTGCTACCGAACAGGCCAATGTACAGCCGGAGGAGTTGCCACCTGCTACGAACTCATCTGACCAGGTTGGTCAGAAGAAGACGAAGAAGAAGAAGTCTTCGAAGAAGACTAAGAAGACAGAGGATTCTCCTCGGGTGGAAGATGTACCCGTTGAGATCGATCCACCGGCGGCTGTGGCGTCAGACCTCGCTCTTTCTCAAGACCGAGCTGAAGCTTCGCACTCCCGCAAGAGGCAAACCAGAGACCATGTCGAGGGTTCTCCAGAGCACGGGCCGGCTAAGAGGGTCCGAGTTTGTTTTGACTATGATGAGGAGACTCCTTTCGAGGAGAACGTAGATGCCTGCGCCGAGCTTTATCACAAAATTTCCTCAGAGGTTCCAAGCCTTCCTTCGGTTCCCGAGCTCCGGTTTCCCAACATGTACATGGGAATCGCTCACACGACTGCAGTGGTAATCTACTTACGGTTTTATAGATTTGGACATTTCTCCAAGTATGAGTTTTAATTCTTGTTTCCTCTGTGCAGCTCGCCAGTCAGACCAATAACTTGGTTGCTGCATACGAAGTAGCCCTGTTCGACGAGCAAGTAAGGGTCTCCGAGCTCGAGGAAAGGGTAGCCAAGGCGGAGGAGCGTCTCGCCACCGAGCTTCAAATTAACGAGACTCTGCACTCTTCGGTGGAGCTATTAAAACAGGAGACACTACAAGAAAGAGGGGCTTTTCCGTCGAATTATTTACGACGATTTGTAGTCGTCGTAAATTTACGACGATAAAAAATTTCGTCGTAAATTCGACGTAAAAAATAACCCTCGTAAAATCGTCGTAATGTTACAATGATATTACGACGAATAAAGAACGAATTTTATTTCGTCGTAATCTTGTCGTAATATTTACATCGATAATACGACGAATTGTCCTCTATCTTGTAGTTGACGTAAAATCGATGTAAATGTGATGTAAATTTTATTTCGACGTAAATTTGATGTAAATATGCAATGGTAATATGTTGGTAACCAAACAAAAAATTCTATATATACCCTTTCTTCTCTCATTATTCCATCAACCAAAAAAACATATAAAGACACAAATTTTTTGAGTCTTTGAATGTTTAAGTAATATTTTTAGTAGTTGAAATTTCTATCAAATTTCAGAAACAAAAAGTCAAATATTTGTTTTTGAAATGTCTATATACGATCTACGAAAGTGGATGTATACGCCCAAAAATGGTGATGGGTCGTTGACTGAAGACTTCAAAAACGAATTGGAAATATTCATGTACCAAGCCGGCCTTCTGGAAACTGTAATTGAAAGCGGCAAAATGTATTGTCCTTGTGTGAAATGCAAAAATAGGAAACATATTCTTATTGACACTGTCTGGCAGCATTTATTGAATAGAGGGTTCATGCCCCAATACTTTATTTGGTATCAGCATGGAAAGGGATATGGTCAAAGTAGTGGTCAGATGGCTGCACGGAGTAGTAGTAATCATCAAGAACATGTGGATTTTGAAGCGTCCAATGATTATCAAAGTAGTCAAGTTCAGGGTGAAGATCATGATAGGATGCATGAAATGATTACTGATGCATTTCATGAAACACATGCTGATACTGTTGAGGAGCCCAATGCAGATGCGAAACGCTTTTATGATATGTTAAACGCAGCAAAACAGCCTCTGTACGAGGGATGTAGGGAAGGTTTATCAAAATTATCATTGGCAGCTCGGATGATGACAATAAAAACTGATCACAATCTATCTGAAGTTTGCATGAACGATTGGGCAGATCTTATTAAAGAGTATATGCCAGATGATAATTTGGCTGCTGAAACGTATTATGAAATTCAGAAGCTGGTTTTTAGTCTTGGATTGCCTTCTGAGATGATTGATGTTTGTGTTGATAATTGTATGCTTTTTTGGAGAGATGATGAGAAGCTTGAAGAATGTCGTTTCTGCCAAAAGCCAAGATATAGACCGCAAATTGCTGGGCGTAAGAAGATTCCTTACCAACGAATGTGGTATCTTCCTATCACTGATAGGTTAAAAAGACTATATCAATCCGAACGGACAGCTGCGTCGATGAGATGGCATGCAGAACATTCACAAACATATGGCAAAATGACTCACCCGTCTGACGGGAAATCTTGGAAACATTTTAACACCGTACATCCAGACTTTGCTAGGTCTAAGCGAAATGTTTATCTTGGTCTTTGCACTGACGGGTTTAGTCCATTTGGTATGTCTGGTAGGCAATATTCATTATGGCCTGTGATTCTTACGCCATATAACCTTCCTCCAGATATGTGCATGCAAAGAGAGTTTTTGTTTCTAAGTATATTAGTCCCTGGTCCAAATCACCCGAAGCGGGCCCTTGATGTGTTTTTGCAACCACTCATACATGAGTTAAACCAGTTGTGGCATG